TTACTGGGGCCGGGGATGATTCGGCGGAGTGGAAAGCGGCTGGGGATTCTTCGGTATCTGGAGCTTCGGACGGTGGGGGTGTAGCAGGCGGCGGCGGTGGATGTTCGGAATATAGAACTGCTTCGTAGTTGTCTTCGGAAGCTTCAACAAAGGAGGCGTAATCCGGAAGATTCTTGGCTAGGTATTCGTAGTCGCGCGGGCGGAGCGGGTTATACCGTTTCGGACAGGGCTGTTGTAGACACTTCAGGTGGGTGTTGGTGATGTACCCGTCGGCGTGCTTGCCGGACCAGACTAGGACAAAGTGCGGTTTAAACTCGCACGGCGGAATCTTGGCTGTAGCGGTGAACCAGGGTTGCCAGAGTGGGACCTGATCGGCAGGTCAACCAGAAGACCAGGGGTGCGGCGGGGTCGCAGGGACAACGATCGGCGTTGCCGGTGTGCAGGGATAGCTTGACCTAATGTCGCGAAGAGCGAACACTAAACCAAAACTAAGACCAGAGACGAGGAGCGGTGAAAGCGACGAGAGAGCTTAGAGCGATGAGCGACGGTTTGGAGTGAAGACTAGAGTGATGAATTGACGAAGAGGTCAAGCTGAGGAAATACAGAGCAGACTACCTAGCTTATATACCTATTCTACTGTCTACATAGCCGCAGTGAGTCAGAATGACGAACAAATGGTGAAACATCGAAGAACAATAAGAAAGGTCATGAGGCTGCGCGAAGGCTGCGCGAAGGCTGCGCGAAGAACAAGAATGAAACAATAATGGAACAAGAAGGTGTCAGAGTGTGTCAGAAGGCAGTGCGTAACAATAAGGACGATAGAGTAGGGCAAAGGGCAATGCGAGGCAATGTTCCATGAGTGAAAGAGTCCATAGAGGGAATAAGGAGGCAAAGGAGTAAAGGAAAGTGGAACGATAAGATGCGAAACGGATTAGATAAGATAAGATGAAAAATAGGGGCTATACCGGCTGTTCACGACAGGAGGATCCCGATGACAAGGACCCACTGGATGAACTCGATGAGTCATCTGAGTCCGACGAATCTGAGGGGTCCTGTTCCTCTTGTGACCTCATGATGGCCAGAAGACTAGAGGGTCCGAGCTGGTCGATTGGTTGCGCAGAGCGTTGGCGAGCGGGAGACAACGCAGGGTGCATGGCGGCGGGAGTCACCTGGCGTTCGGAGGTACTTCCCTTTTGGGAAGAAGCGCTTCCATTTCTGGAACGCGCCTCCTCAACTGCCTTGAGGGCCTTACGAGCTTTCTCCTGAGCTTGTTTGGCCTTCTCCTCCGCTTTCCGCGCTTCATCCTCAATGCGACGAAGTTTTATGCTTATTTATGTGGTGTACAACAGTGAATTTTTAGAAAATATCAGTATATGTTGAGATAAATGGGTTTTGCTGGATTTTTATCAAAACCCTTACCCCCGACCAGGGGCAGGGGTTTGGCCAAGGGTAGCCAGAGACCTACCCTTACCCCTACCCCTGCTCTACCCCTGGCCTCTACCCTGGGGGTTTTAAAATCCCTTGACCATCCCTAGAAGTGAGGAGGGGCATCGCAAGCGAAGGTGTTGGAGTACGCCCTTTGCTCCATAAACGACTGGTAAGCCGCCCATTGGTATTCGATGTCCCTTTCCATCGGTCATTCAGTCCTGCAAGGTTCCAATTGGCTGGGTCAGCCCCCGATTCCCTTGTGCTGGGACGGGCCTTCACCTCTAGTTTCAGCGGTGGATTCTCGCTGAAAGGCTGGTTCACGAATCTCGATACTGGGTCGAGTTCCCTGTTGTATAACGAGTTCTCGACGCTCGAGTAATTCGTGCTCTTTCGTAGTCATGTTACCTTTAGCTTGCTCAATAACATGATCTTTGCCTTTAATTTTTTGGACTGGCAAAGACGAGAACCGATTTTGGTTTGCCAATTTGAACTCTTGTTCCAAAGTGAGGTAGTTCCTTTTCTCAGAGGCCAGGTTATCAAAACTGTGCCTTCTAGTAGGGACTGTGTTCCATCCTCCAGGTAAGTTGTGATTAAAAGAACTATCATTAGATTCATCTCTACCTAATACAACAGTACTAGTAGAGAACGAGGACTCTAAGTCACTCGAAGCGTCCAACCCCGGATCGGGGTCTTGATTTCCAAATCCGTTGGTGGGGTCTGCAGTACCACCAACCGACTCATTCCTCGACGCCGAGGCGTCGATCATGTCCAAGGCTGCCGGGTTCCCATCGGGAACTGGGCTTGTGGCCAGCGTGCCGTCCTGTTGGACTGGCTCACGCCTTACTCGCCTAGTGTCAGGCAGGGGGGGATGGAGGGGGAGGTTCGCAGACCGGGTTGCTCTCCCGGTCTGGTGAGCAGCAGCGTTCGCGTAAGTCGACATGCTGGCTGCAGTACTATTATAGCAAAGAAATGACACCGTTTAGCTAGGTATTGGTGGAGATATTCTTGAAATATGTGACAAAAAAGCTTAATATTAAGGAATATGGCTTTTTGTTTTCGCTTTTTCAATACTCTAACCATAAGTAATACTAGTTATAATGTCATGGGCAATGTCTAATGCAATAATAGTGAATAACCCAGAAAGAATTACTCAAAAATGCGAAGAAATAAAGGAGATATGAAGGAAATAATGTGGAAGAAGATGGGTGACATCATACTAATTTAGATAAGATAGACTTTTGATGATGAAAGCCAATCAGTGATATTAATGATTGACAGGAACAGCCACATAATGTCATGAAGATCAGGGTCAGGGACATGATGTCATGCAGATCAGGTACAAGGTCATGACATCATGCAGATCAGGGTCAGGAACATGGCATATACCGGATCAGTGTGGTCATGACCAGGTCATGGAAATATTTCCCTGGTCATGGGGAAATTTCCCAAGGTCTTGACCGTGCATTTTGGTCATGACCATTTCCGATGACCACAGTCACAGTGGGAAATTTCCCTAGTCACTCTTCCAGCATTTCTTCAATCAGACTCACACAATTTTATGGAAAAATTGCACAAATTTGATAAGCTTTCCACTATGTTATTAGTCCCATATATAGATTATATTGTGAGCTCAACTATACTGCAGGTTTGCTTCCCAATTAATGAGTAATTACTTTGGTGTTCAATAATTCTATAAGTTCTGAGTCTATACTAGAAGTAATTTACAACTGTATTAATTGCATTCATTTAAGACTCATAATGTTGCTGTTTATGCCAAATAACAATAAATTAAATTGCATTTTAGTGCTGAGAATATGACCCATCAGGACCCCAGACACCCCTGGACAGGTCATGACCAGGGGTTAGGGAAATGACCTTAGGAAATGACCAGAGGACATGGTCGGACAGCTGGAAGCTAGAGCGTCCAACAGGCAGGAAATTGGTGGGAAATGACCAGGACAGCCCTATCTCGAAGACCTGTGGAAATGGCACGGACACCCATCTAAGAGACTGGGCGTCCCGTCTGACTGAGGTGACATCGCTTTCTTTCACCAGAGATCAATTCTGTTATCAGAAATAATCTGCCACACATAGACTGACTGCATATCTCTGTATAACTCAGTTTATCTCTCTATACACCTCTTAATAGATGACGGTTATCGAAGGGTGTTCGAGCTGCATAACCAGCTTCGACAGCCAAGCTGTGTATTCCACAAAATGATTGTGTCACCCATGTTACAGCCTTCTGCCCAGCTCAGATTTCCACTGATTCTTGTTGTGGGTTCCTCAGCCATGCCATAGGTTCCGATGCATGTCCCAGCTTCCTACCCAGCTTCGATACGTCCGGAGTTACTCCGGCTCCTCCTACGCTTGATACATGGCCCTGCCCCCTAGCAAGCTTTAACTAGTGCAGAATTACCCCCCCAGCCATTGTATATTCCTTTTGCTCCAAATCATATGGGACATTTACTCGCCGTGCGCCGAGCTTCAACATGTCCTCAATTATTTTCTGTACAACTAGGTTAGCCCAGCTTGACACTGAGCTGATGCATCAAGCTTATGCACATCTAGTATCCGTGCGCCGAGCTTCAACATGTCCTCATTTATTTTTTTCTACAACTAGGTTAGCCCAGCTTGACACTGAGCTGATGCATCCCCAACCAACATCGCAGGCGTACAGTCAATTACTTATAAAGTTCCTGCCAGGTCAAGGAGGCAAGTGTTACCCAAGGGCGACGTTTGACCTATTGATGCCTTCCTTCCTTCATGGTAAGCAGTCTCCTTGGACTCCTTCTAACCCCCCCCCCCGGACTGGAACTGAATCGTTCCGTCTCCACACTCAGTCTCTTTGGAGTCATTCCTTCCGGGCCAGATTTGAATCCCTTCTGTCGCCGACGTGTTCATGTGGCACTTGATCTGTCACCTCAACAATGTTCCTTATCGAACATCAATGTTTCCTTGTCTGCAATCCACCCCCCTTCCGTTTTGAAATGTCTCGTTTCATTCCTTCCTTCAATAGGGCACAGTCAAGATTACCTATTTGATGCTAAGTGGGTGATGAGCTCCCAACAAATCAGTGGGAAGGGTTAAATACCATCAAACATGGCCATTTTCCATCAGGTGTGGTGGTCTAGTGGGATTGGCATCTCCATTCCATGGAACGCTTGGGGTTCGACTCCCCTTCCATGCCAAACTATTGAGATAATTTGGTGTTTGGCGTATTGCACACCATGCACCAAATTATCTCTGTAGTTCTCCTTCTTTTTTTGTTTTTTATTCTCTTTTCCTACTCACCCTGAGTTTACTTTATTCAAATATATTCATTTACCATACAACCTCAGAGCTGATACATTGTCATTAGCTCATTGATTTATACATTCATCCCTAATCAGCCCTTGTAGGGCACCACCATCCAGATACCCAATCCAAGCCATCTCCTCGATTTAATCACGGGGCCTGTCCACATTTATAAAGGGGCCAAGTTCTCATGATGCTTTCCCCTTCCCCCATCATCACTATTCCCACCACTAATAGAAGAGCAAGCTCACCCTATTGAAGCACAAGTCTTTCAAATGCTCGAATCTGCGGCTATCAAGCTGATGGAGCTCAGAGGTAAGTCCCCGTTATTTTGTAGAACTCCAGCTTCAATACACGGAAAACCGTCACCACGTCCTGGTGCTGAGGCAATTCGAAGCAAAGTCCCGCGACACATGGCATCGAGAGTTACAGCGCCTGCGGGAGGAACTGGGAGCGGAAATTGACAACATTCCAGTTCATATTCCAGCGATGGAGGCTGTTGAGGAGGCCAAAAAACAGCATCAACGACGCAAGGCATCGATCAATACCCTTTGCGATGACTTAATCGAACTCACGAACTGCCTCAAGCGAGAAGTCAGTGAAATCCAGGCGGAGGAAGGAAACGGTTACACCGCAGACCAGCCAATCACTTCAGTCACCTATGGAAGCCTATCACGAAGATCATATTAATTTCTTCGCTTCCAAGGGTCATGTGACCCCCCTTCCCAGGAAGCTTCCAGCCCCTTCCCACCCCAAAAGAATTCCAGGAAATTCCACCACCAATCCACTTCCAGCTTCCACTTCCACTTTGGAACTTCCAGTAGACCAAACAAAGGGTATCCACTTCCAGTTCCATTCCAGTTCCATTCCAGCCATCAAATGTGATGCACTCCAAAATTGATGGGAAGCCAACCTGGAAGCTCCAAAATAGTACCATTTTCCGGAAACAATAAACATAGATGATCAAATCAAATTCTGATTGACAATGAGTATGACATCATTTGTTCCTGTTCCTGATTATCATGACATCATGGTGCCTGATGATGTCAATCATTGATATCATTGATTAACTTCCATCATCAAAAGCCAATCTTATCTTAATTAGTGTGATGTCATCCTTCTCCTCCACCAGTATTTCATCCATATCTCACTCATTTCTTCGCTTTTTTGAGTAATTCTTTTTGATTCAAGTGTGAACCATCATTGGCTACAGGTATATATTATATTTGTATATACTCAATGATGAATAGATATTCAAAATTCGACCTTTTCAAGCATTGACACTATTATGACACATTTTTGGTGGAGAATATGGATATATCTTCCTCATTTTCTTCACCTTTCTTCTTGGAATCTTCATTGAAATAATCTAGAAATATGTCCACACATATACTAATGCACTTTTTCCTTGATAAATAGACTTTACCCCACCAAGAATGACAAAAACATGCAAAAATGCGCACCAATAGGATGAAGCTGGGCCGATTTCTGAGATTAAAACTGTTTCAAAGAGCGTTGAATGCCTTCTCTTTGATGGTACCGCTCAGTAAAACTTATGAGAAGTGGAACATACTGGAAAATGCGAAATACATGGATAAAATCACATTTTTAGTGATTTCACTATTCCTTTACTTTATACCTTTCCAAAGTCAATAAGATGTATTGGATATATCTCTCAGTCTTATTAAAATGCTTTTGTAAAAGTAATGAACTGTAGGTATCACATTAAAACAGTGAAAATAAAAAGTTCTATTTTTATAGGAAAACCGATGTTTTAGATATTTTTAGGTGTATTGTGGTGTTTTTGGAAGAGGCAGATTATTATAACAAGTCTGTAAACCTTCTTTAAGGCTCTACAGCAGAGTTGGTGCAATTACATCAAAAATTGGGAGAGGTACTATTGAAATACTACACAAAAGAGGGACAAAATCAGGAATAAGACTATTATTTTCGCTTTTTCAGTATTAAGACTGGTTTCTATTGGTTTTTAAATGTAATAGAGAGTTCCCAATGTAGTAATAGTAAATGAATCAAAAAGAATTCCTGAAAAAAGCAAAGAAATGAGTGAGGTATGAATGAAATACTGGGGGAGGGAAAGGATGACATCATACTAATTAAGATAAGATTGGCTTTCTGATGATGGAAGTCAATCAATGATATCAATGATTGACATCATCAGGCACCATGATGTCACAATAATCAGGAACAGGAACAAATGATATCATACTCATTGTCAATCAGAATTTGATTTGATCATGTATGTTTATTGTTTCCGGAAAATGGTAATATTTTGGAGCTTCCAGGTTGGCTTCCCATCAATTTTGGAGTGCATCACATTTGATGGCTGGAATGGAACTGGAAGTGGATACCCTTTGTTTGGTTCACTGGAAGTTCCAAGGTGGAAGTGGAAGCTGGAAGTGGATTGGTGGTGGAATTTCCTGGATTTTTTTTGGGATGGGGAGAGGCTGGAAGCTTCCTGGGAAGGGGGGTCACATGACCCTTGGAAGCGAAGAAATTAATATGATCTTCGTGATAGGCTTCCATAGGTGACTGAAGTGAGCCAATTGCCTTGGATTGTGGACCCCAGGTCAAAGGCGGGACTTCAAACGACGACCCTATCGTGATTGAATAACCAAGTACTTACTGAACAATATCAATCCTTCGCATCGACTCCTTGTGATCAAATTTGAGAATACAAATGTTCCTTCCTTCCGTGCACACTCCTTCCGTACGGATTCCGCTAGCACCACTGGCAGTCAAATTCCTTGGACATACTTCCTATAATTGAGTTGACACGCCTCACGGACGCGCTCCAGATGAAAAAGACCAGTTACTATGCAAGAAATCCCTCCAATACAAATACCAAACAACCCTTCACTCCCTCCCCTCTTCCAGCTTGTGCTCCTTGTTGCAGATAGCAGCCTCAATTAATGCCAAGTCCTGACGGAGGAGGTTTCGCAGGCGGTAGTAGCTATTCTGCCTCTCCTGTATCAGTCTTCCAGAAGGCTTACCACTGAAAACAAGAAACTCACCTTGCGGCCCAGCGCCGATTCCTTCCTTGGTTCCCCCGCCGTCATGAGAAACAGTGGCTCCTTCCTCTCCATGAAGGTTCTGGGAAGATTCTATCGGGGGAAATAAGGAACACATTTCAGATAACCGCCAAACTGCAGCTGTAAGTCCAATTTCACCGGTTGCAGGAACGCTCATCTCAAGGGAGCTACGGGCGACAGCACGTCAAAAAACTTCACCTCCAGCACTGAAAATATCTGAGATTTACCTATCTGTGGGTCAAGGGTCTAGTGATGGACACGGGTTTTTGATACCCGGCGGGTTACGGGTACGGGTAAGCGCGGGTACGGGTACGGGTAAGGGTTGCCGTACCCGCGCCCTTCAAAACAAGCCCGAAAACGTCCAAAACGGCCATGAAATGGGCGGGTTACACTTGATTTAAGTAAATCGAGTGTATCTCGCTCATTTCTCGTCCGTTTTGGACGTTCTTGGGCTCGTTTTGTGCGGAATACCCGTCGGGTCGCGGGTACGGGTCGGCGCGGGTACGGGTACGGGTAGGGGTAAATTTACCCGCGGGTTACCCGTGTCCTTCACTACAAGGGTCAAGACACGGTGACAACGTACGATAGAAGGCAAATACTAGTACTCACTTGAATCAGAATCCGTCTTGGAGTCGGAACTCATTCTGTACGATAGTGGTGTCCCCGACCGCACCGATTTATCAGAAGTAGCATCCACTTCCATGATCCAGGTTAGTCAATACGCTAAAGGAGAGAGAGTCGAAAAATGAGTGAACCAATGGAGAAAGATGCGTAAAGGGTTATAAGCACCCCAGCTGGACCCCGCGCCCAGATAAGATGACATTCACATTCCGATCAATCTCTTAGCTCTCCAACTCGACTTAAGGAGGATCTTTCTCGTATGGAACTTGCCCTTGTGATTCCTCTCTTCAACCCTTTCCTCGCTTCTCAAGACAAGAAAAATGCAACCTCAACCCAACACCACCGTGGAACGACCTTCTGACCAGGTTCTCATAGACAGGATTCAGCGCCTGAAGGCCCTCCTCAAGCAGGGAAGTTCCTGGGGGCCTGGAGATGCTGATTTAGACAAGAAGAAACAGCTCTTAAACGCGTCTGTAGGTACTCTCTTCCAACGGTACCGAACTGTGAGCTTAAACCTGAGGACAGGATGCCGTCTATGCTGCTAAGCGTGAAAAATGGGTCAAGAAAAAGCAATTGGGTTGCGCCATATCCATCTGGTTCAAGTACCTGGCTTCAGATAACGATGCTCGCGCCGACGCCTCCAAAATCAACTTGGACATTTTGAAACAGGACATTTTCACTGACCTTCAAGTTGGTGCGTAGCATCTCCCTTTTTCGGATACCTGGCCCTAATTGGGTTCTTCTCGACATCCAGATCGATCAAACCCTGCCTTTGCTCCGTCCCAACGTCCCAAACCCCCGCTCGCAGGATCCCTCCTGTTCCAGAGGTAGTGATTACTGCACCACCGCCCACTCCTTCGAGGTCGATTGCGACCAACAAGAAGAGAACGGCAAGTCGGGACATCGGGGCTGGGAGTGAAGGACAGACTGCAAAGAAACAGAGGGTTGACTCCTCGACAAATGCAGCCAGGGAACAGAGGAGAAGGGAATCCAATGGAAGCGATCAGGGAGGAAAAGGCGAGGATAGGAGGCGGGATCTGAGCCCCATCGCAGAGGAGGAGGGAGGAGCTCTGGGTAACGACGCCCTCAAGAGGAAGGAAGGGCCGAGTGCGTTGACGGAACGGAAGAGGAAGAAGTCCAAGAAAGCCACCACTGCGGAGTTGACCGAGCAACCCGCCGTGGAGGAATCTCCGTCCAGTTCCTCTCGTCCTCAGCCAAAAAGGAACCGCAATGACCCACCGCCAGACCACACCCTAGCATCCTCACCATGCAAAAATTGTACCACCAGACAGATTCCTTGCTACACCGGCAAAGCCAACGTTGCTTGTTGGCCCTGCCAGACAGGCCACATGAGTGGTTGTAACTTTAGCGAGGTCAATTGAAGAGATCCAAAAGCCAAGGTGGGTAAAGAACTGTTGTCATTTGTCTGCCAGCTTTATCTAACCTTTATCGGATAGGTCGATCGAAGAGCAGGGATAGGGAATCTCCTTGCGGGCAGGGGGAAGGCGCCAACTCCAGCAATGACGACGATGACAATGGTAAGTAAGCATTTCATACTAACAGATGAGGGCGTTTCACGTCACAATCCCTTTTGTAGCCCCTACGTCGAGGAACGAAAAGGCCCCACCAACCACGACCCGCACCAACATTCCTCAGTCCGCACGGACAGCAAGCCAGCTTGGCACACCCAACACCACCCTTCCGGGGTCCCAGATCCTCTCAAACCCACCAACTCCTTCTGTTCCTCTCGACGGAGCCGCAGCTGAGCTGCCCCCAGTAAGGACCCCAAGCTTCATCCGATCATCTATTGATTCTGAAATCCACTCAAAGCTGCCCCGACGTCCAAGACCGATGCCGAGACCTAGGAAGCCATCCTTCACAACATCTGCTGCTACTGCATTGCCAAACACTGGACCTTCCATCGTGGAATCAGCAATCAATAATCTGGTAAGCCTATCCACCAGCGCTATCAACCCCAAGAGCTTTACTAATCATCAGTAGATCGTCCAAGCAACCGCCAGTACCCAGGAGTCAAACGCTGCGGAGTCTCACAACATTCGTCAGAGCGTAAGTCCCATTTTTCTTGAATTCGGGCAATCGCAAAACTCACGTCCTATCGGAACCTCTTGGGCCTCAGCGGTCTCTTCCAGCAGTTACCTTTCCTCTCGGGAGGATTGAACTTGACAGCACCAACACCCCCCGCAAATGGCCAGCCTTCCGGGTCTAACTCCTTGTCTTTCACCCACACCGCTCCGTCACATCAGCCTTCGCATCAGGGACATCCTCATGCCCAATCTTCAACCACCTCGGGTCCGTCCACTGCCTCCAACCACAGGGAAGTCAATCCTACTGCATCCCTCCCGGGATCGAGCCCACTCCCTGGATTTCTCACCTCAGTCAGACGGGACGCCCAGTCTCTTAGATGGGTGTGTTAAAAGGGAAAAGTGACCACATCCGGAATTGAACCTCCTCTACACATGAGGGACGCTCTAACCACTGAGCTATATGGTCTTGTTCAAAGCAGGAGTAGGAGGAAGTATAACCTCCTAGGATGGGTTTGAAGGGGCTATGCCACAAGGGGGCTATGCCACAGGTTGGGCTATGCCACATGTTCAGGGACCCTGACCATGATCAGAGAGTGAAGTCAACAGAGTGGCATATTCACAATCTAACAAATATGCGGTCAAGGCCTTGGGAAATTTCCCCATGACCAGGGAAATATTTCCGTGACCTGGTCATGACCGTGCTGATCTGGTTTGTGTCATGTTCCTGACCCTGATCTTCATGACATCATGTGACTGTTCCTGTCAATCATTGATATCACTGATTGACTTCCATCATCAAAAGTGTATCTTATCTAAATTAGTATGGTCATTCATGGTGCATTTTTGTTGGTCTTGGGCTCTTTTTAAAGCTAACCATTGGCTTTATAAGACATCCAAATTTTGCGCTGCTGGCCACCAGCGTTCTGGAGAAGTACTTGACCGGGTGCCTGGCTAGGGGAGGAGGAGAGGACCATTAGAATCTCGGTCTACAGTACGTTTTTGTCGGTCGTGCACTCGTTTTAAAGCTAACAATTGAGGTTATAAGATGCTCAAATTTCGCACCGCAGGCCTTCGCGGTTCTGGAGTAAACCTCGACCGGGTGCCTGGGCTGGGGGAGGAGGAGGACCTGGAGGGAGAGATCATCCGTATCTCAGTCATTAATGGTGCACTTTTCTCGGTATTGAGCTTGTTTAAAAGCTAATCATTGGCGTTATAAATAGCATTTGCTGAGTAGTCTCTTAAAGTTGGTACATACCAATGCTTACCTCTTTCAGTGTTCTTGACTTAAAGGGTGCGCAAAGCACATTTAAGCCGAGTCCTGCCGTGCAAACGCATCGGCCCGTATACTAGTTGATCCCACCTTTATAAAGAAGAAAACAATTGCCTGGATCCCTCTTCCCCATCCACGCTTCAGCCTTTAGGTATATATTGACACCTGGAACAGACACTTGTCGGTGTTGTTTGTCCAATGGATTTCACCCTGAGGACACCCTGGTGACCGCCCTAGTCGCTGAGTGCAATGATAGCTTTAACTTAAGATTCAGGCATGTTCTTTTGGGAGGTTCGAACCCACGCAGGGGTCTCGATTGCCGCCGGCTTCCTTCTCAAAACCACCATGTTTCTTACAAACATTGAAACCGCATTTGGCCTCACGATCCGCACATCGACAGCTTCCACTCAACCTCAATCCTTCCTATCGCAGATTTCGCTTCTCAAAAGTCGATGTAGCCGAGTGACAGCACAATACCGCATCCTCGTTCCCAGTCCATCTTGCTCCCGATAATGTAGAATCCAGTAATGGAAGTCCTATTTCCTGAGCGGTTTGGTTTTGGGAACCAGTGCACTCACATAAATACCCCCAGCACCATGGTCAAGGCACAAAGTTTTGACACTATTGGGAGGTTCATCCAGCATGGCAACTAGCTCGTTGTATATATTGAAGGTCTTTTAAAGCATCCCTACTCTGAAAGACCTTCAATATATACAATGATTTAGGAAATGATCCTACCCGACCTGGCTTACATTTCCCTGGTGAAACACACATGTACACCTCGCCCGTAACATACCACTAACAGCATTGCACACTACAAGGTTACCACGAGGCAAGTAATACTAATACTGTTCTTCGAGCCCCAAATCTTCCCCTTTCCTGATAAGTATGCTTGATGTGTTTTAAATACGTCTCAACCACTAGCTCTATCACACACCTCCGTCATACTCTCCTGTCTGCATGCTTCAGACAGGTACTCCATGACCTATCCCTAAGTAATCTTTCTGTATCCTGGCAATATCTCAGATACCGTCATCACTTCACCATAGCCCCCGAACATACAGCCAGCCGCATACCTGCATACAGTCCTCACTTGTTGAACCCTGTTATCCGTTCTCCCATATCGACAAGACCTGCCCTCTTCCCCAATTCGACAGATGTCCCACTTCTTTGGCGCGCCTACCACGCGAAACCATCTCATCTATCTGTGGACAGTAGAGAACTGCCCATTCCAAGGAATACCCCGCCCAGGCTCTTTCTTAATCACATCAAAACTGCGCACTACATCACAAGCTGCAATTGCTCAACACCCAACTGAAACATGTCATGAACAGGCGACATCATGACATAGAATGGTGCTTATATACCACGGTCTGCCTGTCCACCTAAGCTGGATATGGGCGCCTTTTTGGTGCAGTGGTTAGTGTGACCGTCTAATCACGACAAAACACACAACTATGACGGGATAATCCATGCAGGCCCCACTTACCGCCATTCCCTGTCAACGCCGCTGCCCGAACAGCTAACACCCCCATTGAGAAGTGTCTGTCCGACTCACCGCGTTGTTCTCTCCTCGGTAGTATCTCCTCAATCATCTTCCGCTCTCACCCGCGAACCTGTTATGGACCGACTCTCACCCCCACCACCTATTACTATGAGGTCGCTTCAGAACTTACCACCTACACCCCTACTGGCTTTCCCGCCTTCAATGCCCAACACATGTGCTTCTGACCTGCTTGTCATTCCACCAAGACAGTCGCCCCCAACGGCCCCTGCAGCGCCTGTCGCTTCCTGTGCCTCTTCGCTTGATAAGGCATCCAACCCATCTGTCTATTCCACCGTCAACAAGGCCAGCATACGCACCCAGGGAATTGGTTGGTCACCAGACCACTACTAGCGGCTCACGTCCATCTCCTCGTCTGCTTCAAGGACCTTCACATCTTGACAAGGTGCAGGCTCGACAGCCTCCTCCTACCGTGATAAGCGAGACTGCCGCCGGATGCAATGGTCTTTCGCAACGTTCCCATAACCGTTGTGACGACCTCCTCCATTCTTCCCTCGCTTGTACCTTGACATCCAATCTTTACTTGACAGGACCTGGTGTACCCCTACAGACACTCAGCCCATCCATTTTATCCTCACAAAATCGGCCGGACAGTGCCTATCCCAGCGCCACAAATGCACTCCCTTGTCTTGGCGCAGACATCCGCAACCAGTCGTCCACAGTCACACCTGGTAACAGCTCTTGCACAACATATTACAAGACCATCCGGCATCACCGATGTTACTCATAGTCATGGCTTAGAGGCCTTTCGTATTGACCTTCCTCCAGGCATGCGCACGCCCCATCTTTTCTCCATCCTCTCCAACTACGTGCACAGGTTTCAATCGTTCCGAGCACAACAAACGATATGTCCTTCCTTCTCACTACATACGTAATTCGATCATTAAATACGATTCAAGTACAACTCGGTGTACTTTGTTGTGCACAGCCCATACCCCCTCTGCATCAACAGCCAGTGTTTGCGGAGCTGGCTCACCACCGATAACACTGAGATTAATCAAATTCATCCACTATGCCAACACGATTACATTTACACCACCAACACGCACGTCTACCACTTCAAACCAGTCATCTTCCTACCAGGTAACACTCCTCCCCCCTCATCGATGCTCTGCTCACTGCTACTTAGACGAGGAAAAACGAGGCCCTGTCTCTCTTACCTTCCACTATTACAAAATTCAGTATGAACACTGTCCCGCCATCATCCACTTTCAGCTTCAGTAATTTACACATTCTTGCGGCGACATCTCACATGATTTTCCATCCCCTATGATCGTCCTTCCCTCTCGTTCCGTCAACAATAAACCTAGGATTTTTAATTTATTCTGATATGACTGTCCATCCACCTTGGTGAATAAAAAACCCTGAGAAATCGGTCGCTGAGTATCCCCTTTCCCCTCAGCATCAATCAAAATAGAGCGCTGTCTGAGATCAGCAAGTTGTTCATTCAGCCGACGGCATGACACACATCTTTGTTTGTCGATGTGTCCAGTGTCAAGATCCATGGCAGTGTCCTCAATCTCCATGTCCACCTTGAAGTCGGATTTGTCATCAGTGTCCTTGCCAAGTGAGACTGCATCATCATCTTCAGAGTCTCTGAAGAGGGGAGACTATCAAGCACGTTTGGCAGGAGGAGGTGATTTGAGACGATCTTTGAGAGACTTCTTGATGGGGAAATCCATGAGAGGTCAGAGATTTCTGGCAGTGCAAGGAACATGAAGCTGATTGCAAATCTCCTGAGCCTGTGCCAAGTTGGGATAGATTGGATGAGTCCGGGGATTGTTGGTAAGTGGGGGTGTAAACTTGAGCTGGAAGATTGACGGGAACTTTGTTGACTTCAGCTCGCTGTTTTAACAGGTTATGAGCCTCAGCTCCCTCTAGCCACCTCCTGAACAGTCAAATGGTCGCCCTCAGCAGTCATTGTGCGATTCTCACCGCATCCGAAGGCCATGTCATCCCCGGTTTTTTGCCACGTCCCCTCATATGTTTCCTTGTTTTTTTTGCGCATGCCCCTACGTCTCCGTCTGCCATCGCGGCTGGTGACATGGAGGCCTGGTTCCGAGCCCTTGCGCTCTGGAGGATTGTCAATGGCACCTCCCTTTGCCCTGCCCCTGTTAGGGACATTACACCATCTAGAGGCCTGGGAGACCAAGGCAGACAAGGCTGCTGGCTGGATCTGGCTTATGCTGGAGGACAGCCAGAAGATCCATGTTTCTTCGCACAGGGACGATCCCTGCAAGATGTGGACGCTGCTGCGTGACGCCCACATGCAGCAGAAGCCTGGCACCTGCTTCAACGCCTATGATGACTTCTCCATCCGGAAACGCGAAGACAAGTCCCTCCAGGCCCTCATGAACCGTGTGGACGATGTCGTGAAGCTCATCAAGGACCTCCGGCCCTCCGACTTCACCCTGGACAAGCTGGACAACAAGCTGACCGCGATGGCACAGCTTGCTGTGCGCCGACGCACTCCACAAGAGGCACCTGCCCGAAGAAAGGTTCAGAGCCACTCCCACGTACCACGTACCCTCCAAGGATGCTGGGCAACAAGAGGTGAGAGTGGATGAAGGCCAACTCTAAGGCATCACTTGCCGCGGCCGGGTCATGAAGCCTATGAGTTGCACGAGCTTCCAACCCTACGACTTCGTACACGAAAAAGTCGGACCCCCATGTTGCGCCTCATTCTGTGAGAGATTGGCGCAAGTGGTGGACGAACTCTGGGAATTTCGTGTGAGGAACGGAATCAGCGAGGGGATGCAAGCACGGCATGGGTCTGCACTACAAGAGAGGTTTCCGGGTAAGGCGATGCAGACGGATGAGCATCGATCTGGGCGCACAGCACCTCAGATGGATGTTCGTCTGGGGGTTCACAGGGACATACTCGGCGCAAAGCATCGAGTACCGGTGTTGTTTCGTCCATGGTGGTTTCATTGGCCCCGTAGTGGTGGTTGAAGTGCCGCAGCCAAGTCGACGTTGGGTCGATGTTGATCTCTGCACGTATTTCTCGCCACCAAGTTGAGCCAAGCGCCTCTTCATTCACGTCGTCGCGGTTTTTGTAACTCATGTCTTTGGTAACACCTTAGGTTCTAATGGGGTCTGCTTTGTGGTGTTTTACGCCCGAAGGCACGATCTCTTCGGCTGCCAAATCTCTGAGATGTTTCACATCCAGAGCCGCTTGTTACATTGGAGGCCGTTCATTGCAGCCGCATCATGGATCGCAATGCAGCTTTCCCCTCACGGCCCCAGCGGTCCAAGCCGCCCCATCCCACATAACTCTTTATATATTTCTATTATTTCTATATCCCCTTCCCCACCTTTGTTAAAAGGGAAAAGTGACCACATCCGGATTTGAACCAGAGACCTCCTCTACACATGAGGGACGCTCTAACCACTGAGCTATATGGTCTTGTTCAAAGCAGGAGTAGGAGGAAGTATAACCTCCTAGGATGGGTGTGAAGGGCTTATGCCACGTTGGGCTATGCCACAAGGGGGCTATGCCACAGGTTGGGCTTATGCCACATGTTCAGGGACCCTGACCATGATCAGAGAGTGAAGTCAACAGAGTGACATATTCACAATCTAACAACCTTAACACCTCATTCCTCACCGCGATACGCACACTCTACGATGACTCCCGTCCGCCGCTCTTCCCTCCAAGCGTTCATTAACCTGTCTCTGCGCCTTGCTTCCTTGGACGAGGCTGCCTTCGTCAAGTTCACTCTCACCAGTGAACGCGACGATGACCCTTTTAGACACGGGATTGATCTCAGCGACTCTGAGCTTGAAAAGAGGGACCCTGGCATCACCCTCTTTCGAAAATACACTTTGATTATTGGTTCAAGCTTCAGTATAGAACTTATGAGTGACCTCTACGTCTTTCGCCAGCTTGCCCCTCGGGTTTTCGACAGAGAGAACATCAACTTGTCGTGGGACCTTCGCTTGCCCGATGTGAGTCTACTCGGCTTCCTTCTCCTTACTATGGATTGACTCATCGTTGAACTCGGCAGAGGATTGTTGTCGAAAAGGAGCACAAGCACCTCCCCTTGATCCCCATTGGCACATGGGGTCTGAACACTCGCCTCGGCGTAGTGCTTTCAGGACTTGTAACCCCCGAGGGTGACAACTCCAAGATTCCAGACGATAAGTACATGGAATTCATCACTCTCACTTTGCTCCCTGCCCTCGCGGAACTCAACCTTGAGTTTGAAGACCACCCCGAACACTCCGAACCTTCCGCCGAAATCCCCGCCACACAAGTGTTAAAAGGGAAAAGTGACCACATCCGGATTTGAACCAGAGACCTCCTCTACACATGAGGGACGCTCTAACCACTGAGCTATATGGTCTTGCTCAAAGCAGGAGTAGGAGGAAGTATAACCTCCTAGGATGGGTTTGAAGGGGCTTATACCACGTTGGGCTGTGCCACAAGGGGGCTATGCCACAGGTTGGGCTATGCCACATGTTCAGGGACCCTGACCATGATTAGAGAGTGCGGTCAACAGAGTGACATATTCACAATCTAACAACAAGTCGCCAGGTTCGCCAGAACTCTCCGCAAAATTGCCGCCGAGGATAAGACCCTTCAATGGGTTGGCAAGATCTTCTTCATTCACCAGGTTACTATCGGTGTAGCCACCAGGCACGAAGGGAACAACGAGCACCAAGGTCTTTTGTACCTCGATCTAGCCTTTCACCACTGCGGCCTACCCCACCTAATCTCGGACGGAGGGCATGGCGTCTGGTATGTTTCCGTAGCCATCGAAGTCCGTGCCAACAATCGGCACTGCGTCCTATGGAAGACGAGTGCGCATGCCAGCGCCATCCACGAGCTTGCTGGGATCACCCTTCAGTCCGCTTGCCGCTTGGTAGACGTCGGTAACCCGTGATACTCCCAATCCTTCTTTTCTCACCTGATGGACGTCTCGGGTTGCGTCGTCGAGTTCGACCAGGAGACGAGAGGGGATGCCGCCCCCACTTTCTACCTCACCCATGCCCACGCGGTCGAGAAAAACGACCCCCTCCCCGACATCCTCACTGGCACAGCAATCCCAGCTCTCCGCGCCAACTACGACAAGTTCCGCTGTGCAGCCTTTTATTCCGACGTCAGCATGGAAGCTGGAGGTCTTGTTCCTCTCTCACACGCCGCAACTTTCCTCGCTGGGGTTCCGTACAGCACCATTCAGCAAACTGTATATGTTGTCCAGCCCGAGGCGCATTGGTACATACCCTATTCATTGCCTGGTGCTGCGCACTTACAGCCGCCACAGGGGTCTTCGTGCGCTGGTTTCACTGGCATCGCTGAAGCTCGCCGAAACCACCCTTTCGCTTAGCGTTTACCACTGCAATACATTCGAATCGACGGAAGATGCCAATTACATGTACACCAAGACGCTTCTTTCTCCCCATCGGCAGCCCCATTCCAAGCCACATCATACACCAGTCAATGACGACCCGGCCCAATCGCACACTGTATGCTGATCTGCCCATCGCGTGCTGCCTTTGAAGAGCCATCGCCCATGGGGGTTTGCCTGGGTTTAATTGGGTGTGGACGTGTCAGTATCGAAGAACTGCGCCAAATTGTCCAGAACTCGCCTATTGCATTACCGTACAGCTTGCTCACCCCCGCCCCCCTTCCCCTCCTGCCTGCTTGCCCCACCCCCTGGTGGAGAATTCCTGAAATCATGTACGCCAGCCCCACCTTAGACACCATCATCCCTATCTACAGGATGTTCGACAACCACTTTACACGCGGACTCTCTAGCGAAGCCCAAGAGATCTTCCTGCAGTTTGTGTCAGATGCCATCTACTCCATTCCCGACCAAGTCCCCAGACTCCACAACGATTTCTACAGTCACAGCGCTGGCGTTGTCGATCAGGAGGCGAGTGGGAGTGGTGATGGGGTAGCCAAGCTCCTCCAGGAGGTGGCGAAGCCAGAGAATCTCCTTACCAGCTTTCAACAGCCTGAATGTACTCCGCTTCACATGTGGAAAGCGAAACAACAGGCTGGAGCTTAGCAGCCCAGCTGATAGCACCACCACCAACCACAGTCACATACCCACCACTGGAGCGTCCGGTATCCTTGCAGTCGCCATGAGATGCGTCGGAGTAGGCCGTGAAGATGCCAGGGAGAAGAGGGCCTGAGTAGCGCAGCTTGTAGTCCTTGGTGCCCTGAAGGAAGCGGAACAGATGCTTCACAGCAGCCCAATGCTTGAGGCCTGGGTTCGAGTTGAACCGGGCAAGGTAGCTGACGGCGTGGGCGATGTCTGGGCGAGTCATGGTGGCGAGGTACTGCAGGGAACCGACGGCAGCGAGGTAGGGAACATTGCGCATCTCTTCGACTTCAGCAGGGGTCTGGGGACCCATGGCCTTCGTCAGAGGCTGTCCAACGGGTAGAGGAGTGTCCACCTTGTTGCAGGCGTCCATATTGAAGCGCTTGAGCATGTCGACGATGTACTGGCGCTGTGAGAGACTGATCGAGCGAGTGGCGCGGTCCCTAGAGATCTCAATACCAAGCAGGAAGCGAGTCTCACCAAGATCTCGCAGCTTGAAGTGCTTGCTGAGCTCTGCAACGACCTTGTCAACGGATGCAGTGGACTTGGAGGCAAAGGTGATGTCGTCAATGTACACCGGAACGATGATCTTGACGTCATCTCGGGCGTAGAGGTAGAGGGATCGGTCGGATTCGAGGCGCTTGAAGCCCATGGAGCCCAGGACGGTGTGGAGCTTCTTGTTCCATTGCCTCGCAGCTTGCTTGAGGCCATAGAGCGACTTGTTGAGCTTGAGAACCTTGCCGGCACCGAAGTTGAAGCCCTCTGGCTGAGCCATGTAGATGTCCTCATCCAGATCGCCGTAGGTGAACGCAGAGGAGATGTCCACAGAGCGCAGGTGCATGTCCTCAGCTGCAGCAAGGGCAAGGACGAGCCGGAGCGCAGCAGGACGGTAAGTGGGGGCGAAAACCTCGGTGAAGTCGATGCCGGGACGCTGGGAGTAGCCCTTGGCGACGAGACGAGCCTTGTAGCGCTCGATGGTGCCGTTCGGATTGAACTTGATCTTGAAGACCCATCCACAGGGCAAGACCTTGACTCCTGGAGGCAGATCAGCCGAAGTCCAAGTACCGTTGGCTAGCAGGGTCTGTATCTCCTCGATGGCAGCCTTCCGCCACTTGTCCGCGTCAGGACCGCTCATAGCATGCACCCAATTGCGCGGATCGCCTGAGACAAGACCTGCAAACTCGATTGTGACCCATCCAGCAGCCTCGTCTTCATCATCCTCTTCGTCGTCGCTCGGAATGGCCGGTGTGGGCTCTCTGACCTTCCACCACTCGCCTGGGGGACGTCGGATGCGTGGTGCACGACGCTGAGCGAGGGGAGGCGTAGGAGGCGGCGGAGTTGGTTCAGGGAGTGGCGCCTGAGGTGGAGGAGGCGGCGTTTGAGGAGGGGTCTCTGGTTCAGGAGAAGCAAGCACAGGTGCAGGCGCAGGTGCAGGGGCAGCAGGGGCCACTGGTGGAGCGTCACACTCCCCCAGTTCCTCATCGCCAAGAGGGAGAGGAACTCGCACCACAGGCGGAGGTGAGGGAGGAACAGCAGGCGGCGGTACAACAGTGGACGTCGATGGGGAGGCTCTGGACAGGCCAGGGAAGTAGCGCTCGTCGAAGATGGCTCGTTCTGAGATGACGAACTTCTTGGTGGTGGGGTTGTAGAAGCGCCAGCCCTTGTAGCCAGGCGGATAACCCACAAAGATGCACTTTTGCGCGTGCGGCTGGAGCGATTTGCGCTGGTCCTTCTGCACAAACACATAGGCCGTGCACCCGAATACCCTGAGAATGCTGAGATCTGGTTTGCGCTTGTACCAGGCTTCGTAAGGCGTCATGCCAGGAAGTGAAGCAGTGGGCAGGCAGTTCCAGATCTTGATCTGAGTCGCCAGGGCCTCACCCCAAAACGAAGGAGGCAGCTTGGACTCGGAAAGCATGGCCTTGATGTCCTCGTTCATCGTCCTGTTCGCTCGCTCTGCATCTCCGTTCTGCTGGGGCCTGTTGCGCGTCGTATGGCGGCGCTCGATGCCGCAGTCGTCCGTGAACTTGCGAAACGCGTTGGACATGTACTCCCCACCCTTGTCATCATGCAGGCACTTGATCTTCGCGCCCAGCTGGTTCTCTGCCCATGCCTTGTACCTCCGGAATGCGTCGAATGCGTCGCTCTTGCGCTTGAGAGGCACAGCGACACGGAAACGAGTGCAGTCGTCGATGAAGGTGATCCAGTAGCGGTATCCCTCGCGAGTAGGGACCTCCTTGGGGCCGTGCAAGTCAGAATGGACGAGATCGAGCGGAGCGGAAGCGCGGTTGCCTGTGGAGGGAAAGGAGCCAGACTGGAGCTTGCCATCGATGCAGGGCTCGCAGACCGGGTCAGGCTTCGCGGTAGAGATGGTAGGAATGCCAGTCGCCATCTTGTTGTCCAGCAAACGCTTGATATCAGCGTGGTTGTGGTGAATGAGGCGACGATGGAGGAGTTCAAGGGTGACAGGGACAGTGGAGGCGGCTGAGGCTGCTTCCACAGAGGCTGCAGTGGTGCCATCGAGCGTTGCAGAGTTGTTGGGATGGATGGAGGCGGTGAATAGGCATGAACCAGCACGAATGAAGCGAAGTTGCGAAGACGAAATGAGTATATTGAAACCCTTGACCCGGGTAAGGTACAAACAAGACAGCAGATTGCTCCGAAGCTCTGGTACATGCAAAACTCGTGATAACTCGACCGGCCTAGAGGCCCTCCCATCTACAACAGGCTGGAAGACTGTTGTGCCCATACCAACAGCATAGACAATGCTGTGGTCTGCCAACTTGACTGGAATGTGACAGGGGACATAGTTCCGCACCCAGTGACGATGGGGGGTCATATGAGAAGTGGCGCCTGTGTCTGCAATCCAATCGAAGTCAGCATCGAGCTGGAGCGGAGAGGAGGGATCCCTGGGATCCGGGAGACGAGTATTTGCATTTCCGGCGTACTCAACCACGTCTGCAGAGGCCTGGGAGGCCGATGCATCAGTGGGAGCGGAGTCTTGCGCTTGTTTTGCTTGCTGACCGCGCTTCTTGCGACGCTTGACGACGTTGTCCCTGGCGTTGGCCTGGGCACGGCTGTAGGCATGGCAGGTGGCGATGGCGTGGTTGTTCATGCCACAGAAGTCGCAGGAGGGCGGGGTCGAAGCGGAATGGGCGAGAGCGGCGGTGGAGGCGTCATTTGCGCGACGACGGCGCTGGGCTTCTTCAGCAATGAACGCCTGACGGATGGTCTCGCTATCGAGCTTGTCCAGGAGCAGGAGCGACGAGGTGAAGGCGCTGAACTCCTCAGGGAGCGCCCGGATGAGGGCCATAGCGGTCAGCTCGTTGTCCAGCTTGTCCAGGGTGAAGTCGGCAGGCCGGAGGTCCTTGATGAGCTTCATAGACGTCGTCCACACGGTTCATGAGGGCCTGGAGGGACTCGTCTTCGCGTTTCCGGATGGAGAAGAGGTCGTCGTAGGCGTTGAAGCGGGTGCCAGGCTTCTGCTGCATGTGGGCGTCACGCAGCAGCGTCCACATCTTGCAGGGATCGTCCCTGTGCGAAGAAACATGGATCTTCTGACTGTCCTCCAGCATAAGCCAGATCCAGCCAGCAGCCTTGTCTGCCTTGGTCTCCCAGGCCTCTACCGCGTCTGGGGACGGTGTAATGTCCCCAACACGGGCAGGGCGAAGGGAGGTGCCATTGACAATTCTCCAGAGCGCAAGGGCCCGGAACCAGGCCTCCATGTCACCAGCCCAGAGACTGTAGTTCGTTGGGCCGAGCTTGGCGAAGGTCGGAGTCGACGTTGACATCGTGAGCGATGGTGGACGGAGACGTAGGGGCGTGCGCGAAAAAACAAGGGAAACGGCGGTGAAACCGAGGGGGTAGAGTCGAAATGAGTCTGGATGCGTAGCTCACAGTGAGCGGATAGCGGACTCAAACGGTAAATAGCGGGTGATCGAACGACGAAGGGCGCTCGACGTTGAACGGAGGGGTAGCGCGCACGTACGAGGGGACGTGGCAAAAAAAATGGGGATGACGCGGCCTTCGGATGCGGTGAAAATCGCAAAATGACTCCTGGGGACGTCTGGTTCACTGTTAGGAGGTGGCTAGAGGGAGCCGGGGCTCATAACCTATTAAAACAGCGAACTTCAGTGAAGTCCAACAGTGAGGGGAAAGCACTGGGGGACTCCAGAGTGGTGCTGCGACTATATAAGACATTTTGGGTCGGTAAAACGTCGGGGGACGGGCCTCCGTACATCCGTAAACACATGCAAGGTTGAAGCCAAGCGATACGAGGCTTGGCTTCGGGGTTATTAGCAAAACGAAGTAAAAGGGTAATATCTCGGTAACCGTTGGACGGATTTCCGTCCCTCGGGTACCGTTCGAAAGAGCGTGAAAAGACGGTTCGAATGATACCAAACACGGAAGGAATCGACCAAGTGGAAGTGCCAAAGTCACGACTTCTAACACGGACATCGCCCATGCCGTCAGCTACCTTGCCAAGTCTCAAGCAACAAGCTGTGCTACTCCGCTCAATTCACAAGTAGCTACCTTTCACAGAAAAAGTGAAATCATTAAAATCCACTAGTAGAATGTACTTTAGCATTCTGTAATAGCAAGTTGGTATTGAGTGAAAACTCCGAAAACTCACAATGATGGACTGATTCTCACATATTGATTGATGTACCATCAAATGCATCTTATGGCAAAATCATGACATTTCTGTCATATCTCTGGACATAGCGGGTCATTTCACAAATGGATTTTTGATCTGAATAGATGTTATTAAATGCTCTTTAATGGTATAATTGATATGAAAAATATGTCAGGTTGAGGTATGCAAAAATGCAAAAAACATCGAATTTTTCTTGTTTGATCTCTATCACACTAGTAATGATTAGGTGGAGTGTACTCTCATTTCAGCTATAGTAAATTGTTTTAATAGGCTATACCATGCTACTTATATAGCTTGTGTGGAAGTAGTGTTGCCGCCGCTTGGCTTTGCTCAGCTTAGCTCGGCTTGCCCCGCTTTGGGCAGGTATTGGCTGATGAGCCCAGCAAAGCTAAAAGTCAAGTTAGCTCGCACTAACGGAAGCCAGCTCAAAGCCAGCTAGCGAGCAGCTTGGTTCCCTTTTGGGAAGTAAGCTGTGCCATGTATCCTCTCGGGTCCTAGTACACTCTGCTGGTGCTAGATACCGGTCCCCTATAGCCACATCAACAAGAAAATGTATACAAAACATTCTTCGATACCAATTCTATTTGCTACGTGATGTATTTACATGTTCTGGATGATCTAAAGCTCATAAGCAACAGTGTCATTAGAGTTGAGGCGACTTTCGAGATACTCGAGCTCCTGTTCCCGATCCATCCCAACAATACTGAAGTCAAGGATACACCCGCCATGGTGAATTGAGTATTTGATGACTTGCAGAGCTTCCATGAGCTCAGCGGTTATCCGATTTCTACGAGTGGCCATCATTTCCTTTGCTGACGAAAATACATGTTTGCAAGGAACCACCGAGCCGGGGATTGGTAAATAGTCCATGGCCACAAAGAAAAGAGTGGGATAGCGCAACTGGTTCTCCTACAAACCAGTGAAAAAGCATTCAAAAGAAAAAGGAAAGAGAAAAGACGTACCTGCCAGAAGGATACAGAGGTTGTTCCACTGAATTTGTCAAACAGGTATGCGTTCACCTCATCAAGAAGGTCCTTGTCAGCGCCGGCTCTAGGATTGAGTCCTTGCAGACCAAGGATATCAGCAGCTGATGACGCTGATCGTGGTTGACGAGCATTACGGCGGCGACCCGGGGGTAGACCAAGCCCAATAGCAGGCACATTAAGGGGAGGTGCACTCGGCTGTCGAGGTTGCTGGGGCTGGGAAGCTGTTGGTCGCCATGTTAGAACTGTCGCAGAACGCCCAAAATGATTGGCAATTGTACTGATGATTTTCACCTTCTCGATGTTCTGAAAGTTCTCCGGGTCGTGATTCTCATAATAGCTTAAGCGCTGTGTTGGATCAAGTGCTTGAGAATTGGAGGGAAATTTAGACGGCAACAATGCGAACAAATGAGAGGTAATCTCACCCATTGCCATAATGTAGGCTGGGACTTGATCAGCAAGTTCACGGTATTGCTGTAATTTATTGAGACCAGCGTCGACGACGGATGCTGCAAGCGGGGTGTCAACTTTGAGCTTTGTCCAAGCTTGTTTAAGACCCTCAAAAGGGGGGATAGCCCAACCGAGTGAAGGGGTCTTCTCCTGTGAAAGGATCTGCTGGAATGCATGAGGGACCTGTAATTTTCGGATCCAGTATCAGTTCTTACCACTTCAAAGCAACATCTATACTAACGCGAAAACTCACACATAAGATCTCTTTGGCAGTCTCCAAAGCTGCCCAGTCTTCCTCCGAAAGGGTGTATTTCTTGAGCTCGGGGATTTCGGTGATCATCTTCTTGATTGCCTGAGAAGTGAGCGAGTCATAGGTATGGGTTCAAAATCAGTAACGAAATCACTCAGAATGTAACATGTTACTCACCTCCTCTAACTGTAGAGCACGCTCAATCATCAAAAATGTCGATGACCATCGGGTGTCAACATCGCGGATAAGTTGGATCTCACACTGATACAAATGAAGCATAAGTTTCGCAAAGTGTTGACGTCGTAGAGGTGATGCACGAACCTGAAAAACAATCAGAAATTACTATCCACTGCCATGAATCAGAGTGTTACTTACTGCGCAGACAAAGCATAATGTTGCGATTGGATCATGATCCACAGCATCAAGGAACGTGACATGCTCATCCGGTGTTTGGGGTTCTCGAGCATAGTCCATGTTAGTGATTACTGCAAGGACAGCCTTGCATGCAAGGTTCACAATATGGGGAAAGCAGCGAACGAGCATCAAGAAATTAAGAGTGGATCCTATGGAATAACAATCTGAAGGTTTCTCACCGAACACGACGATCATCGGCATCAAAATTGATCCCCCGAGCTCGAAGTTCTATTGTTATTGCTTGCATTGTCCATATTAATCCATCCCAGCTAAATGGAATGAATTCAGTTAGGTTTGCAAGTTGCGAAAGATTGTACTCACACGGTGTGCAATCTTCACTCTGTCAATGACATGAAGATATGCTGTCATCAAGTGCTCCCCGTCGTGATGGCCAGGGACTCGGATGAATCCAATCAAGTCTGAACGAAGACACACACAGTATAAGTCTCCATCAGGCGTGCTAACCTTTGTACCTTCCATCCAGTGGATTGTGACTGCCATGAAAGGTGTAAGATTCGGATCACTCCCCATATCTGTCGTCGACGAGATCTTCCCGAGAGTGTGAGTCTACAAAATCAAGGTAATACGTCAATACTGTGCTAAAAGAGCAGAGAAACAGGTCATACTCATCTGAATATATTCAGTCAGGTGGTGGATATGATCGTCCCAAGTCCGCATCACCCTTTCTCACAACTGTGTGCAGTGAGGAATGTTGGAATTTTTGAGCTCAGAGCGGAGCATCAAAAAAATCTCTCGAAGATACTTGTTCTCGACCACATTCAATAACTGTTCAAAGAACTAAATTACGGGTGGAAATGAATGTATCAGACGTGGAGCCCTACTTGATCATCGGAAACAATCCATTTTACGAGGGCGTCTATAAAAGTGTCGTGGGAGTAGGGATACGATTGCGGGATTACGCTAGAGTCCCGCTGGGGAGCTGTCCCAGCACCAGTACCTTGCCTCGATGATTGCCTATGCACCTCTACCTTTTTCTGAACGAATTCAGCGGTAATAGAGATACCAGCCTCATCGCAAGAATCAACCCAGTCGGCAAGGTGATGGTCGTACAAATGGGTGCGTAATACAGTGGTCCCCGTGTTCAAGCCAAACTTCTTGACCTTGAACCGCTCGCGGTTATGATAGATCTTTCTACAGTGCATAATCACAATATCAGCCCAAGCAGGAGAATAGGGAATGACTCTCTAGACATACCGGCAAAATGTACAGACGTGCGCATCTCCGTCTTCTTCAATGTAAAAGCTCCAAACATCATTGGCTTTGGCGGCCACCTTGGCAAGATCCAGGGGTGTGACGTTTACGAGGCGAGCGGCTGTGTGGACCAGCACGGGGTACAGACAAGCCAGCCAGGGTCTCGCTGGTATCAAAGCGAGGCTGAGATGGGGTAGGTGAAGTGTTGCAACTTTCCGATGAATCGGAAACATGGGCAATGTCAACAAGCTCTGTTGGCGATGAGCGACCAAGAGCCGCTGAGCTATGTCCACCGGGATGGGAAGTGGCAGGGGTGTGAGACGATGAGGAAACAACAGTTTCAGACTCCCAGACAGTGCCAAGGTCCTGACCCGATGTTACTGGTGGGACGTGAGAGGCGGGTGGATGGGAAACTGCACCGGATGACTTGATTAGAAGAACGATCTACTTCAAAGAGCATAGTCAACGCACGGTCAACCTGAAACGTTGTGGCCAGAGAACCGCCAGGAAGTGTTGTCGAAGTGTCCACTGTGGCACTGTGTCCACCACGGCCCCTACCACGACCATGACCACGACCACGAGAACGAGCATTTGAGGCACCACGGCCAGTCGCCATGGTTGATGCACCAGAGATAGTACTTTGACCACTGCTTGCATCGTCGAGCCCTGGGGCTGGAGTCGATTGATTTTTTTTGCAGGTCATTGCAGAGCAGGTGCTGGGATACAGAAACTACGCTGGACAGACTGGCCTTTTATCTCAGAAACTTGCGACTGCGATTTGGGGCATGCGTCCATCCACCAAGAGTCGAGAACATACCTCAGAGTCCAATTTGGTTCGTGTTTCCACAGTCTTCACCCTTCAACAAAGGCATTTGGCACCCGCCTTTCCTTCTGCAACTTCTGACGAAGATACACCCCTTCATTGCGCACCAAACCCTGCGAATCTCAACACTATTCGCAACCCTGTGGACTCTTTTTGAATTGACCTCAGAGCCTGCTCCACCACACCCTGAAACGAGCCCCAAACACCTGTAAGCGCCCTCCAAACCCAGATTTGCGAGTTCCCTTTCGAGTCGTGGTTGGACAGCTGGAAGGTAGAGCGTCCAACAGGCAGGAAATTGGTGGGAAATGACCAGGACGGCCCTATCTCAAAGACCTGTGGAAATGGCACGGACACCCATCTAAGAGACTGGGCATCCCGTCTGACTGAGGTGCTTATATACATTTCCCAGTGGGTAATAGAATAATGTGAGGATAAACTAATACCACAGAGAAGGGGAAGTGACTGAGCACATCCCAGAGATAATCCATCCGAAATGACTTGATCAGATGGTCGAACAATAACTGAATAATAAGAAGAAACATTGTACACTACATTGAAGTCGGAAAAAATTCAATACTCCTCCTTGGTCATGCATCCAAGAAGGAGAAGTCCAAGTCAGTAAGTGAAATTGGTATGAACTGTATGAGTGAGCCCTTTGGTGAAAATATCAGCCAGATTATCAAGCATGTTGATGTAGATGGTGTTGGAGTTCCAGAGTTGACGAGGTCTCGCGTAAGAAATGAAGGGAGATGTTGATATGCTTGGTATGTGCATGGAATTCTGGGCAACAAGAGATGGTGATGGCTGCTTGGTTGTCCATGAATATAGTCATAGTTGAAGGCTGTGGAAGTCCGAGTTCATCGAAAAGAGATCAAAGCGAAAGAGCTTGCTTCACAGTGTGAGTAGTGGTGATATATTCTGCCTCAGCAGTCGAAAGTGTCGCGAAGAGCAAACACTAAACCAAACCAAAGACCAGTGATGTGGAGCAGATAAGAGTGGAGAGTGAGATAAGAGCGATGAGTGACGAATGCAGATGAATGCTGAAGCGATGTATTGACGAAGAGGTCAAGCTGAGGAAGTACAGAGGGTTCTACCTAGCTTATATACCTATTCTACAGTCTACATAGCCGCAATGAGTCAAGATGATGAACAGATGGTGAAATGCAGAAGAACAATAAGGAGAGTCACAAGGCTGCGCAAAGAATGAAGAAGACAATAACGGAGTAACAAGGCAGTGCAAGAATGGAGAGAACAATAAGACGTAGGGCGAAGGGCATAACGAGGCAGTGTTCCATGGGAGAAAGTGTCCGTGTCGAGAATAAAGGCAAGATATAAGAATGAAGAGGAAGTGATAAGGGAAATGAAAGTGATAAGATAAGATAAGGAAAAATAGGGGCTCGTACCCGCTGTTCACAACAGAAAGGGAGATGGAAGATTGCTTCTTTGAGCTCCAGAAAGTCGCTCCTCCTGTAAGTGTGCAGATACATATGTATATCTACTAATGGACTTGCAATCAGCATTGGAAGCCCAATCAGGGTCTGAGTAGATGTTCACCTCAGGCCCCCAATCAACCTCTAGCCTGCCATAAGTGAGGTGAAGGTCTTTGGTGCCTTTCAGGTAAGGAAAGACACATTTGACTGCAGTCCAGTGCTTTGGTTGGGGCTTCTGAGTGAACTGCGCAAGTCGGTGGACAGCATAGGTGATATCTGGATGTGTACCATAGAGGAGGGAGTTAATAACGGTTGCATAAAGTCCAGAACCTTGTTTGTCAGAGGTAGGAGAGTTGGAGGCAGGAGGGTCAATGGAATTGAGGTTAACATTTCCCGTCAAGAGGTGTACAGATGGAATTCAAAGTTTTGAGCTGAGTGAAGCCCTCATCGTGCATCACAGAGTTAAATTTTCAATTCCAGACATTTCTGGGCCTGTTTTGTCAGAATTTGTGACTTTGGCACTTTCCCTTGGTCGATTTCCTTCATGCTTAGTATCATTCAAACTGGCCTTTCACACTCTTTCTAATGATACCCGGGGGACGGTAATCCGTCCACTGGTTACTGAGATATTTGTGTTTTACTTCATTTTATCTAATAAGCACTGGATTGCTTGGCTTCAACCATTCATGTGTTTTTGGGTATGCAGAGTTCCGTCTCCCGATGTTTTACTGTCTGCAATTGTCTTATATAGTCGCAGCATCGTTCTGGAGTCCCTCAGTGCTTTCCCCTCACTGCTGGACTTCAGTTCGCTGTTTTGACATGTTTAAGGTCATAAAGTGCACATTTGAGGTGGCAAACACATCCTGGACTGTCATCAAAACCTGGTGGCTGCTTCATAAAGATCTTCTCATTGAGTTGACCATTGAGATAGGTGCTTTTGACGTTGAGTTGGAACATTTTCCAATTATGAATGGCAGCAAGTGTCAGCAACTAACTACTTGATCTGATGCTCAAGCAATCAATAGCTGCACTAGGAAAGACTTTGACGAAAAGTGATGAGATTCAACAAGAGCTAGTGTGTTGTAGCTAGGAATAAACCAGCTAAAGACTGGGGAAACTACTCTAACAAGTCTACTCTATATATACTACTTGAGTTGTTTATACTTGTTTGGTCAATAGTCTGTGTGTGCACAGTGTTTTGTCTAGCTGGGGGGGTACGGTCCCATGACTCATCACATGTCAGGGTCACATGACATCCTACACTACTCATTCCACAAATATCTATCTGCATCCCACAGGTTCCCTTCCAGCCAGTAAGTCGACAAGTTCCCAAGTCCCCATCTTCTCCAACAGGAGATTCTCCTGGGGATTTCCCGCAGGTCCTGCGTCAGCAGGGACTCACCCGCCGACACAAGATGAGCCCCGCTCGCGCGGGTTTTGACGACCCACCCCACCCTGGCAGTTTTCTTTGATCCCGCACAAGCAAGGAAAGAGGTTGACCCCGCGCAGGCGGTTTCTTCGGTCCCGCGTGAGCAGGGACAGAGTCAACCCCACCCTGGTGGTGGTGTCGATTTCACGCAAACAGGGCAAAATGTAATGAATGTAAGCGAAAAAGATCATTTTGAAAGCAGAAAAAAGGTAAAAAGATGAGAATGAGTGTCCAGACGATGGACGCCCACCATTGAACGCAACGTCAGTGACGTCACAGGCGTCAATGGTGTTATAGTCATACAAAATGAGGTCAAAGTCCGACTCAGTCGACTCCTTGCTCTTGCCTTCAACCTTCACCGTCAGCCGCTTTAGAAGTTTTCCTTATATTCTCGTGTTCCTTTTCAAACTCGCCCAAATTGTCTATCTCTCCTTCTGCTAGACTCTAGTTGGCTGGTTCAGGTGATCCTACAGACACCCGGTGTGGTTCATGAATTGTCTGGTTTGGCGGGCTCTCCAGGTGCACCGAATTCACTTTCTGTTATCCGTGATTCATCAAGCCTTCTCGCTTATTGTCTTTTTTATATCATAAAGTTATAAGCATTTTGTACTGTCGTATTTACCATGAATTCAATTGTATTACTTCTCCCGCTCCCGCAGTTCAGCGAGAACCCCCGCTCCCCCAGGCCGACGAGAACCTGCTCCCTGGTGAAAACAGTGTCCTGGACTCCTGCGTCGGCAGTGCTGCACCCGCGCTGGCGGAAACCCGCAGTAAAACGGGAGATTTCCCTGGGGAAATCTCCCGTGAGGTGTATGGGGAGCCGAGGGACGAGGCCTTGGATTTTCCTGCCCTGGCAGTGAACCCTCCAGCACCTGCAGGGGATTCTCCTGCGGGAGCAGGAGCTCTCTTCCTGCGCCTGCGGGAATCCCCCAGGAGGTCTTCCTGGGGGGCGGACTTGTAGTGAATCACCTTCCACTTCTCAGCATCAGGGCCCTCCAAGGTGTTGGTAACACTCCTGGGTAGACTGTCCATGATCCAGTTGGAGAACCACAAGAGCCTGAACTGAACCCTGAACTGAACCTGAGGTTCGGGTCCAGGTTCAGGAAATTTCTGAACCCAAACTTTTGGCCAAAAAGTAATTACATCAAAAATTGGGAGAGGTACTATTGAAATACTACACAAAAGAGGGACAAAATCAGGAATAAGACTATTATTTTCGCTTTTTCAGTATTAAGACTGGTTTCTATTGGTTTTTAAATGTAATAGAGAGTTCCCAATGTAGTAATAGTAAATGAATCAAAAAGAATTCCTGAAAAAAGCGAAGAAATGAGTGAGGTATGAATGAAATACTGGGGGAGGGAAAGGATGACATCATACTAATTAAGATAAGATTGGCTTTCTGATGATGGAAGTTAATCAATGATATCAATGATTGACATCATCAGGCACCATGATGTCATGATAATCAGGAACAGGAACAAATGATGTCATACTCATTGTCAATCAGAATTTGATTTGATCATCTATGTTTATTGTTTCCGGAAAATGGTACTATTTTGGAGCTTCCAGGTTGGCTTCCCATCAATTTTGGAGTGCATCACGTTTGATGGCTGGAATGGAACTGGAAGTGGATACCCTTTGTTTGGTCCACTGGAAGTTCCAAGGTGGAAGTGGAAGCTGGAAGTGGATTGGTGGTGGAATTTCCTGGATTTTTTTTGGGATGGGCAGAGGCTGGAAGCTTCCTGGGAAGGGGGGTCACATGACCCTTGGAAGCGAAGAAATTAATATGATCTTCGTGATAGGCTTCCATAGGTGACTGAAGTGTCGGGTTGAGCTTCAACCTCCCATCAGACTCATCCAACACCCAGACATTGCACCATACTTATCGATACTCCGTATACGCAGCTCCTATACTCTTCATTCAGGCCTCCCTTCCTCTCTGAACCTCCCGATAATCTACTATAAATACTGCCATCTTGTAGTAGATACTCCTTAGCCTGTTATCGAGAACCTTTCCTCCAGAACTTCTATCGCTCTTAGCTCAATCTCTTCTGTCTGCAATAGTGACAGGCCTCTTGAACTTGACTCCAGAACCCGCACTTCGATCCAGAACCTCCAGAATTCTTGAACTCTTGAGCGACTGTTGACAACGACAAGTTCTCGTTGTCCGAAGTTGTAACAATCCCCTTATGAACCTGTACATAGGTACTCTTAGCTAGCATATACAATAATATCAACTTTGTCTGAGAGATCCTCCTCTGTAAAATTTCTCCAAGGCATTGCAAAATTTCTGTCCCACTGGCTGGAACAATAAGACGTAGGACGAAGGGCATAACGAGGCAGTGTTCCATGGGAGAAAGTGTCCGTGTCGAGAATAAAGGCAGGAATAAGAATGAAGAGAAGGTGATAAGGGAGATGAAAGTGATAAGATAAGATAAGGAAAAATAGGGGCCCATACCCGCTGTTCATGACAGATAGATCGTCATCAGGCCTTACGACAAGATCGGAGATCAAGCGAAGGGAGCGATAAGATAGGAGATAAGATAACCAGAACGACGGAACCAGGAACGGTTCACACAGACAAGTCCCGGTTCCGCCGGGCAGACTTCCTCAGTGGGTATAGATGAAACGGGGTGCTAGAGATCCCATGACCCTTTGATGAAGGAAAGTCACACAGAAAGAGGGGACAGAACGATGAGTCCATATGCCACCCTCCGGCAGAGATTACAAAAGGGTATACCATTTGGTTCCGCGGAAGCATATTCACGGAGGAACCTTGGGGTTTCCCACAACCGACAGCTTCCGTTCCAATGGAACGGAATGCTCAGAATTCATGCGCTTCAACAGTGCATCAATAGACGCCCATGTGCATAGTCGGCATGACACCGCCAGTCCTTCTTTTATCGAATTTCCTTCCTCTTTTGTCTCTCTGTTGCTCTGATATCTCCGCTCAGTCTCTGTATTTCATTCATTTGTATCACGCGTATATTTGTCATATATTTTATAGCCTTTGATAGTCTTTGTTTTAAAACTCGTAGTCAAACACCGTGTACCATATAAATAGGCCCGCCGAGCAGAAAAATCATCAGATACCCCTTTGACTCGATTTTATATCTTGTCCTGATTGATGTGGTTGTTCAGTAAGAAAAGAGGAAGTCTCAGAGAGTTCGAGTTAAGCAAGTCAAGTCGAGTTCCGAGTTTACAAGTCAAATACACGAGTTCGAGTTAAAACGAGTCAACGAGTGATCCCACCAGGACGAGTTATCTGTGTTTTCAAGTGAATTTGAGTTAAAACCGAGCTGAGTGTTGAGTCGTGTGTTTCCCTTGTGTGTAGAGCACAACAAAATTTTAAAAACTTCGTTTCATAAAGTCAAGAGCCTTTCCAAAGCTCTAAAAACTCAAAAACCCGTTCTATACGAGTCTGAGAGTCTTCTCCTCATTAGCTATGTCTACTAGAACAACAACCCCGTCAAACTTGCGTGCCAACGTACAGTTAGTACACAAAAGTCTTATAGATTCGGCCACCAGTCTTCATCTTCGTGTCACTTGTCTCACAACAAGTTCCACTTGATTCAGGACCACCGGTTGTTTTCTTGCTCTTCTTTGTGCTTTCTGTGCTAGCCAGCACATCACCGAGGGACTATGGACTACGCCCTGGTCTTAGATGGTTCTTCCTCACAAGGACTTATTGTCTACTCAGATTCGGACTTTGCTGCTGATCCTATCAAATGCAGGTCCATGACTGGATTCATCATCAAGTTGGCTAATGCTACTATCAGTTGGACTTCACATGCTCAGAAGACCATTGCAACTTCGTCTACAGAAGCCGAGTACATGGCACTCTCCGATTGTAGCCACCAGGTCATGTGTCTGAAGCATATGTTCAACAAACTAGGCATGCCCATTGACAAAGTGCTGATCTGCACAGATAACAATGGAGCTATCTTCATTGGCTCAAACCTCATCCAGGAATGTCGTATCAAACACATTGATGTTCATTATCACTACATCCGCAAATGTGTTAAAGATGGAGACATCGAGATTCTTTGCGTCAACACTAACGACAATCCTGCTGACATGTTTACCAAACCTCTTGGTCATGTCAAGCTTGAGCATTTCTGTGAACAACTCGGACTTGAGTTTGGAAGGGCTTAAGTTCTTGAGTTACGCTCAGTGCGCTATTCATAGCTGCACTTCATTGGGAATTTCGCACATTACTTTCGCACATTTCCGGCTTTTTCACTGTCCACAAGTCAGCAAGTCGGCACCGGCGTCAAACGCGTCACCTTGCCTCCTCCTCTCCCTACTTGCATGCACGTGGCTGCGGTTTTGTCAAGGTAGTCCATCTCAATCTGATTCATATACCCTCTGGGCGACCAAAAATCAAAGAAAAGTTAAGTTTGTCCAATTTTTCTCAAGAGAATATGTCATTTGGTTCGTCAATTTCCTCTCAATGACATCTCACAATACACGACCGTTACAGAGAGCATAACGAGGCTCCAGTGACGGCTGGAATCAGTACGGAGGTTGTCTCAACTAAAGCAGTCGGTATTTTATTGGTGCACCTTGGTGGGGATGCACAATGACAGTGTCCGTGTATGCCGCTTTATTCTCGACTGCACTTTTCCAAAAAGTAGACATGTCTTTTTGCACTTTTTACTTTTCTACTTTTCTGGCTTGCCGGCGGCTTGAGGGAGCTTGTGCAAGTGGGAAAAAGTGATTGGTAAGCTTTCTGATGTTAGCGAGAAGTGTAGAACTTATTATCTTATCTGTAGATTATATAATAGATTAGATTAGTGAGACTTGGTCCAGAACATTCTAGAACAGTATAGTGTAGAACATTCTGGAACGTAACATGAGCAGGTGCTAATCCTTGAACTATATAGCATAATTATCGATCATTATTGCTCATGATGACTCAATCACTTACTCACCCCATCACACCTTCCATATTTATGTAGTTTATGTCACATCTGTCACACTCCCTGTAAACTATAAATACCAGCCCTCTCTGGCCTTGGAATAGATGACTGAGTTCATCTCAACTCTTGTAGTTAGCCACTAGTTAGCCTCACACAACTCTCTACCTGGTAAGTCTTAGAGTAGACCACCTTAGCTAGATAGTATTTGCTCAACAAGGGCTCAGTCTATTGATGTAAAAAGGATTTAATGTAAAGAGGGAGTCCTCTCATAATGCCCAATGCAAAAGATTTGGCGTTAATTGAAGGGGAAGTGGTCAGAAAGTGCCCAAAACTTCAATCAGGTACCATCAGACAAGGTCTCACTTATGTCACCCAGTCTGCCACATCTATGTTGATTGGAGCCCAAATAAAAACAATGCTTGTACTCTACAGGGTCTTGCATATTGCCCAATGCAAAAATTCCAGCAAAAATCAAACTGGAAGAAGCAGAAATGAAGCCAATACCAGGGAGATCATGATAGTGGTGACATAATCAACCTGAAGTGTGTTGGCCAGCTTCCTTTCTTTCCGTCCCCCACATTTGTTACCTTTCCATAGCAAGAATAGTGAAAGTCAAGAGTCGGCTGACCCCTGCGGGTTTCTGGGTCAACCCCGTCACGGTTTGGATACGGGTCGCCATTCCCAGACCCGGAAACTTCAAAATGAGCCATAGATCATCCAAAATGGATGAGAAATGGTAGAGATACAGTCAAATAAGTGTTTTCACCATATCTCAACCATTTCTTATCCGTTTTGGACAATCTAAAGCTCAACACGTGCAGAAAACCCGTCGGGTTACGGGTAGGGTCAGGCCAAGGGTCGGGTCCGGGTCGGCCTTCCGAAACCCGGGGTTGACCCCTGGTGATCACTAAGCAAGAATATCAACTCAGGGCTGTGCACTATCAGGAGATGTCAGAGCAATAATTATCTTCATGGCTCGCTACCTGAGTGTCCATCAGATCACAATGTGCATGGACCTCAACTCGAGGACCATCTACCAAGTGCTCCAAGACTTCAAGAAGCACAGGCTGGTTTCCAACGAGCCAACCTCAAGCTCTCACAGATTGAAACAGAAGCTAAACTTTGACGATGCAAGGGTAAGTTCCTCAGATTACTCTGCAGAACAATTGCTTAGACACCAATCCAAAGTTCATTAGATGTGCAATTGAGCAGAAGCCAGATATTTATCTGGATGAACTCCGTTCCTTGGTGGTCGCCATTCCCAGACCCGGAAACTTCAAAATGAGCCATAGATCATCCAAAATGGATGAGAAATGGTAGAGATACAGTCAAATAAGTGTTTTCACCATATCTCAACCATTTCTTATCCGTTTTGGACAATCTAAAGCTCAACACGTGCAGAAAACCCGTCGGGTTACGGGTAGGGTCAGGCCAAGGGTCGGGTCCGGGTCGGCCTTCCGAAACCCGGGGTTGACCCCTGGTGATCACTAAGCAAGAATATCAACTCAGGGCTGTGCACTATCAGGAGATGTCAGAGCAATAATTATCTTCATGGCTCGCTACCTGAGTGTCCATCAGATCACAATGTGCATGGACCTCAACTCGAGGACCATCTACCAAGTGCTCCAAGACTTCAAGAAGAACAGGCTGGTTTCCAACGAGCCAACCTCAAGCTCTCACAGATTGAAACAGAAGCTAAACTTTGACGATGCAAGGGTAAGTTCCTCAGATTACTCTGCAGAACAATTGCTTAGACACCAATCCAAAGTTCATTAGATGTGCAATTGAGCAGAAGCCAGATATTTATCTGGATGAACTCCGTTCCTTGGTTCGGTGTTGTGGAATTGATGTAAGTGAGAGCACAATCTGGTGCACCCTTGCCAGAATGGCATTTACAATCAAAACGGTGAGTTAAGCTTATGCAGGAATTGTGATCAGCTCAGCTGATATATGAAAGATTACAAAGGAGGCTATCAAATAAAGTAATGAAAAGCAAGCACTACACCAATTTCTATATGGCTCTCAATATACTGCCGACCAAACTGTATTTGTCGATGAGAGTTCTTTTGATTGAAGGACTCAATTACAATGTTGTGGGTGGTCTTTGACTGGGAAGAGAACACTCAAGAGGCGCTTCTTTGTAAGGGGCAGATGGTAAAGTCCTCTTTGTTCTATTCCTGGCACCTGATGGGCATCTCATCTCCCGATACTAATTACTCATTACTTCTAGCATTGTCAATGGATGGGCACTATAAGTCCGCCCCCCAGGAAAACCTCCTGGGGGATTCCTGCAGGCACAGGAAGGGAACTCCCGCTCCCGCAGGGGAATCCCCTGTAGGTGCGGGAGGGTTCACTGCCGGCGCAGGAAAATCTGAGGCCTGGTCCCTCGGCTCCCCATACACCTGCGGGAAATTTCTCTGGGGAAATCTGCCGTTTTACTGTGGGATTTCCGCCAGCCGCGGGTGCAGTACTACCTATGCAGGACACTGTTTCCCCGGGGGAGCAGGTTCTCGTCGGCCTGGGGGAGCGGGGGTTCTCATTGAGCTGCAGGAGCGGGAAAAATAATACAATTATATTCATGGTAAATACGACACAAATACTAATACATAGTACCTATAACACTCCAAACGAAGCCTGAGTACTGAGTGGCATGGGAGACAGACCTGCAATTTAAAAGACAGTATTGTCAGTGTCATTGAGATCTTTGATAAATGGTAATAACTGGATTGTTGACTTACACATATACTCGGACCTATGATATAAAAGAGACAATAAGCGAGAAGGCTTGACCAGAAACTGAATTCGGCGCACCTACCTGGAGAGCCCGCCAAACCAGATGATGCAGGAACCACGCCGGGGCCCGGGTGTCTGCAGGATCACCTGAACAGAACCAGCCAACTGGCACAGGAAGAGTCATAGACGGCTTGGATGAGTTTGAAAAAGAACACGAGAATATAAGGAAACCCTCTAAAGAGGCTGACAGTGAAGGTTGAAGGTGAGAGCAAGCCTCAAGGAGTCCGACTTCGGACTTTTGACCTCATTTTGTATGAGTATGACACCATTGACGCGCGTGATGTCACTGATGTCGCGACAGTCAATGGTGGATGCTCACTCTCATCTTTTAACTTTTTTTCTTTTCCACTTCTTTCCTTGTTGTAGATCTCATAATTCCTTTTGGCAGGGGAGAAGGACTTGGATAGGAAGGCAACGGGGTGGCAGTTACCATTGGAATCCATTGTTGAACTTATCTTATCTGTAGATTACATTGTAGATTAGATTAGATTAGTGAGACTCAGTCCAGAACACTCTAGAACATTCTAGTGTAGAACATTCTGGAACGTCACATGAGCAGGTGCTAATACTTGCATCATTATCGCTCATACTTACTCATGATGACTCATTTGCTTACTCACCCATCTGTCAGGGCTCGAGCTCTTAGACGACTCTGATACACACTCACGCCTTCCCTAGACTCAGCTTAGATTTCGACACTTCGACTTCACATCTCGACGTCTCGACTTTCGCTTCTGGCCATACTCGAACCCTCGACTTCCCCAACGTCTTCAGCCGCACTGCCACCTAGACTCCGGTCACGTCAATGTCTACTGATCTAGACTTCACCGGATCAGGCAAGACGCGCGACTTGGCTCCTTCTGTGATCTCGGATCCTCTGGAAGCCTTGTGGACTTTAGGCAGGCTGTTACGGTCAAGGGACGCGAACTCGAGTGAGCATGCATGTCGACTATAGAGTCGTGGTTTCGAGGCAAGTTCGAAGAGATAGGCGTCTAAGAGTGCCTCACAAGAGGTATTGTCTTAAGACGACTAGAGCGAGTTCGAGGGAAGAGTAGAAGAGGGTATGATTCACGAGAACTAGCTAAAGAACAAGAGAGGTATCTAAAGAGCTTATATACCTATCTAGCTACATGAATGTGAGTCAAGAGAAGTCAGAGAAGAAGACTGCGCGAGCACAGGTTACTGCGGAGCGCAGCAGAGATAAATTAGAGAACAATAAAGAGTGGCTGCGCCGCAGCAAGATGGAGTCATAAAGAGTCAAAGAAGGCTGCGCCGCAGCGTGTAAAAGGAATTAACAGATAAAACAGTCTACAAGATAAAGAAAGAGATCATGTGAATAAGAAAGAGAGTCATGTGATAGAGAAGGGACGCGAAGAGAAAAGATAGGGGCGGAATTCGTAACACGGGGTGCTTGGTATTTCGAAGCCTTCGACTTCTGTATTGTTCTTTGGAAGTATGTTCCCTTTCTAGACGTCTTCGTTCTTTGTTGTTGTCCGAAGTTCCCTCGTACGTCATATCCTCGACTTTCCTGATTTATCGATGTTGTTATCTTTAGAGGTCGGAGGTTAGCCTTGGTCTCACATTATAAGAATGTGTACCCTTCGTCAAGGTTTCCTATGGCTGGCTAGGCCGACGGGCCGGACGGACACCTTGCGGCGAGAGCGCGACGTGAAGAGATGACTGGAGCTAAGGCTCGACGGTCGAAGACGTTGAGGGAGTTAAGTTAGACTTAGGAATTCGGACAGAGCATTCGATGAGGGAAAAGGAGCCGGGGTCCTAGTCGAGATTCCGGATGAGGTATCTACTACAAAACCATACAGTACTTATAGAGGACACGTCTAGAGAATCTACGACAAGAGAAGAGCGGAGAAACGATGGAGAAACATGAAGGCGAGACTAAGATGTAAGAATGAGAAATACAAACGACATGAAGGCGAATCAATCCAAGAACAACAAAAGACAGTCGAAGAAGCTATCTACGAACCAATCACAACATGATAAGAAAGTCTAGAGCGAGGACATGAAGTAGAAAGGTTGAAGACAAGTCTTGAGCAAAGGACATGTGATGAGGAAAGATAAGCCAAAGAAATGAAAGATAATAACATTGCTAAATCAGGAAGTCGAGATATGATGTACGAGGGAACTTCGGACAACAACAAAGAATGAAGACGTCTAGAAAGGGAACATACTTCCCAAAGAACAATACAGAAGTCGAAGGCTTCGAAATACCAAGCACGCGCCTAAAGTCCACAAGGCTTCTGGAGGATCCGAGATCACAGAAGGAGCCAAGTCGCGCGTCTTGCCTGATCCGGTGAAGTCTAGATCAGTAGACATTGACGTGACCGGAGTCTAGGTGGCAGTGCGGCTGAAGACGTTGGGGAAGTCGAGGGTTCGAGTATGGCTGGAAGCGAAAGCCAAGACGTCGAGATGTGAAGTCGAAGTGTCAAAATCTAAGTCGAGTCTGGGGAAGGCGCGAGTGTGTATCAGAGTTCTGCTAAGTGCACAAGCCCTGACAATAGCATGGTATCCGAGAACCTCATCTTCAAGGGTATTGTCCCAAACAAGTCCGGCAGGAAGCTATACAGTTGCAAGTACTGCAATAGTGACCCGATCGAGCACCGAGATGGCCGCCCAATTGAGCATTTGACGAAATGTTCCCAAACGAGCGATGATCTCAAGCAGATGGCTCACCGATGGCTTCTCACAAAGGGCTTTATTCAAGAGAAGGTTCCCATTCTCCCAACGCAGCAGTCCTCTCATGCCGAGACCAATGGAAATGATATGGCGGCGTCGAGCTCAGAGCCGCAATACGAGGCTATTCCTGTCAAAAACTGGAAGCCAAAAACACTCGATGGTTACATAGACCACCGTATGCTGGAGGCTCTTCAAAAAGAGGCTGATGTTCGCTGGTTTCGGTTAGTATTCACTTGGCTTTACGTTACGTTGTCCTGAAGAGCCCAAAATAGCTTTACGGTCAATGCCAATCTGGCATTTCGATCTTCTCACGACCCATTTTTGGACTACTTCTTCGATTGTGTCCGGGCATCTTACCGACCTCCATCCCCCTATGTAATGGGGACTAGACTTATTCTGGCGGAATCTTCTCGAGTCCATCTCGAGGAGATGGAATTATTGAAGGCAGCAGATGCGCTGACCCTTCTTTTCGAGGGCTGGGAGGATGCAATGAAGAGATCTCTTTACGGTTCTGTCACTGCACAGCCCTCGATTCCTGGTACAGTTATGTCACTCCATGACTTGACCGGGAAGTGAGGGAATGCTGATAAATATATTGAAACCTTAATTGATGCGATGGGCCAAATGGGAATGAAGGAGGCAAAAAATGTTGTGGCATTGACCATGGACAATCCTACTGTCATGCAGTCGATGCGCCGTGAATTTGGGGAGAAGTATTATTGGGTCCAGGTGAGTAGTATTCATCTTTGAACATCTTTGGAAGCTCACCCTGAATTAGTTATTGTTCTGTTTCCTTCACGTGCTCAATACCATCATTGGGAAGATCAGCTCGTTCTCTGAAGTCAAGCCTATCATCACCAAAAGTGCCCGGATTGTCAGCTTCTTCAACAGCTCGCATTACTGGGGAGGACAGCTGAGAGAGGAGGCAAAGAAGGACAATGCCACCCAGAAACTCACCACCAAGACTGAAACCTGGTGGTATTCACTGATTCAACAGTGCTTAAGCATTCTCTCCCACAAGTAATCCCTTCCATTTGTCCCATTTTATGACTGATTCATATTATCTAGGCGCGCATTAATTAATCTCTGTACCTGAGAAGAAGATGATGGCTACTCTGCTATTGCCACAGATGTTGTTGCCACTGTCTCTGATGTGTTGTATTGGAAGATTTTACAGCAACTTGTCAAGGTCTGCAAGCCCATCGTTGATGGCATTGGTGATCTTGAATCCCACGATGTCAACCTTGCCGACTGCATGCTCACATTTATTCGGATTGCGCGGGATATGGCAAAACTCAAGCTCAGCCCAGGCGAGAATCTCCCGTTCTTCACCCATAGCAAGGCTGTCTTCAATCGAGAATTCCACTCCATTAATACCAACATCCACACTCTCGCGCTCTTTCTCCATCCCAAATGCTGAAAACTTGCTGTATCGCAGGCTGCTAAAGGGAGAACCTTGAAGCAGATTTGCGAGTACGCATCAAAAATTGCCAGCCAGTGGCGATGGCCCCTTGAACGGGCTAGTCTGCTTATCGACAACATGGTGGATTACTACGAACAGAAGGCGCCATTCACCGGAGAGAAAACGGACGGATTGGCGTATTGGGAGCGCCAGAATCTCCCCGCCGAGCAGTATCCCATCAAAACCCTCGCAATTTGGATTCTTTCAATCCTTCCCCATGCCGCCGAGGTAGAGTGTCTATTCTCAAATCTCAGTGGTGTCCAAGGACTGCGCCATTGCAATCTCGCTGTCAGTACTTTTGAAACACTTGGGAAATTACGCGCCAACTACCGCCGTATCCTCTGGTCTCGCGCCAAGGCCATGGGCAAGTCAACTCAACGAAAACACACTCATATGCACACACGAGAGGGTGGCGGGATTGATGAAACGTTGGTGGACGAGATTGAGGGAGAATTGGAGCCTGCTGGCAGTCCCGATGACGAGGCTGTGCTGGCAGGACATGTGGAAATTACCACCGACAAGATTGAGAGGGCGTATACCGAGCTTGATCAAGACTCTCGCGCCCCAATCCCGACAGCATGGGAGGCCGAAACCGAAGGATGTACCATTTCCGTGGACCTGGCTTTCGATTTATCCGAGTTTGCATCATGCATGCATCGAGGAGGGTACGCAAGAAGGGAAAGTACCCCAGTCGCCAAAAGCTTTTGATAGATCCGACGTATGGGAGGCAGGTTTAGAGTAAAAACGTTGCATTGATTCAAACGGTCTTTAGATTAGTCAATCTACATACAAGATGGATCCCTAACTACGAAATTCAACTTGCTTTTTACTTTTTTATTTCGCCGTTTTGCCAGGTGGCAAGACGTGCGGGACAATTCTGCCCCACACCCTAAATAGATGACAGAGTTCGTCACAACTCTTGTAGTTACTAGTTAGCCACTAGTTAGCCTCACACAACTCTCTACCTGGTAAGTCTTAGAGTAGACCACCTTAGCTAGATAGTGTTTGCTCCACAGGGTCACGGGTACGGGGAGGTGCGGGCACCGGTACTGGTAGGGGCAAATTTACCTGTGGGTTACCCGTGTCCTTCTCTACTCAGCAGTAGAACTGGGCGAGATCTACTGCTCTCGACACTCTCATAACTCCCTCCCTCTCTTCTTCTCTTTCTCTCTCCTTCCCTCCTTCCTTTCTCAGGAGCTTTTATTTCAAACTATTTAATTAGTTTCCAGCTACCAGCATGAGCGGCGAGCCGAAATTCAAGGTCGTCCGACTCAGAGTCGGTGTCTCCCTGTGCATATGCGTATTCATTGACCTCACTGGCACCCCCGATCTACCCATGTCTTTTTAGTCAAGGTCAGGGAGTCGGGACATCGTAATCAGTACAGTACTGGGGTTGAGCGACGGTACGCCGAAGCGAAGCGAGGCTGGGTTTGTCTTACATAATACTACAATCTTCCTTGAAGCTCAAGTTGTACATAGTCTTATCTACAACCTTTTCAATCTTCTTCCAATCCGACCGTCTTTGGATGAACTCATAGATGTCCTAAAAAGTGGTGAGTAAAAAAGCTTTGACAAAAGCTAAACAGAATACGCACTTCAGGTCTATACGCTCCACCATACCGAGTCACATCCCGCACAATTTGGGCCAGGTCCTTTGCATCTTCCACAACATATACGTGGCCCAACATTCTCAGATTCGCAAAATCGGAGGATATGCTTTGAACCTAAATGACACTGTCAAGGCTGTTGGAATGCTCCACCACTGAGCTAGTACCCACCTTGAGCGACGAAATGAAATTGTTGTAAGCATTCAAGTCCGCGATGACTTGGAAGCCGCCATTCAATGAGATGATCTGTCGCTTGATATGTTTTTGCAGTATGCTAAACACCGTTGTTAGCCTCGTTCCAGAGTAGTAATACGAGCAGACGTACCTGATCAGGCGAATCCCGACCTCTTGATAGAACACCTCCAAAACCTCCTTGCTCGTACTACCTTTCAAGAGTTTACAATGGGTCTCCAAACACTTGATCGCTTCTTGGCAAGCCTCGGTAGGACCCAACTCTAGCGCCCCGTCCTCTGGAGGGTAATACTCGCGAGGTTTGGTCTTCGTAGTAATGATATGGTCGACCTGCAACTTCCAGTCAGCAAAGGCAACACAACGACGCAAACAATGCGCACCTGGTTCATCAACACCTCCGTCCCAGCATTCAACCCCGCGGCAACCGAATCATCCAACATGTTTTCAAACTTCTTCTTCTCCCTCACAACCGCGTTCAAGAAATCTGTTCGATCGATGTGCGGGGCCAGCTCCTTGTCGAAATAAACCTGGACCATGGACTGTATCGTGTCGCCGATGTGGACCAACTCGAAAAACTGTTCAAGTGGAGCAACGTTCTTGGATTCACTGTGCTCCGCGGGTTTATAGCTCTTCATCCTGTCCGTCGCCCTGCAACAACCACGTCAGATCCCGTCCGTGAATATAAAGGTACAACTCACCTAGCAAACCCCTTGTTGATATGACCCTCGGCGAGCGTCTGCAAAAACAGAATGAACAACTCTTCGATGGTATCCTTGACTCGATGCCCATAATGTCCGGGATAGCCCTCGAACGTCTCAACCCTCTTCAGGGCTTTCCGGTTTTCGTGAATCAACTCGAGGGCCACATCGAGAGAGAGCAACAGATCCAGTTGGTTAGTCTCTCCCTCAGTGATCGTGCTCAGCGCTGACATGGGTGGATTGGGGGACTTGGCTCCGGCAGAGATGAGAGGCGTGGGTGAGGCCAGGTCGGATTGTAGGGAGATGGAGGCTCTCTTGTTCCCTTCGTCGGCGTCGAAGAGAGATTCGCCTTGACCGAGGCTCTTCGAATAGCTCGCATCTGCCGCGGAAGCTCCCCATCGCTGAGGATTCAACATCGCAATACCCTGGACAGCAGCAGAACCTCCAGTCATTAGCGCTCCTCCCACAGCGTTCACCGTCCTTGGCACGATCGTCACAGGGAGTAAGAGGAGGTTCGTAAAGCTGTTGACAACGTTTCGCTTTGCCTGTGCCGGGTTTTGTGCGTGCAAGAAGCGCGTATCGGCTGACGTTGGTGAAGTTGGGGATTGCTAGAGGGGAGTCAGTAGAGTACGAGCAATATGACGTGAAACGCACTTCATGTCTATCCCAGTTCTTCAGCGTCCTCTCGAATGACAGCTTGATGGCTTCCACCTCTTCATCGAGATACTCGTCCATGTTTGCTTCGAACATTTTGTACCTATAGCCGAAATGAGCAGAGCACAACGATCTGAGAGGAGCAACGCACACCACGTCCTCGGCTCTCGTCCTGGGGATATTCGAGTCTGGTCTTGCTTTTGCAGCCTCCATAATGGCGTCGACCATCCTCCATGTTTCTTTGAACGATGCAGCGGCCGACTGGAGGTAAATTTCCGTTGAAAGCTCTCGGGCCCTCGACAACAGCGAGCTGATATAGTCTCCGACCTAAATGGCTGTTAGCCGATGAATTTCAAACACTAAAGACACTCACAATCTCGTTGGCAATCCTATCTGCAAACGACAGCAAGACTTGAGACTCTGGAGGAAACACCCGAACCGCTCTGGTCCCATGTTCCTCGATCGCCTTCAGAACCCATTCCATAAAACTATCCATCGCGTCGAATTCGATTCCTCCTTGCTCCCTACAAACCAATTAGTCTTTATCTCCCAAAAAATCTCCAATAACTCACGTAAAGTTATCAAGAGGATTCCACCGACCCAGCTGATAGAAAATCTCCCTCTTCTCGGCCCACACCTTTCCCATCTCCCAATCGCCATTACCATCCCAGACCTGCCAACTACTCTCTGCCGCATCCTTCATGGTAACTTCATCGTTCCTACTATCCGCCGAGTCAAAGGCTGCCAGCAAGTTTCCATCGAAGCGATCCATGGCGGACCTCAACGACGCGTAGAGAGACTCCCATCCATTGACCGGTTTGACCGTCGGGGACAGCCAAAACGACAAGATCCTCAAGAGTTTGGACTCGAGGACCAGCGGCGAGGTGGATGAAGTGGGGTCCGATAGCGCCTCTGCCAGCTGACTGAGGACGAGATGCGGTGGACTGGACAAAGCCTGCACCATCGGCTTCAACAGACTATGAACCCTCATATATCTGGTCCGATTTGTTTCCTTGGGTGGTACAGCCGGTGCAATGGTGACTGCGCTAAAGGCCCCCACGAAATCGCCAAACTCGCCTGGCTGGGGAGCAAGGACATCTGCGGCTGCAAAGTCTCCAAAGTCGTCGTCGACGGGTATTGTGGGTGGTGCTGCTGCTCTGGACGAAGCGCGGGCCTCGTTGGCCTTCTTTTCGAGTCTCTGGAGGACAATGTCTAGATCATGCTTGTCTACGCCCAATGCATTCCATTTCGACTTCCAAACGAGGGCATCGCCGTCTCTGACGAGTGCTGCGGTTGTTCTACAGCATCTGGCATAGTGGGGTATGTCTGGCACGGGTAAGTTGTTGAGAATGAGAGCATGGAGGTCGAGCGGTAGATTCCCCAGAGACTGTGGCTGTTGTGGTTTCTGTGGCTGATTGCGCTGAGCATAGAGTCTGACTGGTTCGAGAGTTGCAAACTTGTCCATGAGCAAAGACGGGCGCGCGTGCGGCAACAATCCATTTCATCAATATTAACAAATCAAAACATGTGGCCCCTATCTACCCTAGCAGCATGGAATTGGGATAACAAAGCAGCATCCTCCGTTCTGCAAACATATCAGTTTAAATGTCGACGCTACTGAGGCTAGGACTCACTGGGCATGGGATGCAACCGCCTCTGAGTCTCTGGGGCTTGTCGTCTTGATTGTCGACGGACATTGGCTGTGCAGGCTTTGGTTGTTCTGTGACTGGCTTCATGGTGGTTTCTGACCAAGTTACACGAGTTGGGAATCGTTTATAATGACCTCATAAACCCTAACCTAGACATTGGAACATAAATAGGGGCTGGAGTGTTATCTCTTTGTTTCCCAGTAACAATCATGTCCGCCCCCGCTGAATTCTTTGTTCGTCTCCAAAAGGGTGAGCTCATCGTTGCGTCCACCGACGTCGCTGACCGTCATCGCAGGCATCGTCGGTGGTTTCGCCCCACCCACCCCTGACGCAGTCTTCACCCTCACAAAGCCTGCATCGGCCGCCAGTCTCATGGTCACCACAGCCGTTCGTCCGGACGGAACTCCAGAGCTGAAGGAATCAGCGGCGCCAAAGGAGCTTAGCATCACCGAACCATCCACCTCGTCCCTCGTCGATGAGCTTTACACCATCCTCAAGGATCTCCCCACAGAACAACCCCCTGGCAGTGAAGACATCTATGGTCTCAACACAGGCATCGTCTTTGCCTGCGACGAGTTCCAGTGGGCCAATGGAGGCCCCCAAGGTTGCACGGGTGGCACAAGCGAGGTTCAACCCACCGAAGAACAGAAGCAGAAATTCAAACGCGCAGTCGAAATCGTCCACAAGATCGCAGAGGCATAACAATACACAATGTAATCTATACCTAACGAATGCTCAGAATACCCTCCTTTGTAGGGTTAATCTTCCCCCCTCCAAGATCCTCGACGGCAGACAGGTCCTTCTTAGCAGGCCTCTTCTTGCTGAGCTGCTCGTTCTGGATCTCCCAGATCCTCCAAAACTTGAGATTCTCGTCCCCAGCCCCAGTGCACACTACATCTCCTGCAGGCCCGACACAACTGAAAAGCACTCGAGAGTCGTGAGCATCCCGAATCTCCGCAACGCGCTCCATGCTCGGGTAGGCATGAAGCATGATCGAGTTGGTCGGGTACCCGTGAGTCGTCATGATCTCCTTCCTGTGCGGAGACCACTGGATCGAGGTAATCTGCGATGGCGTCCTGAGTGTATGAAGCCGAGCTCCGGTCGTGCTATTCCAAACATGGATTGTTGCGTCGTTCGTGCCACCTCCAGTCGCCAAAAGACTCGGCTGCCAAGGGCACCATGCAACCGCCTTGACCGCAGCAGTATGATTCCTCTTTGTCCACTTGGCACTGCCTCTCGCTCCCTCCGCTACATCCCCGACCCTGCCATCCCAAATGTTGACAACGTTATCATTGCCTCCACTGGCCAGCAACTCGCCATCCGACCTCCACTTGAGCCCGCACACTTCTCCAGTATGTCCCAGCAACTCCATCACCTTGTGCCTAGGCATTCGCACATCGTGATGCCAGATACTGCCATCCCCACACCCCGAGCTCAAAATATGTCCATGCCAGCTCAACGTGCCCACCTGGCCCACATGTCCCGCCATCGTCCTCAACTTTTGGCCCGTCTCAACATCCCACAACTCAACCTCCCCCGTCCCCATCCCAACCCCCAAATAACTCCCATCGTTCGAAAAATCAACCGACGAAACATAACTGCCTTCAGGCGCCTCTCCAAGCTGCACAACCTCTCCAGAATCCGCCCTCCAGATGTAAGTACTGGCTTCCAACGCGACCGCGACGCAGTTTTGGCTACTCCAGCTGAGAAGGTTGAGATAGAAATCGTCCACCATCCCAGGAGCATCCAACACCCTCTCGGGCTGCGTAGGGATATTCCTCGTCTTGTTCGTCGTAGCACCCGTACTGCTCGCAATCGCCCCTGGTCTCTGCGCGTAAAGTGGTTTCGCAAACTCGCGTTGTTGACTGAGCGCCGTATCCGCAGACGCCAAACTCGACGAACTGGCTGCCGGCGGTGGTTCATGATAGCCCAGAATCCTTCGATTGAGCGGGACACCGGTCGCTGCCGCAAGACGAGCAGTATGGCCTGGAGAGTTTGCTTGAGGATTCAAGGACATTTGTTCGAGAGTCGCTGCCACCGCTGCAATATCGTTTGCGTGAGGATCGCGAGAGGTGATAAAACGATCGCGCTGGTCTGCTGCCGGTCGGCCCTATTTAGGTCTTTAATTATTTCTCCGATAATATCTCAGAAAAGAATGAATACTCACCACAGCTGATGTACTCTTGCTTCTCTTCAATTCCTGAACCTTGGCTCCATCCATTTGCACAACTTCAATACGACTCTCAGCTCTTCCCTTTCGAACAACACCGCTACCCGCCTGCTTCTGCAGATTCTTCTCATTGATGCTGCCACCTTTCTTGGTCGGACTGCCTGGTCGACTCTTGCTGCCCAGCGATGGAGGGGCAATGAACGGGTTCGTCGTGTCATAGGCGTTGGTCGTGCTAGCCTTCCTCGTCAATCCACGTGTCGTGCTGGATTTCTTGACGGGTGAGCCCTGTCCAGGGAAAACACCAGGACCGGAAGCCATGGCCATGTTGTTCATCGCAGCAAGCAAACTTGGGGTCAGCGGTGTCTTTGCTCCCAAAGAGACTTCGCTGCGAGTGCGGTGGCGAGAAGGCGTCTTGGGATTGTGTGGAGGTGGCATTTTCAAAGACGAAAAGCGAGTTGACAACGAGGATAATAAAACATGAACACCACGCGCTGAACATGCTTTCAATCAACAGTCATGTGATCGTGAACGCGTCTCATCACGTGAATAATTCCAAAATATGAAAGTACAAAATCGCATCTACTGGGGAGCACTATCAATCAACGCCTTGACTCGGCCCTCTCCAACACTCTGGCTCAGCGCCGCAAGTTGCTCCTGCAAGAAGCTCTCCGGATTCCCGATATAGGCAACCACATCCACTTCCTTCGTCTCACTTGCTGCAAGCCTCGAGTACGCAGCTTGGTATCCAGCCGTCTGCTCTTCAAAGTCGATCTCCGTAAATCCTGTCGCAGAATCATCCTCGTTCGACTTGAAGTGCTGAGGTTCACTGAAGAGCTTGCCAAGGGCACCATATGCAGCGGGCCTGAAACGTAACCGTCAGCCATCCGTTCACACTGCAATGCGGGAACAACACACCATGATTGAACCATCGGTTCTTGCATCATAAGCTTGCTCTGGCAAAGCAGCTTGATCATACCCACAACTGCCAATTTACGGTCCTTGTGCGGCACCTTGGGCGCTTGCGGGATCACAAAGTTGGTCAAAACCTGTGGCCACAGTCTGATCCAAGGTCAGCAAGTTCCTACTCTGTTAAGAAGACTGCCACTCACCCAGGCTGGATGCTTTCGACAACGGAAATGATAGTATCAGGTCCCATGTCGGGCACGTTCATCGCGATCGTGTACAACAAGAACCGACTGAACAAATACACATATTTGTCCGTCTTGCTTGACTGCATCCTCGTCAACAGGGTGATGATGATCGGCTTGAGGTATGGCTGCAAATCAGCTCTAAAAAACCAGGTCAACCGTCATCCTAGACAGATATGCATACAACTTACGGCTTAACGTTCAGTACGACAGACTGCAACAGCTCAAAGCCCCAAGAATCATTCATCTTGGAAGGAATGAGACGTTGCTGAACCACAGCCAACACCGACGCAATCTGACCACCAGCAACCATCGCAGGCGCACTGCGAGAGAGGAACGCCTTGAGCAACTTGACGAGACCTGGAATACTTCCCTTTTGTTGCCAGACAGCGGGGGTCAACAGGAATGGAAGGAGAGACGTGTATTCCGCAGGGATTTGGCCAGGTTGATGCAATTCAAGCATTTGTGCCAAAACTTGGAATGCGTAGGGAATATATTCTGAAGAACAGTGTGAAAAGATGACCTTGACCGTAGATGATGCCACTCACGATCGATGTCTTGTTGGAGGATGATAGTGAAGGGACCGAACAAAGCTTGTTCAAAGGTGGGAAGTGCGGAAGGATTGCCCTCTACAATGAACCTGGAAGGCCATTAGCGCGACCTCAGAGACTTGAAGCTGGTTCTCACCTCATCAAACCGGAAATACTTTCAAAGATATACTGATCGAATCGAGGGTTGCTAGGGTTCTTCGAGATGACACCAAGAATTCCGACCAACCGGTTGAGCAGGGGTTGATAAACCTGGTTGAGACCCTGTCGTGCAGTCAAGATGACGCGCATAGTGCCTGTAGATCTTCTATGAGAATTATCCCCAGCAACGAATGTCTAACGACATACACTTCATGAGGTGGTCGTTTTCAGCAACCTTTTCGGGGGTTCCTCCGGACTCGATCTTGGACAGAAGAGCGTTGATAAGCTCGGGTGCGGATTCTTGGATATCAGCTTGCGAGAACCTGCCCAAGGAATATCAGTGTCCCCTCCACCATGTGAAACAATCACAAGAACGTACAAAAGTTTCCCGCCCTGCTTGATGAACAGGACTCTATCGATAGTAATAGCAGCGTAGGTATAGGTGACATAGTTGTCCGACTTGAGGTGGCCAGCAAGGAGCGGAAGAACAGAGAGCAATTGGGGTTTCGTAAGTTGGTTTCGGAAGGTGTACAAGAATCGAATAGCATCGACTTGAAGAATGGGGTGAACAGTCCCACTGGCAGCTTGAAGGTCCTGGAAGACATGGTCGGAGAAGAACTTGACAACGTCCACAAGCGCATTCGTCGACGTAACTCCTTGCTATACCAAGGTCAGCGGAGGTCAATCCAACTGTGCAGTCACGCACCTGACTCGTCGAACCTCGCGTAGCAATCGCTGTGAGGAGGAAGATGGCGCTATCCTTGGCTTTCCAATTCGCCTCCTTGTTGGTCTGGTATTGGGAAAGACCCTGGTTGATCCAGTTTCCGACGATCTCAGTAGTCTCCGACTCAAAGCCTGCTCCGACAAGAGCCTGGAGAACATCCGCGGCAGCATGACGACGCGTACCCAAGTCAGTACCAGTGGCCGAAAGGGCCAAATCAAGTCGAATGAACTCGAGAGGATCGTCTTCGAATTGCTCGACATCAGATTCCCGCATCGAAATGTTGGGGATGACGACACCCTCGATTAGTTGGGAGATGGTCTGGCGGGAACCGAACAAGTCCTTGTAGAAGCCTGAACGAATGGCAGTCGAAATGAACCTGAGTGATTGAGAAACAACCTAACATCACTGTATGAGCCATGACTGATTTGGAAAAGTAAAAGAGAAACATACGCCATCGTCCGCGACACTGGGCAGTTTGTTGGATCCAATCAAGCTCCAAACGTGCTCTACGAATTTAGGTACAGCAGGAGATCGTTGTAGTTGGTCAGCATAGAGTTTGATGAAGAGCTAGAGTCAAAAGGGTTAGCAGGCCTTCCACATAAGGCGCGTCGAACATACCTCTGCAATCTCTAGAATGCCTGCTTTGATTTGGGATGGAAGTGAAGGTGTGCTATCATCGGGCTAGCACAGCGTCAGAAACGCGAAACAGATGCAAATAAGCAACTTACATCGCCCTTGAGTTCCGCAGGATCCCAAGTCAGAAGGACTTGGAACCAACCGCGATTAGGATCGAAAAAGTCGTCGTAGGAATCTTCGATAGCAGGCGGAAGATCTTGGCACGTAAAGTCGAAGAAGATATCAATGAGGAGGACCATAGCCTGTGCAAGAAGGGCGTAGTTTGATGTAGGGGACGTCAAGGCGGTATTGGATGAAGGGTTGACGAGAACCGAGGCGGTCTGCTTGAAGAGTTCGAGGAATGGCTGGACGAATTTGCCGAGGACGAGGTTGATCTCTGTGAAGAGTTGGTCGGATCGGACTTGGGACCTCCATTGGCGGAAGATAGAGTGGGCTGTCTCGAGCACACCGACGTTGACATTGTAATCGGTCAAAGAAAGGGACGATCTGAGTTGCTGAAATGGGGCCATTCAGCTGTCTATCCAAAGTCAATCCGACACAAAACTCACATCAATCAAATCGGGCCATTTCTCTGGGAAATCAAGTTCTGCAATGAGGGCCACCGACTCTGCTATCTGAGCACGAACGGCTTTATCTGCTGGATTCGAGAGGGTGATCATTGCAGGGACCAGTTGGGATCGCAGGGCAGCCTTGTCGGCGTCTGCCAAAGGTTGTTCGTCCTACATCGTCGTCAGCGTCTTTTTCGACCTGTTTCTCTCGACATATTCACTCACCTCTTCCCATCTTAGCTTTGCGATGTTCTTCAGATACACGCTCCCGGCCAATCTGACTGAACGATCATGACTTTGGTTGAGAACAAGGTTCAAAAGGTGGGTGAGAAAGCCAGGTTGTGTGCTGAACGAGTTGAGGCTCTGCTCAGCCTGTTTCCTGGTTGCTGGATTGAGTGAAGCGAGCAGCAAACCTGGGAGATCAGCCATTTTGAGTGGTAGAATGCAAAGAAACACTCGGAACCAAGTAACGCGCCTCACTCCCACAACACGTGAAAGTCACGCACAGAATCAAAACGCGGTCATTAGATTCCTATAAAACAACAACATAATGTACAATAAGTTACAATGTCTCAATGTCATCATCTGCAATGTATGCATTGGGAATTAGAGGTCTTGGTCGGCACGAGCTGTGCGGGAGAGAGCCTGTAATCAACTCCCTAAGTCCAAGCTTTATCCTGATCAAGGAAAAGCCATACCACTGTTTGCAACTATCAGGACATAGTTGGCAGTAAGGCTGGTGCGCTGAGCTATACCGGCAGTTAGACGCGCCGCAGTCCATCTGCAGAAACATAGTGAGTAGAGCCGAAATGGGGCGTTGGGTATCCACGGAACATACTTACTCTCTTTTCAGAAATGGGTACATCATGCCCACAAGCGTGTCGGACACACTGGACTTTGCGGTAGCACATCTTGGCGTATTGGAGGAGAGTTTAGCTGCACTGGGAACCTCAAATTAACGAACCCTCGGTGGAGAACTTATACCATCTCTCAGGGAGTGTATGGGATATGTGCACATGGGAGGCTGTATAGCCAAACGCGCTAGTCAGCACCGCACCGTCGTTCCAACCCTTTGTTCTCTCCTCCGATAGGGTAGCCTAAACCGGCTAGCGTCTTTGGATCGAACGAGACGCGATACCGACTGCCAATTCAGGCTTGCATTATTTCTCAGTTTGGTAGCTACTCGGCTAACTTTGGGAATTTCTTGAATTACCGGTCTTGGCTCAAGTCAGTGGATAGCCCGCCCGAGTGAACGACAGCTCGGTACGTGCAGCACCGGGAACACGATTCGAGCGGAATGGCTAGACATCCACCTGCTCTGCGGTGATTCAGCGTCTACTTAATAGCTTCCAACTCACATTCTTTAGAAAACGCATTTACAGTCATAGACGTCCCAGCTGTTCTAACAGAAAGATTGAACGTGTTACGACGATCCTGGAAACGAACAAGATCTGGCACAAACATGATGACAGGAAGTGTCAGCATCGGATGTGAGAGTAGACAAAGGAAACCGTTGACGATAGAGATGGCTTTGGTGTCCCACCGACTCCCTAAGCGCATGAACTCGTCATTGGTACTCGCAGGCAGTGCAACACTAGCCGGTCGATGCACTTCCGGCAACCGGTCACCGGTCACTCCTCGCGTGGCTAGCAAGCGCCCTAAAAGCGCCCACGCTCGTCAACCGAACACAATTCCCTTCGCTCTCATTTTTTAATTAAATACATACCGCGTTTCACTCGCCACCTATAAAATAAATGACATTCTCAATTTCGGTAGCGTCAGGTTTGCGGTTGACTGTCGTAAGGATGGGATTCGTTACATACCGCACATGGGAAGACTTGCTTCTATTGCCAAATTTCCCTTCTTTGGCTAGCCCTTAAGCCTTCTGAAGGAATCCAGTGTATACCAAGTGCTTCTGAGGTTGTCGACTAGACGCATACCCCAATGGAGTGACGCAATGGCCATCGGTCGTGGTTACGGTATGCGCGACGCTAGGAAACAGCTATTCGGATCAGTGAGTTGCAACACGTCATGGAAATCTGCCATCTCACGAACCAAATCCTTCACTGTACTTGACAGTTTGATATTATTGACTGGATATTCCGGACTTCATGGGAGTGCTCACAGTAGAAACACCTCTAGAAGTAAACAGCGCTGTGTAAAGCTTGCCCTTTGTGACTCCCAGGAATGGCAAGGTGATTAATCGATTATGGATGACGCCATGAGATGCACTCGATCTCTTCTCGATTAACCCTCAATCGACAACTGCTCATTTGCCAGTAGGAGGTTACCTCGAGAGTTCGAATCCTTCCAGGATTTCCGATCTTGACAAGACCACCACATCGACACGGGTCGCCAACCACTCACCAAAGGGTGGGCCGCGGCTGTACCGTTGATGGGTTGCTTGTCAGTGTTCGCAGACATTGCTGATGCATGATTTGCACCATGCGTATATATCAGCTGAGTCTAAGATACTGGCAGCGCAAAGGCAACCAGGCAGTCCATACATCCAGGACGGGGCAGTTTGAGCGGGGAGTGAGTACAGACAGGAAAAAGCCGAGGATCTGCCTGTTCGCGCACGGGCAGGTTCAAAGGTGCTGACTGGAACACTTCTTTTTACATTGCGTGACTTGGTCATTCTGTTTCTTCTCCTGTCAGTCATACATATCTTACCCGTGGTCGTCATATGGGCCGGCGTCAAAGGTGGTGAATTACGGCGGTCATCCTGATTGTACCATGGAATCGCGATAATTGGACAATGGCGGGTACTCTGGGCCCTCGCCTTGCGGCTCTCTGATAAATAGATACAACGGATCCTCCGGAGTGCACTTTCGACTTGGAGATGAGGGAGAGCTTCTCCGAGTCAGGGGGTTGTCCGTTTTGGTAATGTGGATTCCCGATTCGGCATTGGCGCGGCTTGGCAACTTTTCCCAACGACATATACATAGCAGTGCTCGTACATATCCCTCTACAAATCTATAAACACTGTATTAAGCTTGTGGACCAATGCCATCACGAACGAGACGAGGACAACGGATGTAGCACATGCGACCGATCCTCCAGGCTCGACAGCCGACTCCATTGATTCCTCTTCGTCAGTTGCCAAAGAAGTTGCAGTCGGTCGATATGTTGGTACTTCGAATTGAGAGCTCGAAGCATCTTCCTCTGTGTATGCCCTGGCACTGCTATTAGCTAGAAGCAATTCCAGTAACTCTACAGGTGGGATCTCCGGAGGAAGTGTATCCATCGTGCGATTTCTCGACCTGGCCACTTCCAGAGCAACAGTTTCGGGATCCGTTTGAGAAAGCAGCTGCATATATGGCCCAATGGTCTCGTCATCTCCAGAGTCGACGTCGTCCCCAAAGTCATAACTGAAAAGTCAAGACACGGTCAACCACATGGACGCCGGTTTGTGTACGGACGGTCACTTACACTGTGTAAACGTTTCTCAGGAAGGTATCTCCCAGCGACACTTCAAGTTCATTAAGTCCCCAGCCTTCTTCAGCACCCATGATCGCGCTCAGGCACGCAATATATTCCTGTCCCCCCAACGTAAGCGTTCGAGAGAAAACACTGAGATCTAGTGGGTGGATCGGAAATGCTTCGCCTCTGACCATCCGAAATGATCAGTACCCGGTCGAGCTTATCGAGAACAAACACTCACCCAAAGTGGAAGGCGACGCTAGTCGTAGTATTGCATGGAAGAATCCATAGCCTTTGGAATCCATCTTCGTACAACACAGCACCAGGTACTCGGGAATAAATCTCATCCACCAGATCAAAAGACATCGACGCAGTCGGATCACCCGTGTCCAAAAGCGCAACCAAATGTCCCTCTGGTACATTCCGAATCGTCGACCGCAGAGTCAAGTTCTCCCCGTCAACGCTAATCCCTTCCAAGAGGGTCGTCCATCTCAACCCATTTTCGGGGTACTGCGGCAACTTGGTGGCATTCCGAACCGCGGCCCACTCTTCTGCATACTCCCCGATAGAAAACGTACCCCCAACGGTATCCTCCAGGTCATCCGCGCGTGTAAAGTCAAGGGCGACAAAGTTCGGGTGGGAAGGATCTTGAGTGAATATATTCTTCAGCACGGATTGGCCAAGGGTCGAATTGGCGCCGTATCTCTGTCGGATCGCAAGATTGATGGGCGAGGCAAAGCTTTGGTCGAAACCCAGCCCCAGCACTCCATCGATGCCGACGGCAGATATTCCACCAACGTTACTCTGGTGACTAGGGTTAGGCTCACAGAATGAGGAAATAAATCAATACGCATACCGAATGAACATCCAGGAACGCTAAACAATGCTTTGAATATACCCCCGAGTCAGAGAAACTGCCAATGAAACACACCTTGCGTTGGGATCGAATAGTTTCCAAGCTCGAAAGGTGCAAGACTGATATTCCCCCTCACCCCATATGAACCATCACCATAGCGAAGTTGCAATGGGATGCCAGTATCGTTGAATTCCCCAAGTTCACCGGACACCGGATAAACCCTGTATCGATCATCAGAATCAATGTCGAAGTAGAAACGAGGTATTGAAAGAACCCACCAAAGATCCGTGCTTCCGGTATCGAGTGCAACAATAAACTCTGGACTTCCCTTGAGCACAATACCGGGCAGGACGCGATTCACCTACCCTGTCCACTTAGTGTAATGTTGGTGGTATACTGTAGCAGTATCAGTTCTGCATTACATTCAAGGAATCTAGCCACACACCCGAACATCCAAAACGTTCCCCACTTCAAACTCTTGCAACCGAGAGATGCCCTCATAAGCAGGCTGCAGCCCGCCGCTCGGCGGAGCCAGCCCTCCCTTGCCTCCAGAGACCACTTTCCGAAACTCGATAGTCACCGCCAAAGCGGGATGACATACCAGAAAAGCCAAGAACAGGGGGATAGATAACGAAAGCATGATGCTGGTAGACAGTAGGGGGAGAGAATGAGAATGAGCGGCCCCACGGGCAAGCGGCCTCTATCTTAAAAGACCCTCAACAACACGCTGGTACGTGCCTTGACTTGTCGTCGAGGCCTTCCCAATGAAGAACCACTGTGTTAGAGCTGACAGCTTCAATGATGATGCAACATACTGCGTACCCTTATGCACGAGGTGTGGAGAACTCCACCGCGAGGCTCGACCACACAGCGCGGCCGTGATCGCAGTACCTCACACAGAATCAAACAAGCTCTCTGTGCGAAATGAACGTCGTGAATTCGTAACAATGGTCCAGATATTAGATACACGTGGGTGGAATGCATAGAGATAAAACCAATGGTTCGTGATGATGAAGATGCATGGTATGATGGATGAGGGTCATGACAAGAGAAACAGTGCGTGTGGGCAAAGAATGTCGAATGAAAACGATCGAAATGAAAAACAAGCGAAAGTGTGCGTGCGTGCGTGAAGAGCAATGCGATGCAAAAATAACCGATAACGAATAATGCAACGGGAAACAGACGAATAATGTATACATAGGAAGGTCAAACAGATGCGGGGGTGACCCAAAGGAAAGTCCGTAAGATGGTTCAAACAATGAGGCAGAAAAGTTCAGAGATCATCAATGTTTCCGCTAACCACAACGACCAGCCAACCAAACGCAGCCATGAGGAAACGCACCATGAACGCGGGATCAGCTCCTGCTCCAAGGCCAGGCCTCATTTGCATGGCAAGAGCAACATCCAAAGGAGACGGTCGCCTCCTACGTGTCAACGTGGAGATTGTAGACGCAAATGAAACGGATGTCGCCCTGGGTCGAGCTGGGCTGATGGTTTGAGAGCTTGTCTCTGATGAAGAAGATTCGGCAGCTGGTTCCTCCTTCGATTCAGGGAACGAGCCAGGTAGCGAATCGAAAGCATCCTCAGAATCGGTTTCCTGTGGTGATGGTGTGGCTTCCTCTGAGGCCTTGGGTTTGACAGTGGCTGTAGGCTCTGGAACGGGTTTGGAGGGCGTCGATGCAACTACACCGAGGCGGGGTGCTTCGGCAGCCCTCACTGACCATGCAGGAGGTGCGGCGCTATCCGAGTCCTCTGCCTCAGAAACGTGCTCGTCCGCCGAAGTTGCGCTCGACGAATCGACTACAGGATGGCTCACGTTGTCCTCTTCAGAGGGATCCTCATCAGAGTCCGATAAGTCGGTTTCAGGGCTGTGGTCGTCCTCCCGTTCTTGTTCTGGAATGAGATCCTCTTCGGAGACTGCACTCGATGACTCCGTGTTGGGTTCGGCCTCAACCTCCTTGGTCGGGAGACGCTCCTCCTCGAATGAACTCCTTTCCAGGCTCATCGAGCGTCGCCAGGTCGGGGGTGAATCAGGAGGGGTAGGAATCTGTGCAAAACTTGGTCTTCTCTCCGCCACAACAGGAGTTTCCATCTTGACAGTCTCTTGGTGAGCAACCGACGCGATGGCCAATAGAAGGTCGGGGTTGACGAGAGCTGGAGTCGGTTCTTGGATGGGATGCTCCTGAACGGGAGGCAGCTCGGGAAGGTCTGGATCTGGGAAGTCGGATTCAGAGTCGAGAGGGAGGAGAATAGCGTCCGAAGGGAGTGGTAGATCTTCTGGGTCAGAAAACTCGACCTCACTTCCCTCATCACATAGAACCGACATGGTAGATGCTGGACTTGGCCCAGGAGCAGGGTCTTCCTCGACGTCATCTCCTGTGAGAGGGTCTGAAATTGGTTGAGGGGTGACAACGGTTTCCTGAACAAACGCCTCGTCTTCTTGTGTGGTGAGCTCGAACGAGTCTTCGCTGGACGGGGAGTCTTCAGGGTCGCTGAAGGGGTTGTCGAAAAGGTCCACGTCGCCATCTTCAGCTGCTGGAATCGATTGAGGAACAATCTCCTTCTCTTCTGGAACGGCCACAGGTTCAACATCAACCAATCTGCCCTCCTCCATAGCGTCCATCATGGGTTCGTTTTCAGCATCCAGTACCAACAATTCCTCCTCCTGTTCCCTTCCCTCTTCCACCTGCAACTCCAAGTCATTCCAAAGCGGCTCCGGCGAAGTGATCCAAAGGTCATTTTCGAGGCGTACAGTCGGCCTATGTGGCGACACATCAACAAGCCTAACTTCCTCCTCTTCTTCTTGGTACCCATTCCCAAAACCAAACGCCGTAGGCGTCGGAGCCAGAGTAGTCGCAGTAGCAGCATCCTCCCCCAAATCCACAAGGTTATACGACTCCTTCACCCCCGCCACCTCCTCTTCCTCAAACCCAAAATCAATCAAAAGCTCCGAACGAGCCTTGGACTTCTCCCCCAAAGAAAGCAGCATCGGCGCCCCAAATGATCCCGGGACAAACTTTCCTCCTCCTCCCTCTAACCCAACAGGTCGTTGACCTCCACTCCCCACCTTCTTGACCGTAAAGCCACCAAGACTCTTTGTCCTTCGAGGGGCGACCGGGGAAGTCGACAAGAACCGTGGGTTGTTTTGGGTTGGAGACGGTGTGCTGGGCCGGTTATGCGGATAAATCACCCCAGGGGACGAAGCATGCTGAACGAGTGGTTGCGAGTACGCGTACGAACTCGACACATCCACCAACTCTTTCTCCTTCCCCTTGATCGTCCTCTCTGGGGACGCAAACGGCGAGAAGGGGTCAACAAGCGGCAATGGAGGAGTGGCAGGAGAGTTGAAGCTGGTCGGAGCCGAGGTGGCAGTGAGCGGGGGTGTATCGTGGAAGTGTGGTCTCGGAGCAGGCGAAGCGAGTCGTCGAGGTGGCATTTCAGGCGTCGGACACGCCGACGCATTTGAGGACTCGAGGTATACCCCAATCTGTGGATTAGAAACCCCTACATCATCCAAATCCACCAACGGCAAGACCTTCTCCTTTCGCTTTGCGGCCTGATGTTTCGGTTTCTTGTCGACAGTCGTGACTGGTAGCAGCTCAATCCGTTGGTACTGCATGAGGCCCCATTTCGGTAGAAGAAGCTTGAAGCGGAGAAACATGGAAGTCGTCCAATCCCGATATCGTTTCCGAGCGCGTTGTGACCATGATCGACTCGTGTTCGTCTTTGCCTTGGTCGTCGTTGCCGTCGACGTAGCCGACGCAGTGGGTAGGCTGTCTTTCTTGTATATCCTCGAAGCCAGGTATCCAGCCAGCTTTGAGGACCTGAACAGGCGAACAGTGATGTAGGAAACCGACAGCAGTGCCAGCACGCAAAGAATGGCCAGCGGGCTCAGCCATGCTGGAATTGACCTTTGGAAAAGGCGTCGGTTAAAAAATCAGATTCAGGGAGATAGGACATACCCGGACATTTGTGAGATGGGAAGAGGGGGAGAGAAGAGAAAATAAGGGATCTATAGTCTCATTCCAAACCCTTTTTGAATTTCAGCCGACCTCGCGTTCGCCATGAGGTCCGTTGTTTGCGAAATACAAATAACGCGTGCCACGGATCATATTTATTTAGGGGCTATCTACTCTTTCGGTCCAGCTTGAGGCGGTGAACGAGGCCGTGCATCTCTGGTTTCATCCTCCCATCGAGCCCAAAACTGCTGGCGAGACTGTTGGCGGCCGCCTCCATCTAGAGCTAAAGGTTAATCCAAACGTAACCTCTAGGATACTCATCATACCTCTAGGATTCCAGCGGAAGCCTGACCGGGGCCACGGTGGGTTCCCATGTGGTTAAAGACGACCGCGTCGCCATTCACATTCGTAAACTGGCCATTGTGGATAGTAACATTAGTTGCGTTTTCAAAGAAAGGCATGATGGTTTATGATTGAGCTGTAGATACAAGCACAAGGTATTATAAGTCTTCCAGGACTCCACTGTCGTCATTGCGCCCAGCGCCTATCAGTCTAACAGTCAGTATCGGCACCACAGCGGCAACGGAAAACTCACAAATCAAGGACCCTGAGCAACCATGTATTCCCCGTCTTCGCCAACCATAAAGACGATACTCTGTGTCCCCTCCTCTTCTAACCGCTCGAGTGTCTCCAACCTCTCCCGACTACACATGACCGCAATCCCGAACGCAAGAGCAGCCTCGATAGACGTGATGATAAACGTCTTTTGCGGCCTCCACCTGAGCTCCATCAGATAAAACATAGAAACCACTACCCACAGGCTGGCCACGAGCCAAAACGACACCACAACGCCTGCTCTAGCCGTCGTTGGCACCAAATGCGGGATCTCTCTTGGGCGGTACTTGGCTCTTCGTTGTCGGAATGCCATGATGAGGACGACGAGGTGGTGGATGATCGTCACAAAGGCAAGGGGAAAGCAGACGAGGTCGGCGACGGTGATTTCTGTAGAGGCGCCGGCGATGCGAAAGGCGATGGCAGAGGCCACAAACGAGGCACACATTGTCATTTGAGCATGACGGGTTCGCGCTGGTTCGACGACAGCAATTCTAGGGGTCTGCGCGCTGCGCTCCATAGTTGGGATGGTGGTGGTCAACGATCAACGTTGGTCCCTTCCAATCCATCAAACCCCGACCACTGATATATCTTCAACTCGGATCCTATAAAACAACCATAAAATCCCTAAATACATTAGAAAATAATTAATCGTGATTAGAGTGCTCAAAGCTTCGTTCTAAAGCCATTGTCCGCATATTGTCCTTTCGACTTCGTTGTCTGGGTGTTCCAGGTGTTCCCGGAGGCGAAGGCGTCGCTGTGCGCGACTTCATCATGATCCCAGCTGGCTCCGGTGTTACACTTCTTGACTGAGACCCTCCCCTTTGGCGTTTAGGGGTTCCGCTTCCAGACACACTCCGCGAAGGGGGAGCACCCTGTGCAGGGTTGGGTACAGGTGCCGGCGGGGGCGTCCTCCAATACAAAATCTTCCCCCACCACGTCTTCCTCCTCTCCTCTTGCAACCTCTCCGCCCTCTTCCTCTCGAACGTAGCCCGGTATCGCTCGTACCCTTCCCTGAAATTCTTGTCCACCCTCGACGAGAAAACCAATTCGCCACGAGGATTGGATGCCGGTGGAAGTGACGCCATGGGCCGAGACGTAGATGAAGACCGAGATCGCGGCGATCTTGAAGGTGAGGGTGATCGTGACGGTTCTCCTCGGGACGCTACAGGCTGCTGCTGCGGTGGTCGAGGAAAGAAAAAGTTGAGCGGGTTCCACGCAAACTGGGACCTCAATGGCGGTTTGCGAACGTTGAGGACCATGTTGAAAGATCTTAACGCCCGGTTAGCATGGGGGACGTATCTACAACTGTATTAGCTCCTGACTTGTGAAAATGTATGATTGTACGCACTTGTTGGCATAGGCAATCTTCTCCGAGTACATGCCACTGGCAAAGAAGAGCAACAATGTTGTTACACTGACGAACAACAGCCCACTCGAGAAATACGGGTGTATCCGAACCTCGTCTGCAAGGTTCGGAAGGATCCATCCCAGCACAAACCGGTACGGTATGACAAGCAGAGACGCCTGTGGTGGGAGCAGCACCTCCCACAGCAGCACCGCTATCACCAACAGCAGCTGGAACAAGAAAACTAGGGACAACAAAAGTCGTAAGACATTGGCAGGCAACCAATAGCCGGTATACTCACACTGGTATCTGGATTTACGTCGCTGGAGGCTCAAGGCCGTTGTCTTGAGGCGTTCCTCAAACATGAGGACATCGCGGTATGTGGCGACATCGTTCGGAGGGTGAAAAGAGTTCCTGGACCCTGGCCTTGTGCGCGGCGGCATCGAGTTGGACGGTGGACGCTCACATCACTTTCAGCCACCGTCACCTCACTCCCTTTATCCTCCCACGATCAAGATAAGATTAGATCTTAAGCGCTACCATTACTGCTCTAACCATATCCTCCATATCTCCTTCAAGTAGAATATACCCTTCCTTCACCTTTCCTGATTCTACATCCCCCTCTTCAAACAGATGTTCATGAGCTCGAATATAAGCAGGCCAAACAATCTTTTCCCAGTACTGAGGCGGGTCTTTCCAAACCTCCCCCTCTGAATAGACTCTTGAGCTGCAATCCCCTATCACCCCAAAATAATAGTACCCACCAGGTGTATAATAAGACCTGGACTCGCGTCTCTCCCTAGCCACACCTTCAGAAACCCTGATGAACACCTTGACGTCAAGATTCGAAACAATCCGCTGGTGGCAACCATATCAGCAAGTCAGGCAGTCACCCTCAAACAAAACACCCAACTTCGTCCCAAAACAAGAGAAATCCATCAACTAAAATCCAAACCAACCGCTCTCCATACTTGTCCAAATGTTCCTTGGCCATCTGTTCACTCCGCGCCCTCCACGCAGCAATGACGCTCTCTTCCACATTTACCGGAGAGGTCTCATTGAATTCATCAACAGACCGATGTCCAGACGGCAGTTCACCACTCTTTTTCAGGTCAGAAATGAAGCTCGCCATACGATCCCACTCAATAGCACCAGGTGCATCATCCCAATTCGCGAACCCAAACTCTGGATCCACAGGAAGCTTTTCTGCAGGCGGGACAAAGTCCTGCTCGTGGGTTAATCTACCGATCTACCCTGGATAGTAAACCACGGCGTACGTCCTGGTGAACAATGAAACTGCCAGGGAGACAATTTCGAAGATGCTTGGCCAAAGTCGTCTTTCCGGACGACGTCGCGCCGCTTTGGGTTCATCAGCTGCAGCGACTGTGCACAGGCAAGGCAAAACTGCATACCCTATCCCTATCATGATCACCCTTGTGGGGATCGTGTCGTGGTCCATTTGGTTAGCTATGGACCCGAGGTAGATGAGAGAAGGCAAGAAGACTGCGGGGTCTGAATCTCAGCGCGTTCCGAAATACCGAAGCATGCCTTCCTCTTCCAGCCGGTTACTAAGTTCAGTCTCCCTGATAATAAATGCACGTATGGGCCACATGCGGTATATTGTCCTGTATAACAGAACATCCAAATCATGTACGTATATCCAATAAACGATATAACCAGATCCTCAGTGCCTGGGAAGTGTCCGAGGCTCAAGGTATCCGAATTGCCGCCTCAAACACCCGCGCACGCGGAGGTCAACGAGGAAACTCCATCCAATGGGGCACCACATCATCTCCTCTCTCCTCACAAGTCATCACAACTCCCATCTCCGCCAACCTCTCCACCTGCCGCCTCACCCTCACCCTCTCTCCCGGCTTAATTCTCTCAAACGGCAAAAACTCCACCGTCTCCACCCCCTTCCTGTCCTGAACGAACCGCACAACATAGTCATCCGGCCATATGTTCGTAGATACACGATACCGAAGGTGTCGCAATTGTGGCAGGAAATGAGGACTATCCAGGGAGCAGAGCGGTCGAAAGTTTCGAATGACGATGTCTTGAGTATCGATGCGGTGGGACAAAATGCTTCGAAGAAGCCCCGCGTTGATATGATTGGCAATATACAAAACTCGAGGGCACTTTGACTGAGAAAAAAAGTCAAAGATTGGTGGAACTGACCCGTCAGATGTACCATGCCGGTACACCGACAGGCACAATTCATCGAGCTTGGGCAAGGCCAGATTGCCCAGAAGGAATAACCCCTCCTCGGGAGCTTGGAAGCCGAAGCGAGTGACTCGGGGTAGCTGAACTCGGGTTACCGTACTGGCGCGCCCACGGCGAGCTGGGTCGTACTTGACGACCAAAGTTTCCAACGCCGGAAGCTGCTTCACCATGAGAAGAAACGAGTCCAGCTTTCCACAAAACACCATGATCAGCGTCGTGAGACGCGGGTGGGAGAGCCTCCAAGTATCCTCCGTGGTCTTGGACCCGAGCTTGAGGATCTTGAGGTTGGGGAAGAGATCGAAGAATTCGTCGCCTTCAAAATGCCAGTCATATGGACAGGGCTGGGATCCCTCGACCCGAGGCCCCAGGAAGTACCAAGCCACGGTCAGGGAAAGGTGTTGGACACTGTGCCACGGGTTTCGATTACCCATATGGTGGCAGTTCCGTATTGGATAAAGGACATCGTATGCATGGCTGCGGATGCGACCTGGCCATCTCCCGTATTGCAAGATGTCTGCCAAGGAAAGTGTTGTCCACTGCCTCTGTCTTTCTTGAGTAATCGTGACGATAGCCGTCAAGAGGCTGTGGTAATCTGCGATGGAGCATCCCTGGGTATCGACAATCAGCGAAAGAAGGACGTTCCCTGCCCGATCGAACCACTTGGATATCTGGGTTGGAAGGTGGTAGTAGGAAAAGCGGGGCCCTGGACATGTGGCGAGTGACAGGTCCGTTTTGTCGACATGGACCCTGCTCCAGAAGGAGGGAGTAGAGAACGATACCAATCTCCATGCACGACAAACCTGTCGAAGGTTCATAAAGACCAGTCGCTGATAGCGTCGGAACAGGATGGTTTCGTCCATCGATAACCTCGCACGAATGATTTGGGCAATCAGTTCGAATGGGAGGGACCGAATGGGAGACAAGAGAAGCCTGTACTTCTCTATGTCCGATAGTGAATGGCCTTCCGGGTCCTCTAGGGCACTTTTGGCAACCGCCCGAAGATTGTCTGGAAGAGGATCGTTGTTTGCGAGGTACGGAATAAGGTCCTCCGGGAGTCCCATTCCGATGACCTTGAAGTAGATGAGAGAGAGAGCAGTCAAGTTGCGGGGTCTGAACTTCAATGCCGCCGAAGCTGACTGTCCCTCTAGGTTCTAGCGTTCTAGCACCTAAAGCCTGGGCTGGGCAAGTCTTGCAATGTCGAAGCTATTTGACTAGGCCCGGACCTTTGAAGCGCATCGCTAGGGTCAAGCCCTTTGCGACCCTCTCTTCATCGCATTCAAGATCATCAACAACATCCTCGACATAATCAAACTATTCAAGCTCACCCAGGACGAGCAGAAAGCTTTCGTGTCTTGTTTATGGCACCGTATACTGGTGCAGAGTGCCTCGACTGCATGTCGAAAGGAGATTTTGGACGCTGAACAAGGATGCTGACCCCTGCGCGCCTAATATGCTGTCTGGTTGACTGACTCCCACGGCGCAGCCTGAGCGCTAGTTGGGGTTCTTTAGGAGAGTGGGCCGCATGTTTTCCTTGAATTAGGATGACCTCCTTTAAAGATGCAGTATCTTCAAGCCCTTCAAAAAGGGCCTATCCCGAATTAGAATGCCCATTCGGTATCGATTCATGCGACCTCTTTATGATCTACCCTACAAAACCTACAACAACTTGTTCTCCAACCTCCTCTCCTTCTTCAACGACACAAACTGTTCAATAACAGTCTCAAGGGGGACCATCTGGCCCTTGGCCTTGGTACCAACGTCATCACGGTTGCGAACGTTGACAGAGCGAGCATCGAGTTCTTCCTGACCAACAACTGGAAAAAAAGGGGGGATCGGTTCAGCCGGAGCTGAAGACTAAGACAAAAACCAATTCAACGCACCAAGAATAAAGTTGTATTGCGCAATCTCTCCATTTCTAATCTTCTTGGGAAGGGTATTCTCTCCATTGTCTACATCGGCGTAGAGACCAAGCGAAGTAAGGCGATTAGCAATCTCCGCCGCATACTCTTTCTGTAGACAATCCATCAGCAACTACCCACTCCAACCAACCCAAACAAACACTCACATAAGGCGCAGCAACGGGGATAACCAAGATCTGCCTCGGCGAGAGCCAGAACGGCCACTTGCCAGCAAAATGTTCAGTGACAATCGCAACAAAACGCTCCAAGCTGCCCAAAATCGCACGGTGGATGATGACAGGGCGAGTCAATTCGCTCTCATCCGCACTTCGGTATTTCAAGTTGAAGCGTTCAGGGAGTTGGAAGTCGAGCTGGATGGTGGCGCATTGGAAGGAGCGCTTCAAGGCGTCGCGGATGGTAATGTCGATCTTGGGACCGTAGAAAGCGCCATCTCCGGGGTTGAGCTCCCATTGACCAGGGTAGTGTTTCTCGAGTGCTTGCTTGAGTTGATCTTCAGCTTGATTCCAGGTCTCGATCTCTCCGAGGAAGTTCTCGGGACGGGTCGAGAGTTCAAGGTGGAATTCGAAACCGAACAAGCCGTAGATATGTCGCATAAAGTCAAAGAGGGCGCTGATTTCGTCCTCGAGCTACATCGATTGCATAAGCCACCATACTCCACTAAAAAGAAACTTGCTCACCTGGGAAGGCATGCAGAAGACGTGGGTATCATCCTGGACGAACCGCCTCACACGGGTCAAACCAGTGAGCGCCCCGCTGGCCTCGTTACGGTGGATGATACCAAACTCGGCCATCCTGATAGGCAACTCCTTGTAACTTCGATCTCTCGAGTCGAAAATCAAGCAGTGACCGGGGCAGTTCATGGGCTTCAACGCCCACTTTTCCTTCTCAACATCGAGAGTGAACATGTCCTCCTTGTAGTTCTGCCAGTGACCCGAGGTCTCCCAGAGTTTTGAGTTGTACATGTTGGGTGAGATGACTGCATGTATGATGAGGATATCGTCTATAAGGAGGACGAGGGAACGCACCTTCTTGGTATCCACGCTTAAAGTACTCTTCTCGCATCAACTCGACCAAGGTGTTGTAGATCCTGGTGCCGTGAGGCAACCAGAAGCAGCTTCCAGGACTGAGGTCATTGAAGAACCACAACTCTTGCTCCCTGCCAATCTTCCTGTGGTCGCGTTTAGCAGCCTCCTCCAAAAATTTCTTGTATTCGGACAACTGCTTCTTGTCGGGGAAGGAAATACCGTAGATACGTTGGAGGGTATCGTTGTTGGAATCACCGAGGAAATAGGACGAAGAGTTTTTGGTGACCATGAACGCCTTGATCTTGCCGGTATGGGGAATATGAGGGCCGACGCAGAGATCGATCATGGGTCCGCAGCGGTAGACGGTGGTGGAGGTGCCGTCAGGAACCTTTGTCTCGATGAGGTACTTTTTGTACTTGTTGTAATGGAACATTTCCAAAAGCTTTTCCTTGGACACGACGAGACGTTCGAATTTCTGCTTCTCCTTGACTGCGCTTTCGCTGATCTTTTCGAGGGCGGGGTAGTCGGCGTTGGTGACGACTCGGTCGTTGATGGCCATTTCGTAGAAGAAACCGTCGTCGGTGGGAGGGCCGAGGCAGAGGTGGCAGCCATAGTGACGTTCAGCAGCTTCACCAAGGACGTGGGCGGACGAGTGCCAGAAGACCTTCTTGCCTGGATACATTTATGAGACGCGTCTCGTCAAGACAGTTGAGCAACGCACCTTCGGGATGGTCAAAGTCCAACAACTCGAGTTTACACGACTTTTCAAGTGGCCGTTCCAAATCCCAGAGCTCGTCGTCAACTTTGGCAATGACAACCTTTTCGGACAAGCTCTTGGAGACCTCCTTTGCGACGTCCATGGGGCTGGTGTCCCAGCTGGTTGCTTTACGTTCTGAGCCATCGGGAAGGGTGACGGTGATTTCCTCGCGGGGTTGAGCTGGGCGGCGGGGGTCAAGGTGTCTTCAAGGCTGGGTCATAACGACACACACCTTTGACCCATTCGTCGTATTCAGCCTTTAGCTGTTCGAACATTTGAATTCGATGGTCGAAAAACTCGGGTTTCGGTTGCAACTGTAATGGCATTAGATTTAGTTGTAAGGGGATATCAAGGACGCACTTCTAATGGATGACCACCCTCTGTGACCTGAGGTTTTTGCTTCTTGTCCTTCTTCTGACCAGCATGGGGACTGGTCAAGGCAGGGATCTGAGCAGGTTTTGAAGTTGAATGGACTGGTGTCGCCATTGTATGGTTTGAACAGAACCGTTTAGGATGAAATCGATATAACGGTCTAGATAAGGAAGAAGGAGGAATCCAAGACCTCCGGGCAAATCTTAGGATCAGCATAAAAATCGAGGTCACGCACCAAAGAGCAGATGACTCAATCACCGCCAATTCTCTTTTTGGTCTGCTGGCATTTCCTTATCTTATCTTACATGCTCAACACTTTTATCAGATCCCTGGCGCCTCTGCGGAGTCTAAATCGCTTCAATACCCTCAATCGGCGCCTGAGCGGGGCATCGTCCATAACCACCATGAATCTCCCAATAAACGTCTCCCCAACAGTATCCGCCTCGTCGCCAAAACATGAACAGCCCACAATCGGTCTCATTGGCATGGGTGCAATGGGAAGAATGTACGCAAAGTACCTAGCAGAAGCCGGCTGGCAAAAGTATGTTTAAACACATTTCCACAGATGCTCGTCTGACCTTGTATGACCAGGATCCATGTCTGCGATCTCCCAGAACGGTTTGAAAAGCTCAAGGAAGACTATGCAGGTACTTTGCCTTTGATCCCTGGCGCGTTATAGCCAACTCGTTTCGCCTAGGAACACCCAACATCCATCCCATGCGTGATGGCCACGCCGTTTCTCGCTCCTCAGACTTTATAGTCTACTCTGTCGAAGCAGAATACATCGACCGCGTCGTTGCTGAATATGGCCCATGTATGTCCAAACCTTCGTTCACCATCCCGTTCTAACGAAACCAGCGACCAAGATGAACGCAATCGTGGCAGGACAAACCTCTGTCAAAGCCCCTGAGCGCCAGGCATTCGAGGCTCACCTCCCACAAGACGTCCACATCGTCTCCTGTCACTCTCTACATGGTCCAGGTGTCAGCCCTGTCGGCCAACCCCTGGTAAGTCCCTCATTCTACCTCCTTGATTTCTCTAACTATCGATCAGGTCCTCATTAAACACCGGGGTACAGACGATGCTTTGACCCTCGTCGAGTCAATCCTTTCCCCACTCAAATCCCGGTTCGTCTACCTGAGCTACGAAGAACACGACTCTGTCACTGCCAACACTCAAGCCGTCACCCATGCCGCATTCCTGAGGTACGCTTCCATTTCACCTCTCAGTACACATCTCACCCTACTCCAGCATGGGCACCGCCTGGGCCTGCTCCCAATCTTACCCTTGGGAACAAGGCCTCTACGTTGGCGGCATCGAAACTGTCAAAGTCAACCTCACCCTCCGCATCTTCTCCAACGCATGGCACGTCTACGCAGGCCTCGCCATCCTCAACCCCTCCGCCCGAGTTCAAATCGACCAATACGCCAAAAGCACCTCCGACCTCTTCAAACTCATGCTCAAAGGCGGAGCGGGAAGCCAGAGCGCTGTCAAAGAATTCCGGGAACGCATCCAATGGGCTAGGGAAACCGTGTTTGGCGAGTGGACAGCGGCTAATAATACACCTGGGAAACGCAAGTCCCGGAGACCTATCCTTCTCTCTGCTTCCATCCTCGATCGTTTTAGTCTCGGAATCAGCAATTCCACGGGCTCGCCAACGGATACCGACGCGACGCTCACCCCACCCAGCAAGTACCGTCCCAATTCACATCTATCCCTCCTCGCGATGGTGGACTGCTGGGCTCATCTCGGTATAAATCCTTACCACCATCTCTCTGTCGCTGCCACGCCCCTCTTCCGTCTATTCCTAGGTGTAGCCGAGCACCTCTTCCTCTCCACCTCCCTCCTTAACAGCGCCATGGACTCGGCACTCCACCACAACTGGCATCGCTCAGACGACCTCGAATTCGTCGTCGCTGCCAGAGGCTGGAGCCAATGCGTTAGCTTTGGCAGTTTCGACCTTTACCGGCGGAGGTTTGAAGAGACCAGGACATTTTTCGAAGCGAGATTTGACGAGGCGGGCAAGTTGGGCAGTGAGATGATTAAAGCGGTCATGGAGAGTGAGATGGAGAGGGAGGAGAGCGAGCAAGAAGTTTGATATATGTGGGTATCTTTTGGAATATACTGGATTTGGAACAGGGAGACGTGTGTATGTGACTGCCGCGGACCCTCTGCGGACCCACAGAGAATGCTTTCCGTTGCCCCCTCATCATATGCTTCGCGCTGTCGCCGCTCACTGTGACAGCAGTCGGACCTTGAACCGTGTGACTTGACCTTTGTCTCTGGCTATCGGCGGCTAGGATGCAAAGGCTGCTGCTGAAGCGACTAAGTTCTGGCCCTATCCAGAGGCGTTTGGTGACATCTTCATGTCTTCAAAACCCGTTGTTTAGCTACTCTACTGGACGCTGGCTCTACAACGAGAAAGACCGTGAGTTGAGTAGCTTCATCCAATAGATCCAATGCTGACACTGTCCAGAATTGGCTGTCAGACATGTCCCTTTCAACGTCGATGCTCTAAAAGAGGCAGCTTGCAGCGCCCTGGGCAAATCATCATGCACGAGTTTTGAAAAGATTGCGGAGGGTGCGGCACAAACTCGAATGGCGCTACGCCGATGCTAATGGTTACGTAGGCTCATACAACAAAGTCTTCCGAATGTATTTTGAGGATGGAAAAACGGCTATAGCCCGAATTCCTTCACTCCGTCTGCTCGGGAACGCCTCAATGATCACCGCCAGCGAGGTAGCCACGATGGAGTTCATGAGGCTTTACCGAAGCTTCCACATCCCCCTCGTCTATTCCTGGTCCAAAGACCTCGATGGCCCGGTCAAATCACCCTACATCATCATGGAAGACATTGAAGGTGTCCCTCTCCTCCACGACTGGTACAAAATCCGCGGGGACCCCGTCCGACATGCAATGCGGCGATTCGTCACTGATGTCAGGCAAATGTTATGCATCCCATTCGACCAGATCGGAGGATTGTACTTTAAAGAGGACCTCCCTCCTCACCTGCAAGAGCGGCCCTTGTTTTCACCCGCACTCTATCAAACCGAGACGGCTCTAAAAATGTTTGAGCCCGCTATTGATAGATTTCGTGTTGGGCCTATTCCGGATTACACCTGGTGGAGGACGATGCATGACGAAGTAGGCGCAGACCGTGGCCCTTGTGAGTGTTATTCGACGCTACCACTTTGTCTGGCTGATCAATACCGACATAGGGAAGGATATCGGGGATATGCTCATCGCCGCTGTCAACTTGGAAAAAAGCGCCATTGCCAAATACCGACGTAATCCCTCCATTCTGAAAAAGACAGAGACCACCTCACTTGAAGAGCTTGACGTTCTCGAAGGGCTCCTCGAGAAGGTCGTAACCCTGGCGCCTTCATTGGCTTTGGCCTTGAGCAACATCCCAGATTTCATCAACTTCAATGTAGCCGTCCATGCTGATTTAGGGCCAAACAACGCTATGGTTCCTGCCGACAACGGCACAAACACACTCAGCCGTTTCGACCAGTTCACATACATCGACTGGCAGGGGACGTCCATCCTCCCCTTCCCCTTCCACTGCCACATACCCGAGCTCGTGCAATACAACGGCGACATCATCAAAGTCCCAGACGAGTATATAAACCAAATCCCAATTCCAGAAGGACTCGATCAACTTCCAGAAGACCAGCGAGAGTATATCATGGCACACCACCGCCTCGCCACCAGAGAATTGGCCTTTAAAAATGCCATGCTGGACAATTTCCATCCATGGGCCGCTGCGAACGCGCACTGCCTCTTCCCTTATATCACCCAACTCCCCGACCGAGTCCTACGAGGTGTAACACACGGGCCTATCTTGCTTCGAGAATGCCTAATGCGCATATCCTCGGAATGGGACGAGGAGCAGTGTGATGGACCGTGCCCCATTTCTTTCACGGAGGACGAAATTGCCGCGCACGACCGTGCAGCGGTCTTCCGTCATCTTTACTTTGTCAATACCAAGACTGCGCAAAAGCGTATCGATATGGATGGGGATGGGTGGGTGCCGAACGAAGAGTACGAGGAGGCGCGGGCGCGGTTTGAGAAGTATCGCGAGTCGTGGGATCCTAAGGTCTGCGGAGGACCCTGGCCTTTCCAAGATGGTGGTTACTCGTACTTCCTAGCCTAATACCTTTGTCTATATCTAGTTGTGAAATTTACCTCCTCTCACTACATATCAAGGACTCTATTGGTGAAAGAAGCTATTAAGCTGCCAGCAGTATCTCCATAGAACCAAACAGGGGCCGCTTTCCCAAATACGCGTTTGATGACATCACGTGGAAGGCCAGGTATCGCCACGACTGTCGCAGAAGTTGAGTGGAAATCGAGCGCCGGACTTTTGCAAACGACGACGACAACGACGATGACGGGCTTTTCGTCGCTGCCCCTCGCCAGCGAGGAAGGCGACGCCGGCCAAAACGCCAGAAAATTCACAGGCGTCGCTCACATCGTTGGACCGCGATGGGCACACCTTCCAACCCTCACAGTCGGTTTATTAGGCGTTCAGGTGTTCTGGAGTGTCGAAATGTCATATGGTATGTCAGGAAAATATTCTCGATTTGAAGACAAAGTCTGAATTCTATACAGCCTCGCCATATCTGTTATCACTCGGATTAAGCAAGTCGAGCATGGCGATCGTCTTCCTAGCTGGTCCTCTGTCCGGCCTAATCATGCAGCCATTAATCGGTATGCGTCCAACCGCTCACCTATACCCTGTTTTTACTCAAAGGTGTATAGGTGTATTGGCAGACAACTCTACATCTCGTTTCGGTCGCCGAAGACCATATATGATGCTTGGAACAGTCCTTTGCATGGCCGGAATGCTCTTGCTCGGATTCACCAGGCCTGTCGCCTCGATATTCACCACACTGGGCTCTTCAGCTGTGGGTCATGCATTCACGCCACCCGCACTCTGTCGCTTAACATTCCCTTCAGAATGATACCCTCACAATCTGGCTCGCAGTCCTCGCCATATACTTTATCGACTTTGCAATAAACGCAGGTGAAGTCGACCTCTTGCTCCACTCATCAATCGACATAACCAGAGAGTGCAGTGCAGGCCATGGACAGAGCGTTGCTCGTAGATACCCTTCCAACATCAAAACAAGCTCCAGGAAACGCGTGGGCGGCAAAGATGTTGGGTGTTGGAGCAGTAGTGGGATTCTTCGTGTATGTTCCCTCGTTGATTGCAATTTCCAGCTCTAACTATCCGCAGTGGAAAGCTCGAACTAACCAAGGCGTTCCCATACCTCGGAAGAACACAGCTTGAGGTGCTGTCTGTGATCGTGTCGTTCTTTCTGTTCACCACCCATTCTATCACGGCGCTATTTGTCAAGGAACGCGTATTGCTCAAGTCTACGCAGGTTGAAGGGTGACTCTATTCTCCGACGTGCACGTCACTGTCCTGACCCGTGACTTAGGAAAACAAAGAAGCAAAACGCTTTCATTCGGGAAGTGAAAGATATCTGGTCCAATGTGCTCACTTTACCATGGGTTATCCGACAAATTGTAAGCTTTTTGCTCTCCTCAACCGCGGTCCCTAACAACTCGACCCCAGTGCTTCATTCAATTCTGCGCGTGGATAGCATGGTTCCCGGTCCTCTTCTACTCTAGCATCTATGTCGGCGATTTCCACAAGCACGCCAGTCCAGTCCCAACTACAGCCGAAGGGAGGGCCGCCCTCGATGCCGACGCGACCAGGATGGGCTCCAGGGCGCTCTTCTACTCCTCGTTGATTGCTCTGGTCTGCAACTTTGCCCTCCCGTTGTTCATCCTAAAATCCAACCCCAGAAATGGTCTCCCCGAAGCACAGGGCCGATACAGCCGCTTTGCCATCCCGGCCGTCCTCAAGTTCCACCTCGCGTCGCTATGGGCGTTTAGTCACTTGATATTTGCCCTGTGTATGTTTGCAACCTTGTGAGTCACCTTGTAACTGATACGAAAATATACTTCTAAACTGTTTCATAGCTTCACGCATTCCCTTGCAGGGGCTACTGCCCTCATTGCTATCACTGGCTTCTCTTGGGCTGTAACCCAGTGGGCGCCATTTGCTTTGGTGCGCCCCAATGTGCTCACTCCCATCTACGCTGGCTAACACCCCCCAGCTCGCTGAAGCGATCTTAACTGAACCTGGGCCCGCAACGGCTGATGACGGAGGGTCGATTCAACTCGAAGATGCGCGCACTCGAAATCATGACGAACGAACTGCATTCCTCGTCGGGAACGACTCGGACGGCGAAGACGACGACGATGTCCGCAAAGCAGAAGAAAACCGACGAATGCTTCTTGGAAACCCATCAGCTCATGTTAGCACGCTTGACGTAGATCGATCCGGCAGCAGGTCAACTGATAATGAGTACGAGATTGTCAATGGAAGCGACGCGTATGACAGCCCGCGGACCAGCACAAGACACGACCGGGAGGACGACGGTTTGGATACCTCGGATGCCAACCCTTCCGGGGGTCTGAGTGCAAAAGCCGGGATCATTCTCGTCAGTGGAATGGTTTTTGTAATATTGTTTGTCACTGACCAGTGTCCTAACAGGGTATTCATAATGTCTTCATTGTCATTCCCCAGTTCCTAGTGACTGGTCTCTCGTCAATCATCTTTGCCCTGTTTGACGAAAAGCCTGCTGTACCACCACACAGCGGCGCTGCACCAGCTCCGGTACTGAATGGCACAGATGTGTTGAACGCAGTAAAGAATGTTTCGTCCGCTCTCGCTGACACTGTCCGCGGACGGGATAATCTATACCACCTACTTCCGAGAGCAGAAGACGCAGTCCCGACCGCCAAGGCCAACTCTGTGGTCTACGTTTTCAGGTACGTCATCGTTCTCATCCCTCGAACTCACCCAGCTGAACATTTTGACCAGACTGGGAGGTGTTGCAGCCACATTCGCCTTTGTTCTCTGCTGGAGACTAGCCAGAGAGATGAGACATAGATGACATTCTATTACCCCAGTATTTATACCACCCTTGTATCAATAGCATTATTGTCTCCGGACGGAGCGGATAGCCCCTAAGTTATGGCTTTGCTAATGACTATGCACGCGCCTCATGGATCATAAATGCCTGGCCCAACGTCTGTTCGTTATCGGATCTTGACCTCGAACCACAATGTTGAACAACCTCGCTGGCACAATTTCTCCTGCAGAGAAGGCTGCCTATCTGCGCACGCTCCCGGCGATTCGAGAGCGATGTAGCAGGGTCCACGAGTTGGCGAAGCAGGGAAAGCTTCAGTACTTTGACTACCACCAGGAGAAGGAGGCCGCTGCTGTCGAGCTATGCATCAAGATTATGAAGGTGCGCATCGAATACCATCCTCTAGATACGTGGCTCACGGTATAAGCTAGAGCAAGTACGGTGAAGGGGACCAAGTTAAAGTCGAACGGGTCAGTTTCTTCCAGATCCTTCAAGGCGGTTGCTGAAAGAGAGTCCACAGATTCCCCCTCATGGGAGATGGAGACATCTAGACTTTGGCCACCCTCGTGTTGAACAACTACTCCAGACCTGGAAGGAAGGAAACACTGTCGACGCCAAGGAACGAGCGCGACGAGCCATTGACCTCTTTGTCGTCTCTGTCCTCCTTGATGCAGGCGCAGGAAACGTTTGGAAATACGAAGAGAAGGAGACAGGCGAGACTTATGTGCGTAGCGAGGGTCTGGGCGTTGCAAGCTTCAGGATGTTCGAGGCGGGAGCGTTCTCCAGCGATCCAAACCAGCCGTTCCAGGCAGATGGTACGTCCATGGGGCCCCTATCTATTCGGAAGCGCAACTCACCCTTTGACCCCAGCGGAGGGACTCATTCGGCTAACACCCCAAACTGTTGGAAGCTTGATGCAGGTCTCGGACCAAAACCCTATGGTCGGAGTGGAAGGTCGTGCCAATCTACTGTCGAGCCTCGGCCAAGCTCTCAAATCCAATCCCAAGTACTTTGGAAAGGATGGTCGGGTCGGGAACATTGTCGGTGCGTGTAGCCTATCCTCCATTGCTTCTGTTTTGATTGACGTTGTCATATAGACTTCCTTTCCCCTGAAACTCGGACGGACGAATCGGGAGCCGTGCATCTCCCTCTGGCTGCCCTATGGGAGGTAATGATTGACGGTCTCTCCTCCATCTGGCCCTCCCGCCATTCCCTAGGCGATGTCGCTTTGGGTGACGTTTGGCCATGTCCTGCTCTGGTCGCTGGCAAAGATGGTACGCCCTTCGCAATTTATCACGTCTTTGAACCTCACACCAATTACCTTACCACAAGGTTCTGCTGACGAAGGCGACGATCTAGTCCCCTTCCACAAGCTCACTCAATGGTTAACGTACAGCCTCATTGAGGTATTCGAGAAGGTTTTGCAATGGAAGGTTGCGGGGATGGAGGATATGACTGGCCTCCCCGAGTACCGCAACGGAGGTCTTCTAATCGACCTTGGAGTCCTCTCGCTCAAGCCCGGTGCACTCCCCACAGACGAAAAGTCAGGTTTGCCCTACGCCGAACCCTCCCACCCCGCCATCGTCGAATGGCGCGCCATGACTGTCATTGAGCTGTGCGTGTCTGTTGAAAAATACTATTCTTTCTAGCTGACCCAATCAATCGAACAGGGACCGAATTGCTGAAGGGATTCGCAAGGCTTTGAACTTGACAGCTGACCAGCTCACCCTCGCTCAGATTCTGGAGAGTGCTACTTGGTCTGGTGGACGGCATATAGCCAAAGAGAAACGCCCCGCAACCGGTGGACCTCCCATCGAAATCCAAAGCGACGGGACTGTGTTCTAGGCATACTTATACACTCCACGCTCTGTATCTTGACCTTTGATGGCGAATGGTATCGATTATTAGTAGGGATACTGCTTCACTGTTTCAGTGCTAGCGTCCATTTTGGACATCAGGCAAGGATGCGGACCCACAGACATAGCACAATGAATCGTCCGTGGAAGCGATTTTATGTAAGGTACCTTCAAGACCCGTTAAGGCGACGCCACCAACAACCTCAAGGTATGCACCTCCTGGCTCCTCGGCCTTACCTTGTGGCAACACTGAGTAACTGTGGATGGGTCACGATGCCCGACTCGGATGAGCGTATTGGAAATTGGATCAGGCCCATCCTCAACGGATACGGACAGATAGCTAGCATTTCGGAGTAATATACCTTCCGATGGCCTGAAAGAACATGGGCCTAGAGCTCACAAGTTGAAAAGAACAAGACTCAGAATATACGCCCTCAATGTCATTGGCCCCGTTGCCTTTGTGCTGTGGAAGCATTGGCGGAGTCGTTCTCGAAAGCCCGGATATTAGCACATTAAGCGCCCAACCTGTCATGTGACGAGTCCCCGCCGGAACTTTCCACTCCAAACCCCATTGGCCTTTTTTCCTGTCGTTCCCTTTGCTTCCGCTGACGTCGACTCTGTACTCGCACAGACAACTGGCCGGACAAGGCTGAGATCGTAAAGCGATAGGGAACTGCAGGCGAAAGGCGATTCAAATCGCCGCCCTGCGATCGCAAACGCCCGTGGTCATCTGACGTGGTCTGGTAAAGGACGCAGAACGATTCATGTGTCATTGGCGATCTGGGGTTCAAAGGGACGCTTCTCGTTCCGTTTCTCGACATAGAAACTCCAAATCACCGGTGACACAGATGGGAGGATAAATTACACCCTTTGGTTTCCCTTTTTTTGCAATCCCCAATCGATTCCTTGCGATAAAATGGGTATTCTCGACAAAACCTTCGACACCGAGTTCGTCGTTTGCGCCATTGACATCGGCGTTGCAGTATCGGTAGGTGCCGCGCAATAATGAATTATTATTTGCCTGGCTCTGGTTGACGAAACCCTGTATACAGTCTGTATCGTTCCTCCACGTAAAGCCGGGAGATGATTTCGAGGCGCTTCATGACAAAGTGTACCGCGTCAGCAAGTGGCCTTTCCACAAGGACAGGACCACCGACATCCCTTTTGCTTTGTGCTACAGAAACGGGAAGGCAATTAAAAACAGGATGGGCGCAAATGCCAAGCCACCTGGACCGGGTGAGGACTGGGTAGTGGTAAAGAACTTCAAGACTTTCGTGACGACTTTGGGGTCGGATGACACTTCGAACGAGTCCCTCCCTCCTGGAGTTACCTTGGCCAGGGTGTATGAGGACTGGCTCAAGTTCTTGTTCGACGCGGGCTCGGAGGCGTTTGTCGAGCAGTTTGACGTCCCTGGAGACGTTTGGGAGCGGAGGATGTGTGTCTTCATCTCGCCAAATGAGTGGGGCAAGGCTGAGCAAGCGAACGTCCGCAAGATTATCCATCGTGCTGGATGTATTGAATATGACGAGCATGTTCGTTTCACTCGCGAAAGCGAAGCCACGCTCCACTATTGCCTGTACCACGGCTTAGCGGACCAGTTGACTGCACCAGTAAGTCATTCCTCTCACTTTTGTCGGGATAAGTGCTCTCTAACCGTACCCTTTGAAGGTCGGGCTCGAGTTCTTTGTTTGCAATTCTGGTATCACCACCGACATTGGGTTCTTTAAAGTGATCAGCACCGATCCCCTCGAATTCGAAGAGGTTTCTGCGGCCATATGTACGGTTTCTTCACGTTCGATGAACCTCGGCTTACGCATGTCTTTCCAGCTTTGAATTTGGGTAGCACAGATCCGGATGATTTCAGGTGAGCACTCTCGATCTTTCGACTCTGCAGGTGGCTCACCCTCACCTCTGTAGCGCAGTCAATCTTATCGAGGCCAAAATTCGTGAAAAGAAGAGGAAAACAGCAACACATCCCAAGGTAATGGAACTATAATGGTCACCCTCGCTCATGACTGACCGTCCTACCGCAGTTTCTGGTGATGGGAGGAGGTTACTCGCGAAATATTGACGCGAGGACGCAGCTCTCAAAGAAATTGAAACCTGACGGCATACAGGTAATCGCTCCATTGAGAGGCCCCGCTGACTTCGGCGTGAACGAGTAAGTTGACTTCTTGCTGGAGGATCACCCCACTCAACAAGCAGAATAGGAGCCCTACGGTCGATGGTGGCCTTTACAGCTTCTTGCATAACTTCGTTTCCGCCCGTGCTGCAGCTGCGACCTTTGGTACCAATATATTGATTACTTACGATGAGGCAACGGCCACTCCCGAGCAAAGGCGGCGCTTCCAGAACTCCCCTTACCACCATGGGGGAACCAGCTATATTAATCATGGCTGGTCTACGATTGTGAAGAAGGTTGTGAAAAATCACGTAGTGATCTTTGGAAAGAAAACGACCAGACCCGGGATTGAACCGAGGACCGTCCCAACACTAGGTGGATGCTCTAACCACTGAGCTATCCGGTCTAGTTCAACGTAGTGTGATACAGGTATTGAGCATATGCAAGAGATTGCATGTGAGCTTGGCATATGCTAGAGATAGCATGTGAGCCGTATACCTGGTAGAGATAGCAATCGGATTACTGATCTCAACACACCCCCTTCGAGTGCTTTTTCCTCCTTTCCTGTGCCTACAACCAGTCTTGGGAGCTCCCAGGACTCGTTAAGCCCACTTGCCACCTCGTGCCTCGTCGTTGCTGACTTGGGAGCTCCCAAGTCAACCAATTGACGCATACCCTTACCTCCACACTCCGTTATGTCGTCCACCACTGTCACCACCGACAACCCACTGTCGGCTACGACCATTTCACAATGGAAGCGGGTCTGCATCAACAAAGCTCTCGAGTTCGCCGCCTATGATATCCTCACGGGCGAAGAAACAGCGCCAACTGGCAGCGGGCAGATGAAGGCTCGCCAGCACTATCAGGAGCGTCGTTCCAAGATGGCCGGTTACCTCCGCTCCACACTCGATCATGCGCAGACGGAGACCCTCCTTGGTGATGTTGACATCCTAGACGTACCAACAATTTGGACCACTCTCCTTGCTGCATACAAGCCTAAGGACTCTGGATCAAGGACTTCCGCGATCCAAGAACTCATGACGCTCCGAAAGCAGGAAGACGAGACGTACGCGGATTATGGTGCACGATGCGTCGCTGCTGGACAACAGCTCATCAATCGCCTCCCTCCTGGTCCCAATTACGTCAAGGAAACCACAGCATCCGGCTCCTTCTTCACGTCACAAGCAACCGGCGCAACACCAGTGACAGCGGAGACTGTGGTCACCGGTTCCACCTTCGACAAGGGATACAGTGCTGTTGACCTTGTCAACGACTTTGCTGCCGCTATGATGACCGTTGGCCTTATAGTTGAAGAGGACAAGGTTCTTCGTCACACCCTCACCCACCTCAAGAGCACTACGGCCAGCGACATTCTTGAGCACCTTCGCCGAGCAGACACTCTTGACAAGAACACTGCCCTTGCAGAAGCTTCAGCTGCATCTGCCCTCGCGGCCTCTAAAAAGGCGGCCAAGAAACCGAAGGCCAAGTTCAACTGCTCGGTCCATGGCCCCAACAAGTCCCATAACGACAAGGACTGCAGGGCTCAGCAGCAGAAGGCTCAAATCGCTGAAGAGGATGACGAAACACCTCCCGCTATCGTCAAGGCCCAGATGGCCCAAGTCGCACACCTCGCAAGTCCCCCTCGTATCCGCTCGCTTAACACCAATGCTGACGAATCTTGGAACACAGACTCAGGAGCTACCTCTCATATGACACCACACCGCATTTGGATCCGAAATATGGTCCCATGCAGAATTCCCGTCGAGCTCGCCAACAAACACGTAGTGTGGGCAGTCGGGAAGGGAAGTGTTGTATTCTCCCCGGTCGTAGATGGCAAACCTGCCGAGTCTGTTATATTCCAAAATGTCCTTTATGTACCAGCATTGCAAAATAACCTCTTCTCTATCCTCACCGTTGTCACAAAGAGTCGAATGCGAGTGGTTATTGAGGGAAACAGTCTCGAGTTTTCAAGAGACAACAAGGTCTTATTCACAGCGAGCATCAAGGGCACTATTGGCACATTAAATGGCACAACTTTAGCATATAACGAGCAGGCATACATCGCACGAGTCGATAAGCACACCCTGCACTGTCGACTCGGACACATAGGCAAAGGGAGACTTGACACCCTCATCAACAAGGAACTGGCTACAGGCATTCTCGTCAAACCAAACACCGAAGTCCATAACGTGTGCGAACACTGTCAGGACGGGAAACAACATCGGGATCTCTTCCCAACTCACTCCAATAACCGTTCCTCTGAACTACTCGGACGCATCCACAGTGACCTCCATGGCCCTCTCACCCGCACAACTGCCGGACACAAGTACTGGATTACATTCATTGATGACTACTCACGTTATAAATGAGTGTACCTCTTGAAGAGCAAAGACGAAGCCTTCGAGAAGTTCAAGATATTTGTGGCCGAAGTTGAGAGGAAACACGGACGAAAGGTCAAGGAACTCCGAGACGACAAAGGGGGTGAATACATTGGAAAGGAATTCAATGCGTGGTGCGAAAAACTTGGAATCACTCGCCAACACACCGTAAAAGGCACACCACAACAGAACGGTGTCAGTGAACGATTCAACCGAACCGCAGCTGAAGGAGTGGTAGCCATGCTCTGCCAGGCAAATCTCCCATCATCATTCTGGTCACTCGCCCTTCTCTACTACGTCGACATCCTCAATATGACTCCATCGGCATCGGTCTCCAACACGACTTCCTACGAAGTATGGGAAGGTCGGAAACCGGACTTGTCTATGATCAGAACATTCGGATGTAGAGCATATGTCAACATCCAGCGAAAGGATAGACGGAACCTCGACTCCCATACGACCCGTTGCATTTTTGTCGGTTTTGAACCAGGATACAAAGGATGGAAATGGTTTGACCCACAATCAAAGAAATTCATCATCTCTCGAGATATCGTCTTCGATGAGACCCTTTTTCCTGGCCTATCCACAAAGTCAACCACGGTTACGGTCAAACCAGTCGGCATCCGAGACATCTGGCCATATGATGATGACGATGAATGGGATACAGCACTGCGTGGTCCGGGAGCACCACCTGATCCTCCAGCTCCCCCAGCAGGCTTTAGGAGTACGGGGGACGCTCCGAGCACAACCACGCACGGGTCAGACTCTGATTCCGATGATGACGACACTCCTCCATACACGCCAAAACCTCGGGTCAAGAAAGAACACTCTGGAACAGACACTCCACAAGTGAAAGAGGAATTAGTGACCCCTTCTACCCCAACGGCAAAACCTCCAGTCGCACGCCACGCACCTTATCATCGAGAAGAGGAAGCCTCACCCACACCACAAGGCCGATCGCAACCACCTGTCCCACCATCGTCACCAGAACCATTGGTAGAGAATCCCGCTCCACTCCCTGCACCGAACTTTGGACAGGGAAGAGCAACCAAGCCAAAACCACCCCCCACAGCCATCCCAAAACCCTCGTCCGAATACGTTCCACGGCAAGAGTCACGGATTACTACACCTTAGCTGGACACTCACGCAAGGGGCACTGCGCCTGCCCCAAGACGAACAGCAGAGGAAAATGGTCACCCACCAAACCAGGACCAAGGGGGTGATCAGGTAGTAGATCAAGGGGGTGCAAGAGAGGATAATCTACCACCTATCACAGCCGACGACATTAATGAGGAGGATGAACCCGACTTCCACTCAGCTTTCAAAGCAACACCAGTCCTCGACTCCATCCTGCACGTCTACGGGATGAGTGGAGAGTACCTCACGATGGCTGAAGCATGTGAAATGGCACTCGAAATGGTTCTCGACAAGGTGAAGGAAAAAGCACTCGGAGCGGCCACACGACCAGAGGACTCGCCACGCAACTGGAAGGAAGCAATGGCCCGACCGGACAGAGACAAGTGGATCAGTGCTGCTCGAGCGGAAATTGATGCCCTCATTGCCAACGGCACCTGGGAACTCGTCCAACTCCCCACAAGGACGCAAAGCAATTGGATCACGCTGGGTCTTCCTGATCAAGCGAAAGTCTGATGGCACTATTGACCGGTACAAAGCACGCCTCGTCGCTAAAGGATTTGCCCAAGCACCAGGAATCGACTATGACCAAGTCTTCGCTCCAACCTCCCGCCTTGCCACCATCAGAGCAATCCTCGCACAAGCTGCCATGAACGGTGAATTCATTGAATCCATCAATATCTCCAATGCATACCTCAATGGAGAAATTGAAGATGAATACGAAGTATACATGGTCCAGCCAGAGGGATTCGAAGTCCCCAACCAAAATGGAGGACGATGGGTTTGCCGCCTCAAGAAGGGACTGTATGGGTTGAAGCAGAGTGGTCGACTCTGGTACGAGAAACTGGCAGAGGAACTCGAACGGCTTGGATTCAACAACTGAAGTCTGATCCCAGTGTCTACATTTGGGAATTAGACGGCATCCGAGTCACCCTGCCCGTCTTCGTCGACAACATCACAATCATCTCGAAAGACCAGAAGAAGATACAATGGGTCAAGGACGCCTTGGCAAAGGTGTTCAAACTGAAAGACCTTGGACCAACATCCTACCTTCTGGGAATTAAGGTTGATTACGATCAAGAGAAACGGACACTGCAACTATCACAGAAGCAGTACATCCAGGACATGCTCGTCCGTTTCCGCCTCAATGCGGCTAACACAGTCAAAACGCCGATGAACCCAAGCGTCCGCCTAAGCAAAGATCAGTGTCCCAAGACAGAAGAGGAACGAGAAGAGATGCGGAACATTCCCTACATGAACGCTGTGGGAGCACTCATGTATCTCGCAATCGGCACCCGACCTGACATCGCTTTCGCTGTGGCAAAGCTGGCACAATTCAATTCAAACCCCGGAATGACACATTGGACAGCCGTCAAACACATCTTCCGCTACCTCAAGGACACCATGGATCTCAAACTCACATATCGCATGGACAACAACCCCCAGCTCGCCTCTGAACTCTTCCACACATTCAGTGATGCCGATTATGCAGGATGCCTCGACACGAGACGATCAACAAGTGGATTCGTTATCAAGATGGGAACAGGAGCCATCAGCTGGTCTGCCAAGAAGCAAGCAACTGTGGCCAACTCTTCAACTGAAGCGGAATATGTTTCTGCATCATCAGCGGGACGAGAAATTATATGGCTACGGAACTTGCTGAGGGAAATTGGGTTCTCACTCGATAAACCTTCACCGATGATGGTAGACAACCAGTCAGCAATTAAAGTCCTCCGAAACCCAGAGCATCACAGCAAAATGAAGCACATCGACATCAAGATGCACTGGATCAGACAAGAGATCAAGCGCAGGGAGATCGAGATCCATTTCTGCCCAACGAAAGACATGGTTGCCGACATTCTAACAAAACCACTCCATCGAGAAGATGTTGAACGTCATCGAATCGCACTGGGACTTGTGTAATTATCTAGTGACATTACATTGAGGGGGTGTGTTGGAATACAATGCACATGTCACATCTATTCCATTTACGGGTACAAGGATGCCCAATTATGTACGAACGTTTCATGTATCCTTATACGGACATCCTATTGTTCTCTGATCTCGGATATATTAAGTAGTTCTATTGTTCTCTTGTATCCCTTGTTCCCAATTCGGACATCTTATTGTTCTACCGTATATAGACATCCCTTTGTCCCCAGACGTATATAGGTAGTGACTGCAAGTGGGAGTTCCCCCATCGAACTCTTCCCCACTTGCAGGTATGTCCTCATTGTACTTATTTATATCTGTACTAATATCATCGAACTCTTCCCCACTTGCAGTGGTACATCGTCTTACGTGTTTAATAAAGGTGTGGCTTAACTATTTGCTGCCAGTGAATCCACCACTGACGGGTTGAGTTAGGGAGACCTCGTACGAGACGGCGAGACACGAAAGCACAGCTACAGCAAGCTTTTCCGTGAAAAGCCGACAGAAAACCAGACGGTTTCGTGCACGCTTTACGCTTCCTATGAGGACCTGGACCCTGCTTGGCTCCGTGATGAGAAAGGTATTGACATCGACTTGGCTTGTATTTTTCATGGCTCAAGTGCTTCGCCAGGAGAGAAATTACTACCCGGTTTCCGGGAGTTATGCATAGTGAAAAGCAAGGGTCGGCTGACCCCTGCGGGTTTTCGGGTCAACCCTGCGACGGGTCGGGTACGGGTCGCCATTTTCAAACCCGAGATCTTTAAAACGAGCCATAGATCATCCGAAACGGATGGGAAATGGTTGAGATACAGTCAAATTAGTATTTTAACCATATCTCAGTCATTTCTTATCCGTTTTCGATGATCTAAGGCCCAACCCGTGCGGAAAACCCGTCGGGTTACGGGTAGGGTTATGCCAGGGGTCGGGTCCGGGTCGGCCTTCCAAAACCCGGGGTTAACCCCTGGTGATCACTAGTTATGCACCGTCTCAGGACCTCTCCACATGGACGATGTCCAGCTACGAGAAATCAAGTATATGGGGGAAATCAAACTGCTTACTCCATTCCTTTCCATTTTGACATCTTGTTTGGATCGGTGACCGCTCAGGCAAGTCTTGTCTGGGAGGGACCAAATGTGAGTTCTTTTCTGACGGAAAGAGCGCTCGACTTACGGACGTCTCTTTTCTCAGGACAAACCAGTGTTCGCGCCTTGCACATTCCATCCTCCTCACGGCTCTGAGGCTGTCTGGCACTAGCGCTTTCGTCAGTAAAGGAAACTGAATAGATGAGTAAAAGAACTCCGGGCTGTATGGATCGTAGGCTTCACCTGAATATCATTCGTTTCATGGTCTGATTCGCCGTTGCACAACATCGATAGTGATTCGTGAAGCTTTAATATGTACTTATGTATATGACGTGGGGGCAGCACAAAGGGTCCTTTCAATCTTGCCAGATCAACTGAGCATGGAGCCTTCCACACAGAGTTACTCCTAGATTGATTATCGCCACATCGCCAAGTACTTTATTCAAGTATGCAAGCTCGAAGACAAGTGGGCGTCCATTCAGGATTGAGATTGATATCTACTCGCCATCCCAGCTCTTCGCTCCCCAGCTCTTCAAGGTACTAAGACTCAGCATGAAATAATAGTCCCCCCCCGCGAGATGTGACAAAGAATTGCTGCTCGAAATCATTGGCCGTCGGATGCAGTTTCTTTGCGACACCCGCAATCTCGAATCGATCGCCATTCCTGTTCTTCACCTTTAAGGTGACATCGAACTTGGCGTTGGGGCTTTTGACAGTGTTAGGGACGGTGAGATTTTCGGAATCAAAGGTCTTGGCATCCTGGGCGCTTATCACAACATCGCCTGCCTTCTTCAACGGTGTAATGTCATCTTTGGGTCCCCCAAGAATGGGATCTTGGCCTTCGGTGTGAGATCAGACCCGTGTAGAGTGTGGGTACCGTAAGGATGATTGAAAGAAATGTACCGATCTTCTTGGGCATGAGTCCGGTTGGAGGGAAGAAAGGGTTGTTGGCGAATTGAGTAGTTTGGCGGTAGAAGCCGTTCTCAATCGAAGACTGGTAGCAAGCAAAGAGCACAACTATACATAGATATGTACATATCATACATGTTCCACCTTGATGTCCGGAATACCCATGCTCCATGTGTTGCCAGCCCTAGCTTGGCTGTTTTAAAGGTTCATGAGCCATAACCCAGCTGGCCACGTTGGAAAGCAGCATCCTTCATGACCCAGCTCGCCATACCGCTCCCTGAAGTCGACTGTTCCCCCGCATCTCGATCCGCTAGACAGAATGATCCCGGCTGCCCTGTCCCAGCTGTCATCAGAAATCCTGGTTGCCCGTGTCCCCGCTGGTTCCGCTGATTTCGCTTACCCCATGTCCCAGCTTCCCTTGTCGACTGTTCCCCCGCATCTCGATCCGCTAGACAGAATGATCCCGGCTGCCCTGTCCCAGCTGTCATCAGAAATCCTGGTTGCCCGTGTCCCCGCTGGTTCCGCTGATTTCGCTTACCCCATGTCCCAGCTTCCCTTGTCGACTGTTCCCCCGCATCTCGATCCGCTAGACAGAATGATCCCGGCTGCCCTGTCCCAGCTGTCATCAGAAATCCTGGTTGCCCGTGTCCCCGCTGGTTCCGCTGATTTCGCTTACCCCATGTCCCAGCTTCCCTTGCAGACGGCCCCCACTACTTACATTCCCCTTTCTCCCATGTCCCAGCTGCTCACTCAGAAATCCCGTTTGCCCGTGTCCCCGCTGGTTCCGCTGATTTCGCTTATCCCATGTCCCAGCTTCCCTTTCAGACAGCCCCACTATTACATACCCTTTTACCCCCTCTACCGTGACTCTGCTGCTCCTAGTCTGAGCTGAATCCTGATACACCACACCGGTTTCGCGCTGTCCCAGGGCACTCAGTACCTAGGAGATAATAGAGATGTACCAGAGTGAATTCAAAATACCCTATTCCGATGCTCTAGCGGGACCAGCTGGATTTAATAAAAACATTGTATCCATGTCGCAGCTGCCTACCACATAATGTACTGTTTTGATGTCCCAGCCGGGCTGCCCAAACAATGTGGAACTCCCAGAAGTTGGTTGTTGCCCAAGCTTGCCGCCCAGCTGGAACATTGGGTTAATCCACTGGTGCCAATGCTGAACTTGCAGGAATAGGTTAGTTGTTCAAGCTCACAGGCCAACTGGAACATTGTATTTGGGCTGGTAGATCACGTGTATGACCAATGTCCCAGCTGGGTAGTCCAAATTTCTGGACTACCCAGCTGGGACATTCATCATTTGTAGATCATGCCCAAGGCGCAATGTCCCAGCTGGGTAGTCCAAATTTCTAGGCTACTCAGCTGGGACATCCGACATGGACATGGATTACGCTCAAGTCATATGTCCCAGCTGGGCAGTCCGGATCATGCCCATGAGGAACCGGATTAGGCCCATGGCAATTCATCATTTGTAGATCACGCTCAAGGCGCGTGTCCCAGCTGGGTAGCTCATCATTTGTAGATCACACCCCGCTGACAGATGGGGCGAACTTCAGATCAGGGCTCCCAGGAAAAAAAAAAACAGGTCGACTGATTCAACTGACAGTGATCTGGAGATGGAGATTTTCATCAACAGGGTGCGAAAGGAGGACTCGGCGAGAGGGAGAGGGAGGGACGAAGAACCTGTGTCCCATGGATCTAAGAAGAGGAAGAAGGGTGATTCTGATCGACGTGAAGATTCTAACCTTGGGGCAGAGAAGACTCCCCGATCTCACACCATGAACAACCTGCAGGCGTCTGCTGCCAAAAACCCGTTTCAACTTAGATTTTCAAGGTGGATCAACGATGACGGGGATCATGATTCCCGGTCGGGTGTTGCGGGTCAGGATCGCTACGATGACCTGGGGGGGGATGGGGATCATGGAGGGCAGGATGATGGCATGGGGTCGGATGACATAGGTCGGAATTGCAATGACGACTTTGGCGGAGATGGGGGTAGCAGTGATGATGACGACTTGTGGGATCGTGATAGTGATGAAGACTTAGGTGGAGATGGGGATCGTGGGGAGCAGGGCCATGGCATGGGGTTGGATGATGCAGGTCAGGATCCTGACCGAGATTTGGGCGGAGATGAGGATAATGATGAGGAGGGTGATGACATGGAGGATGATGTAGGTGAGGGTCGCGGTGATAACTTAGGCAGTGGGCATGCTGATTCTTATGTCGGTTAGATGCCGAAGAAGGCCGCAGATTTGACAATGGGGTTAGGGATGCTGACGACAACGATTTCGACAACGATGGAGTTGATGACATCGAACAGGAAACGCCTCCACAGCGCCCGCCGGAGGACCGCTACCAGGGAAGGCGCACTCGCTCGAGGTCGCAGGCTCAAGATGCATTGGAGGAAGGGGCGAGCGAGGATGATAGTGATCAACCATCAAGCTTCCAAGGCATCAGAACGAGACGTCAGCGTCGCGAGGATGCACATCCTAAGTCGACTGATGAAAGGTCGCGGACTACTCGCAATCGACAGACTGCTGCAAACCCAGAAAACGCTAAACCCGTCGGCAAGAGGAAGGATTATCCGGTCCCGTTGACGAGCCCATCCAAGCGCCCGCGGGTTGAAGCTTCCACTCAATCAAAGTCATCGAGTCACAAAAAAACTAGTCAAACCAGCAAGAGGGAAGCACCCCCTCCTCGGACTCCTAAGAGACAGAAACCTGCTGCGAATGGAAGGAAGGAGGCTGTAACGCCAAAGAAGAGGGTTGCTGGACGGCGATGAGTTTGATGTTCATGATCCTCATATGTGTTACGTAGCCTTTGTGTTACTTACAAATAAGGAACAATTGATTATATATTGTCAGCCTAAACAACGCAAACTAAATTACTGATCTTGAGCAATCGCAAGACTCCCGATGGGATGAAACTCGCCATCGGTGGAATGGTGATGAGAAGGGAGGTGTTGGAATTCGCTGCCGCCAATCGTGAGTCCTCCGACTGCATTGACCCGCCCATTATAGGTGCTCTGATCGTTGGGCGTGTTTTGAGTCGAATCCAAGGTATGTTGTTGAATGCGGTTCTGCGGGTGATACTTGAACTTACCGCTGGTGATGTTGCCCCAGTCAGAGGGACTGTCGCCGCCATTGACGGTACTCGTTGAAGACCTTCCGGCCCTCGAACCTCGATCGTCGAGCATCTGCATCTGCTGAATCATGTCTGGTGTAGTTCCGACTGAGGAGTGGGCGATCATTTCGAGAAGACTAGCGCGTTGAACTGGTGAGGACTGGAGCTCATGGGGAAGGTCCATCTGGGCGCGATGCACCTCGGAGATGATTGGTTGGAGGGGATTGCTCTCTGCATTGGGGGCAGAGCGATCTGAATGGAAGCTTTGGTCGGGGTGGGGATGGAAGCTCGTGGCGTTCGAGTTTGGAAACTGACCCTGCGAGGCATAGCTGTTGATCGAAGTCGATGTCGAGGCTGGCATCGGCGTCGTTGCGAGTCGTGAACCTGTCGAGAACCCCCTGGTAAAACTGGGGCTGAAGGAGGAGGTGCTGGGATAACCATTATGAGCGCCAGTCTGGGTAACTGGGTGGGAGGAGAAGTTGCGGTGGGCTTGGGTGGTTGTAACCTGGGTTGAGCCCGCGACTGGACGTGGTACAGGAACTAACTGGGTTGAATCCGGAACTCGACGAAGTCCATGGACCTCGAGGAGTTTTTCGACGACACCGTTTAGAAGCTTGAGGTTTGACCGGTAATCGTCCAACATCTTCTCACGCTCTTCCACCCTTGCCTCCAGCTCCGCCGTCTTCTTCTGCTCAGCCTTCAGATCTTGTCGTAACTCGTCGAGGGACTCCACTGCTTGGTTCAACCGCTTCTCAAGGACAGGAACAGTTTTCTCAGCGTTCTGGTTGCGCTCCAATGCCCGCGTGATGGTCGAAATCTTGGATTCCAATTGGCGGATTGTTGAACCTCGTTGGTGTGATCTGACGGTCAATGCGTGGAGGGTTCCAGAGACGGACGCCAGGGGAAGCTCAGATTCCTCGAAGGGTGTGACCCTTGACCAGCGTTCATCGGTAGATGAGCCCATCGAAGCAAGAGTTTGCTGACGCCAGGTGAGCATCCCGCGTTGGAAAATCTGAATCCATCTCACCTTTGACGTCTGTTTCTTAGACGACTTATTCGATGCCTGAGTGGCATCTTCCTGTCTTCCGGCAGCGGTGGGGACCTTTCGTTGGGAACCTCAGCATCATCGAGTTGGCATAGGTTGCGAAAAAGGCACTGACCTTTCCCACTGCAGGTCCTAATCCTTCGTCGTCACTGCTGTTGCTTGGACGATATGATGCGTCATCATCGTCGTCTCCGTCAGGGAAGCGTTGGCGGTTTGAGCCAAGGGTAGGTGAACGCCCAGGTGGTGCATTTGCACTTGGGATCTCGGTTGAGTTGGATATATTGGGAGGCTTCCCAGCGGCACGATGGCGTTCTTGGATAGAGTGACTCGGGTTGGGTCGCTTAGGTCCAATGTTCTTGACGGAAGGATTGGCCGCTGGTTTGGACGCGGTTGGTGCCGGGACGTTGATGCTGGTCAGGGTGGTGTGGACCTGTGGAGCGACAGCGCGGTTCTGCGAGGGAGGTAGTGGCGCGTTGGTCGTGGTAGGCTTGGCGAGTGTTGGTTTCTGCCCAACGGGATTTTCTAGGGACTAGGGCAAAGGTCAGTGGGTTCACGCAGATGTCAGGGCAACCCTACCTTAGGCGGGGTTGCCTTACGCTTGGCTTTTCGGGCTTTGACGTGGTCTCTGGAGGCACTAGAAGTGCTCGAATCAGAGCCGCTGTCTGAGGAATAGGGGTTGGTGGTGATACTTCGCCCAATCGTCGTGTTTTTCCTGGACCTCTCCTTCCCCTCATTCAACCCTGCAACGACCATCATGAACTCGCGGTTTTGATCATTCTCAGGGTTGGACTGAGAGGTAAACTCGTTTGCCTTTACTGCTGCGGTTGGCCTCGGTCGTGGTCGTGGTCTGGGCTTGGGGGGGTCCTCACCACCTTTCCCCTGGTTCTCAGCAGCCTTCTCGCCCTTCTCTGTTTCCTGCCCTGTCGCCGTCTTTCCCTTATCCACCGCACCCTGTCCCTGTCCCAATTCTAAATCGACGGCGTCGCTTTTCTTCTTCTTCGTAGTCTGCGGCTAGACCCTCAAATGCCACCTCGGCGTTTATCAGTCAATTTCCAATAACTCGAACGAATCCGAATCCGCCCACCTCGCGCTTCGATGACTTCTTCTTCGGGTTGTCCCCATCCGCGCCAGCATGTAGATTTCGGAAAAAGGTCAGGTCTAGCATTTCTGGTGATCCATCCCAATCCGCGACGTCCGGGGAGGCGATATGTCTGAACCATTGCCGTATTGCTGAAGGTAACGCCTCCTTTCTCCAACCGACTTGGTTCCAGGAGTCGTACACTTTGTTCTGTGAATCGATAGCATCGCTCTAGCATCCGCGTAAGACGGCATGGTCAAGACATACCGTGAGGTCCAACAATTGCTGTTTTTTCGTTATATCTTGTCTGCCTTTTCTCCAGGTCCATGCCTTCTCCACCAATTCCGTCAACCTTTCGATATCAGCGACAATTTCCGGCGGCGGTGGTGCCTTTTGCTGCTGCGTAGCAGCGGCCCTCGTTGTTGGCAGGGCCCGACGCTTTCGTCTTCGCTTCTTTGTTCGACATTGTTGAGGTAAGGTACATCAAGAGACAGAGGGGTCGCGCTACCGCGCGGCCAGCTCGACTTTAAGATATCTTGACGCGATTAGATGAAACACGTGATGCTTTGCCATCACTCCTCACAAGTCAAAATCCGCTTATTATCGAGAATCAAATCTGGATTGCTTGACGACACAACCATCCCCCCGCAATAGGTTTGACGTAAACTGCGCTATACAGAATGGACGGCTCCTCTAGCAAGGACTCTTCAAAGGCTAGTACGTGTCTTCTATCTAATCCTTTTTCTGTGTATTGTAATTAATCTTCGGATGGTCGAAGAATCCAGACCGAGACCCCCAGCAAAGACTCGACCCTTAACGCTCGCAAAATTTCGCAATGCGCCATTCGAGTCGGACTCGGATGAACCTGGATCGACTGTGGGTCCCATCGCGCCCGCACCTGCGGTTCCTTCCTCAATGGGGTTAGCCGAGAAGGTGCATGCTAGTGGCTGGGAAAGCGGTAAGAAGGATCCCATCATCTGACCACTCGTCTGACAACATTATTCTGCAGCCGAAGAAAACGGTATCTACCCGAGTTCTGGAATTACAGGTACCCCTTTACATTGAAATTGGCACTTACTATGATGACTGACGTCCTGTATATTTCACAGTTACCGTGGATCGAAAGAGGAGGGGAGACTATGCAGACGACGTGCCAATGGATTTCAAAAAGTCCAGACTCCAGGGTGGTGATGATGGAGAGGAGAATGAGGATGAGGGAGTCGCATGTCAGCCCGGATGTGACGATGATGGGGATGTCCCGCGCCAGCCAGTCGCCGAGGATGGCGATGGTGCTAGCCAGTTCGAGGGTGATGATGCAGTCGTTCCCGAGGGTGGCAATGGTAAACCAGATTCCGATGGACGAGACCCTGACGCTAGCGCTGACGAGCGCAGTAGCATGACCGGCAACAGGGGGCCGCAAGTCTGCATTTCCGTCAACTTCACTCGCCTTCTCCAGCAGAGGGTTCAGAAGCAAGTGCGCGCTCTCAAATGGATCCAGCTAGAACAGGCCATGATGCGGGATGCTCTAGTCGCATTGAGGGATGATATGAAGGCCGAGTTAGACCACCTACGCACCCTCCCAAAGTAAACACGCAAGAGTTTTATATAGCAATGGAGTATCATAATATCCTGACCAATCTACCGCAGTTGTCTTAATCCAATGGCTCGCAACTGAACGAGTGTCTGCTCATCCTTCCTGATGTCCTGAGCGATATCAGGGCGGAACTTCGAACAAAAGACGCGGGGGCCTGTTTTTCTACTATACGGGAGGATAAGAGGGATACATTAACCCTAGTTGCCTACACAGACCAAGCGTCCTGAGAGCGCTGGATTCATCGCCTACCATCGCAGCGCGAAGTTCGCTTTCGGCCCTCTTCACAATGTAAGACATAGCCATCCATCTCTTTCGTATCCTAAGAGTCTCTGTTGGGAAATATTGGTTCTGGATACTTGGGACAAGGATAATATACTTACCAGCCATGACTCGAAGGTTCTCTCCCTGCAAATAGGCTAACGTCGCGTCAAGTTCACTAATAACGGATGTATTGCAATCCCCATTAGTTCGGGCTGTTTCAACGAGCACTCTGGCTTTCTTAAGACCTGGTTCAAGAGTTAGCATTTATTCTGTAGTAATCGAGATCATGATGCCTCACCCTTCCAAAGTTTCCCATCCAGACCAGCCATTCCAGCAGAAGAGTCTTCCATTTCAGCGAAGTGAGCTTTCAGCCGACTGTATTCCGCGAGAACCCAGGGAATCTCGTGAATGGGGGTGTAAAATTGGCTTAGAAGCATATGCTCGAGGTAATGGCCCGTGAAACTGCAAAGTTCAATGCCAATTGCACTGTCAAAGCACAAGTTGCATCCGGGATAGTCGTGCAGTGGTTCCCCACGGGCGCCTTCTTCACACTCTATGCTGCAGTCGTCCCCTCTATGGCCAGACTGTTCTAAACTTGCCCAAGTCTGCCAAAGCCCAAGGTCCGCTTCTGTTTCGAATGCCCTTCGGATTCCCTCATGCTGGGAGTGCTTGACGGAAGGAAGTAGAGAGCCCATGATCTTGCGAGTGAGTCCATGAAACAAAAATGCAGGAAAATGGGATGACCCTTTAAAATCTCATATCGCTCCACCCCAGTTTGGCAATGCAGGGTGCTGTGGGATTTCTGGTTTCTCAGAGGCGGTGTCAACTCCGAGAGAATCACACGGATGGACGATATAACAAAGACGAGCAAAGACGCCACCTACCCCCGTCCGTTCGAACGTTCCCCATCGCCATTCATGGATCTTGAACACTCTCCTGCGCTAGATGCGCAACCTCTCCCCCAAATTCACGTACCAGATCTTCCTCTGATGGACGCACACCTTGAAGATTATCGCCTCTGCCTTGATGTAGAGAGGGTCATCTCGTTGCTGTTGCGCCTGAAGCTTTGGTTTGGGGGGTCTTTATGTCTGGATAAACTGTTATATTAATTGTTCTTCAGGGAACAAGACCGCCAGCGTCTACAGGAGATAGACAATCAGCTCAACGCGCTTCGTGGATCTGCGGACTGTCGCGAGATTGACGCCGCCCTCTTGAAACTGAAGCATCAAAACTCCGTCAACATGGAAGGAGCTACCGAGCTGGTTGCAAGTTTGTCCATCATTGCATCTGCCCGTGCTGGGTTGGGGAATCGAATGCCTGCTATCATCAGCAGGATGTGGGATTCTGAAGGGGATGCGTCGGTTATGGGGAGGCATTGTGAATTTCGGCCAACCGGTCCGCACTGGGTGATGGGCTTTCTAGGAGAGGCTCACGACGAAAGGAAGATGAAATGCAGAGACGACATAATGCGGGTGCTGGATCACGACATGAAGGAGCTTTTGGATCAGGTCAAGGCTTGTCAACCTTTCGATTCTCATCATGTTTCCGAAAGCCTTTCGACTGCCATCACAAGGCTGCGCTCAGAATGGGAAAGTTTCAATCTAGATAGCACCTCATTACCTCTTATTACTTAGCTTAATTCCAGAACGAGCTTGATCGGGGACTATACATGGAGGTCAACCTCGGACCGGAACTGAGATGTATGATGGCCGAATCAGACAGGACTTGTTTGGGATGTTGGATTCCCCGGGGATGTACACCGATACCTTCTTTCAACGTCCGAGGTGAGCACCTGCCCCAACAACTCTGAGATTTGAGCTTGACCTCTTCTGGTTTAGACAAGGGATATATATACACTGCCAATGCTTGCCTCCTTCCTCAACTTTTCCTGTTCCTCTCCTCTGGCGCAGATGGTGAATCTCCGCACCCTCAGCATAACCACAGAGAGAAGAGTGGAAGACGTGTCCTCCTTTCTCGACAGCGTCAGCGGGGGGATCAAGCTTTGTGAAAAGAAGGACACAGATCTTTATAGCCGCCCTCTTTCGGGATACGACCCCAACATACATTACGTCTTTGACCTCCTGCCGTACGACCCCCCCCAACCTCTGGCCACAATCAGTGATGAAGCACGCCAGGACCAGCTCCGTTCCCTTAAGTCGCGTATTTCGATGGCATCCAGTCGGCTGAAGACGCTGGAGGCTCGGATGGCCTCCTTTCCCGTTTCCAAGGCGGGACTGTGCAACCCCAACGAGAAGGCAGCAGCACTGCGGCATCGCACGTATTGCGACTCGTATGTACTTTTTGCAGTCAACTGTGACTCTGAAGCAGAGGCCTTCCTTCTCCTTCAAGAAGACATTATCCGGGTTGAAAACGCTGTCACTGACTTGGAGATCCGAGTTCAAGAGCTGGTTTCGACGAGGGCTTGGAAGGAAAGGGTTGGCTACGTGGACATACATCTGAAGTAGTACGCATGTTCTTGCTCTTGGTACTTCATCGTCTAAAAATGCTCTCCTTTTTTTCCTTCTCCTTCCTTCCCGTAATCATGGTCTGGGCTGTAATGAGTCATGTGAGGCGGAATTTTAGTATATATCTATGTAACCCCCAAATGCCTCACCCTGTCCCATTCCATTAAGCATGCCAGGCCAACCGTCGGAGGCTCCTCGTAACTTGTACCAGGATTAGGCTTGGGCGCGTCAAATTGGATCATGTATGTACCTGTGGGCACAAGTTGGGTGAGGTGAGACCGGTTAAGTTCCATCCCTCATATCCCAGCGGAGGTACCTGTAGATTCAAGCTCGCTCAACTGGGACATAAGGCCTGTGCGACCTTCCCGCCACCGATGTCCCAGCTGGGAGACACATTGCTTGAACTTGGTCAGTGTTTACCGCGCATAAAGATCCTACCTCAATTGGGTATTGAGTACACTGATGAATAACAATGATGATTAAACCATTACATACCTCGTGTCGCCTCTTGCCTGATGTCCCAAGGTCGAGGCTTTCAAATTTTGAGGCTCCCCAGCTGGAACATGCGACCTTGGGAGATCACGCGCAGGTCGAATGTTCCAGCGTCGAAGGAAGATTCATCATCGTGGGAGCGCCCTATCTGCTGCGTCCCTGCGGTGATTTGCTGCGCGTGGCGACGATGCGAAATTGTGGGGTCGAAGAATATGGAGTGCCGTTTCGTCAGCTGGGCTAGTTCAATTTTTGAGGCTCCCCAGCTGGAACATGCGACCTTGGGATGTCACGCACAAGTCGCATGTTCCAGCTGGGCTTGTTCAATTTTTGAGGCTCCCCAGCTGGAACATGCGACCTTGGGATGTCACGCACAAGTCGCATGTTCCAGCTGGGCTTGTTCAATTTTTGAGGCTCCCCAGCTGGGACATGCGACCTTGGGAGATCGCGCACAGGTTGAATGTTCCAGCTGGGCTCGTTCAATTTTTGAGGCTCCCCAGCTGGAACATGCGACCTTGGGAGATCACGCACAGGTCGAATGTTCCAGCGTCGAAGGAGGATTCGTCGTAGCGGGAGCGCCCTGTCTGCTGGGTCCATGCGGTGATTTACTGCGGGCGGCGACGACGCGAAATTGTCAAGTCGAAGAATATGCAGTGCTGTTTCGCCTATGACGATGTCGAAGAAAAGGGAGAGTTTGATGTTGAAATTAGGATGAACTTATTGGGCTAGTTCAATTATTGAGGCTCCCCAGCTGGAACATGCGACCTTGGGATGTCAAGCACAAGTCGCATGTTCCAGCTGGGTTTGTTCAATTTTTGAGGCTCCCCAGCTGGGACATGCGACATGTGTGTGATCTCCCAACCTGGGACACCGTATCTAATCAATCCCTCTCTGTCAGACTCTACGCTCGATTATGAGATGCTGAATGCCCGGAACTTACCCAAGGTTGCATAATGTCCCAGCTGGGGCTGTCCCATTTCCCCCTACCCTGTATTACTGCAACACTCACTGTCCCTTGCTGAGGATGCTCAGCCGAAGTCGTCATTGCCGACCTGCTGCTTGAACTTAGCATTTACAGCCATTACATGCTTCGCGTCGCCTCTAGATTTCAAGTTCAAGGTTACGGGTCTTGAGCTTCACAAGCTACAAATCCTAGGGGGTCCCGTTGGCATGGGCTATCCCGCTGGGACATCAAAACTGTACATATTGGGTGGTAGGCAGCTGGGACATGGATATAGTGCATTTATTAACCCATGTCAAATGTCCCAGCTGTGTAGTCCAAATTTCTAGGACTACCCAGCTGGGACATGGATATAGTGCATTTATTAACCCATGTCAAATGTCCCAGCTGTGTAGTCCAAATTTCTAGGACTACCCAGCTGGGACATTGGTCATACTGCGTGTATCTACCAGCGCAAATGTCAATGTGTCCAGTTGGGCTTTGAGCTTGAACAACAAACGTATTCCTGGGAGTTTAACGTTGGCACCTGCGGATTAACTCGATGTTCCAGCTGGGGGGCGAGCGTGGGCAGCAACGAACTCCAGGGAATTCGAACAACAAACCTATTCCTGCGAGTTCAATGTTGGCACCAGTGGATTAACCCAATGTTCCAGCTGGGCGGAGAGCTTGGGCAGCAAACAACTTCTGGGTATTCCACATCGCCGTGGGCAGCCCGGCTGGGACATCAAAACAGTACATTGTGTGGTAGGCAGCTGCGACATGGATACAATGTTTTTATTAAATCCAGCTGGTCCCGCTAGAGCATCGGAATAGGGTATTTTGAATTCACTCTGGTACATCACACATGATACACAGTCTATGTAATATTGTGGCTGTCCGGGATAATTTCTTGGCGATGTTTGGCTCGAGTATATAAAGGTCAAGCAAGGAGCAGTGAACTCTATAATACCCCAACACGCTTTAAACACAGGTGAGAGAAAACAGTGCACACAGGATCCATCAGCGCTGACTGTTTTAGATTCTTTTGTCAAGCATGTCCCCTGTTGACATCTCTTCCCTGGCACACCAAATGGAAGCCATACTTGGACTACTTGAACGTGAGTTTTAAGTGTGAACAACATTCATAATTGAAACTAAACTACTACAAGCCACTCAAAAGCAGATTAACCACTGCAAGCTCATGCTTCTTACCACCGATGTAGAGCGCCAATCACATCTGTCCCGGACAGACGAAGTGCGATCTTATATGTTGGAGGTCCGACAGGGGGTGGCTGATCACACCAACTGTGTCGTATCCCTCAGGTCCGCACAACTTGAGTTACTGGTTTCGATGTCAAATGTCCTTTCACATTACGTGCGGACTTGTCAGCATGGCTAAATTCCAGCGGACCGAATCGCCAGGTCTGTCCGCAACGTGCCTTCGGGTCCGCAGTAGTGCCAACAAATCCGGAGTTGTTCCTTTTCCTTTTTAGTCACGAGACAATTTGCGAGCACTATAAATTACACCGATCACGAATGACAGCATACCATTTGCGCTTTGTCTCCAACATACTCGTACCACGATGGCCACCAACAACAAAGACAAAATTCTCCTGGCCATCGATGAGCTAGCAGTTATGATTGGTTTGCTGAAAGGTATGCATTTGGTTTGACGTCGTTCCCTCACTGCTCACCCAACTGTTTCAGATTACGACAAGCCTGAGCACAAGGAAAAGTCCAAAGACTCTCCCGAGGTTCGCCTCAAACGGAAGAAAGACTTCGCCGAAGCGATACACGCAAAGGTCAAGGATCTGGTAGCTCTGGCTGATGCCGACAGCAAGGCAATCAACGACGATCTTTTGGCACAGGGGCTGCCCGCCAACCTCCTCGACTTGAAACTTGGTTAAACTATGTCCTCTTCGTCACAAATGTATTCAAATCGAGTTCTGCTCTCTACTTATACTCTGCGCCCGCATATGAACATGCTCGCACCGATTTCAGGGAATTGTCCGCAGGTCAAACTCAAATACGTCCCGCTACGGTATACAGTGGGTCCGCATGTGAGGACTTTGAGCGGTCCGAGAGATTACAGCGGAAATGCGGACCACAGAGAATTGGCATCTCAAGAACCGGACCCAATTGAAGCACGCCCGTTGCGGACGTGGCGAAGCGTGATCTGCGGACGCGGTGCCGAGATTTCCGATCAACCAACAAATCACCGCTCGTACTTCTATCGATTTTTCTTTCTCACTACAACCATCCCACTATACTCACACCGAATCTTCAATGTCGCCCGATGAACTCGATGCTCTTTTAGCTCGCCTTCTTGAGGTTGTATCACAGGCCCGAAGTGAGTCATTCCCTACCACTAATCGGTCTTGCAGAACCTGAAATACTTTCATTAGAAAGCACAACCGATATTGAAGAGAATATCACCCTGGTCACAACCCTACAGTCCAAAATTGACCAGCTCTCCAAATCATCTAATCCCAGCAGCCTTCAACATATAGCGGAGGGCCAGCGGTTGAAGGAGACGGCCAGCAACCATCTTAAGTCTTTTCTTCAAGCTCGAACGACCCAACTTGACTACCTGGAGACGGCCACTCAACTCGTGGCCAACGATCTGAAGCTCGAATGGACCGAACATCGATTTGCTGAAGCCCTTCGAGTGCGGGCACAGTTGGAACAGGCGTTACAGGCTCAGTAGCAGGGAAGGGTGGAGTGAAGTTTGTCGTTTGCATGTCATATTCAATGTATATTTCTATCTACTCATCTTGATGTCCTTTCCCTCTGTTCATTCTCTTCCTCTTTGTTCCATATCGCCGCCTCGACCAGAGCGAGGTCTCGCATGAGCAGGTTCCGCAGTCGAATATAGTTGTTTTCCCGCAGTTGCAGCTGAGCATACATCCATTCCAAGGACCTCATGTGTCGGTCAAAATGTGTGCTTGAGATGGCGGGTTCGTCAATGGCCCCAGTTGGCCCATAGGAGGAGCTGGTTGAGGCGTCATCATCATCGTCCGAATCCAACTGAAAGCTCATCCCCGCAAAGCCTGATGATGTCGCAATCAGTAATCAAACACGCTAGAAAGCGTGATATATCGACACTCACTCCCCAGTTTGCCCGCTGATGCTCCCCCTCGAGGTTCGTTGTCTTGCGATTTAGTTTCTCTCGGTAGTATATGCCCGACAATGCGGACCTCGGAGTCAGCATCGTCGACAACCCCAACCCGCTGATTCCCCGATGCAGGCCGTCCAGCGGGGAGGTCCTTAGTCCGCACAGTCGCTGTCCCAGCCCCTGAACTGTTACCCCTATGTATATGCCCGACAATGCGGACCTCGGAGTCGGCATTGTCGACAACCCCAACCCGCTGATTCCCCGATGCAGGCCGTCCAGCGGGGAGTTCCTCAGTCCGCACAGTCTCTGTCCCAGCCCTCGAACTGTTACCCCTATTGTCCTTGCCCGCACCGCCTTCCTCCATCGGCACGCCGACTCTGGAATTGTCTGGTGCTTCTTCTGTGGATCCCCCACCCCATTCTTCCAGGCGACCTCCCTCTGCCTCGACAATGCCTTCCATTCCCGAGTCACTTTGCAATGTTAGTCCGGTAATATTACAAACATTGGATTAAAGTCCCTACTTTTCTGGACGTGCGTCAGTAGTGGATCGTAAATCTTTAACTAAATTACACGTACCCGATTCATCGTCTGAGTCTGAACTCATGTGATACGTGAATGACTGAACTGAGGGGTGCAACATAGTAGCGAATGGCTCACGCATTAGTGAAATGACCAACCGGCGAATTATATCTCATTGCGCCCGAAAATCACGGACTGATAAGCTTTGCTAAATGTTCCGAGAGAATTACACATATCGCGGTCGCCTGACCAGCCAGGCGCGCCGTTGCGGGTTGTCCGTGAATCACCATGAGCGAGTCCCAAAAAAAACAGAAACCCCCTGCCTTATCACCCTCGGACCAGCGAGAGATGCAGAGGTCCATTACGCTGCTGAAGATAATGCTCAAGCGCGCCGCTTCCCTTCAGCCTGGCTCCAAAGACCTAGCTGGAAAGCTGGCGTTGCTCGAGTTGTCGGTGAGTCCCTTCCTAAAAGAATACGCATACCAGACTGATCCAGCTGTACTCCAGGGTAACGTATTTCAAGCTTACCTCAAGAAGAACGTTACCAAGAAGGAAATCGGTCCTGCAATATCCGCTTGGTTTAAGCATCTCAACCAGAACCAGCACATTCTCGGCGACCCAACGCTCATCAACGTCTTGTTTTTCGACAACCCGGTTTTTTCGTCCTTTGAACCCACAGAGGATGAACAGATAGCGTTCGACCGACATTTTCTCGCGATCGATGCCCGAATACAAGATTCCAAGCTGCCGGGTGACCAGAACTCTACCACCACAAGCAAACCCCCAGACTACAAGCCCCCACCGTCCCTAAGAAAACTCGTAAACGATGCAGTGGTGAGCCGTTATTTCTGGTATTTGGTGACCTGGAAAACCCATCCTTTTACCAGATTACTGCCACCCACGTCGATGGTCCGTCCACTTCCAAATCAACACCCAAGTCCCCGTCGGCCCCAGAGCCTAACAGGACCAAAACCTCTGCCCAAGTCGAAGCTAAACCCGCCAGACCACCGAACTTCTCATTGGCTCCCACAGTTGTAGTCCCTTCACTGCCCACCAAGCCTCGCACCGTGAAACCAACCCCTCGGCCCTTCTCGCATGCGACACAAACATCCGAGCGGGATGGTAGCAAGAAATTCGACACAGCCAAGTCCGCAAACGCCGATCCTGCAGAGACCCAGCCTAGCATCAGCGGACACCAGGCAACGAAGCCAGAGAGCAGGCACTCTGGCTCGACCAAGGCGAAGGTGGCCAAGCGTAAGCGTGAGGATACCCCCGCAGCCATGACTGCAGCGGATGTTCCTTGCAGCACCTGCGCTCGGAAAGGCACCGAGTGCTTGGTTTACAAGCCAAACGTAGCGTGCTGGCCATGCAGCAAGAACCATCGCAGTGGATGCGACTTTTCAAGGATTCAGAGGGTTGATGGCCAGTTCGTCGCTGTGAAGGAGGAAGCTGTCGATGTTGATATCCCGCCGCCCAAGAAGAAAAAGAAATCGAAGGCCAGGAAAGCAGCTGAGTCGCAAGGTGAAATGCTCCAGATTTTCCCTTCGCACTTTTACTGACATCATAATCTAGAGCCCGAGACAAGCAGGGATGAACCACGATCCGAATCAGCGATGGGCATCAAGGTGGGAATGTCTCAGATCCATGATGTGTTACGTATCTACTCACGCGGTCTGATCCATTCTCGGTACTGGCCATCTGTCCAACTTAGACCCAGGTAAGTTTTCTCGCTGTCTCACCACTTTTCGAACCAACGTCGCGCGCATTATATAGGATGATCGCGATGAGAGGCCCAATACAAAGGCTGTAAGCTATCTCCCACTTGCATTGGATGCCAGCTCTCGCTGATGATTTGTTTTAGAAGAACAAAAACCTTGGGCCTGCGAAGAAATCGCCAGAGGTCCTCGACGATACCGACGACGACCGTTTAACGCCATTGCCCGGGCAACCCCATGGGCCCCTCCCTCAACGGAAGCGCCCCGCTGAATGCAACCCACCCGCACCCCCGCAGGATCTGACCTCCCAATTCGCACCGCCAGCGCCTCCCGCCGAACAACAGCAACCCGCACCCCCGCAGGTGCTGTCTTCCCAATTCCCACCGCCAGCGCCTCCCGCCGAACAACAGCAACCCGCACCCCCGCAGGTGCCTTCATCAGCGCAACCCGCCGACGAAAAGGAAGCTGCAGTTTTGCCGCAGTCAAACCAACTGCCACCTGGCGATACCTCAGCTGCCCCCGCAGGTTCGAAGGCTCACGGTAATGTGGTAGGTGATTGCTTCAAAGACGAGTTTGGAGCGAGAGAAACTCATATATTGTTAGATTTCAGTTGAAGGACCCCATCCCAGCGAACTCGTCGATCACTCTGTTCTCGACACGCTCAATGACTTCGACAACCGTTTGTTCGGCATGGAGGGGAAGGTGCGGGCGGTCCAGTCGGCTGTGAACGTCCTCGTCTCGGCGTCCAACGAAACGCCGCAACTCCCATCACGCCTATCTAACCTGGAAACTCTGTTACAAGAGACTCGGGATGAACTGTCGGCCACTCAGAAGCAAGTCAGGGAGCAAGCTTCCCTCATTGCGGACTACCGGAATAACGTCACTCTCCTCAACGCGATTCTGGGTGCCAACACGTTCTGGCAACAGCTGAACCTCAATATGCTGTCGTCATCCCGGCCCTTTGGACAGGCTCCTGACCACCAGGATGCCCAGGGTTCCTCTTCGCAGGGCCACCATGTTTCGGACCAAAGCTCCTATTTCGGCGATTCCACTTCGATCCCAAACCCCCCGCCCCCCGACCAAAATTCGGTCTCGTATTACCGACATGCAGCTTCCTCCAACTTGAATCCGCCATCCAACGGTAACGCCCGGTTCGCAGAACAATCCCTGCCTTTGGAGATGAACACCCAACAGCAGTCCTCCTCTGGCCCTAGTTTGCACCCAACTAGGGAGCTCGCTGGAAACGCGACGTCGCTCAAGGCGCCCCCAACCCCGCTGACGATCCCAGAAGACTTTCCGCCACTGTCACCTGTCAAGTTCCAGAACTTTCTTCAGCAACTCTCAGTCACTGTCCCACCCCCACCTTTCCCCACCTTCGGTCCTGCGAAGTCAGAGGTATCGACAGGTCCGCAACCTCAGTCCGCCTCCACGTCCACCTCGGCGAACACCCAGTCCGGATCGAAACACGGAGACAATAGCAAACCAGAGGTCTCCTCAACGGGTCCGCAGCCTCGATCTGCCTCCGCAGCCAGGTCCGGTCCCAATGAGCAGCAATGGGAGGGTTTTGACTCAGGGAACTGCCACCCCGCAGCAACTCAATCCCGCGACGACGTCGAACGACCTGGCGCCACTGGTCCCCATTCTACTGGCGGTATGTCACACAATCAGGATAGAGCAGGAGGAGGAGCAGTACAACCGACTGTTCACGAAGTGGGTGAGGGATCCAGCAGAGGACCCGAGGGATCGTCTCAGTTAGAGGGAGCAGACAATATGGGTATGTTGAGATATATATATGGTAGCAGTCCTCTGACTTCTCAATTCGATGCTTCGTCCGTCTGCTCTAATATTTCAGATTTACAGTCATGAGTACTACATTCTACATTACCTTGCACATCAATTTCGTCTTAACTCACAATAACCTCAATTGTAATCAGTATGAATAATAAACCCCTTTTTTTGCCCATCTCAAGTCATTATACTGAATACAAATGAAAGACAGGAATAATCTATGGCCCCTTTACTTACGAGCTCGGGATTTGGCCTTCTTGGTGGACTTCTGAGAACCTCTGGTGGCGATCTGGGGTGGTCTCGTGGTGGACTGGACTCCCGACCTTCGACTGGCTTGAGCAGTGGCCGATCTCGTGCCACGGCTTGGAGTATGAGATTGTGCTCTAGTCACCCGCCGAGTTGGAGTCTGGGTTGCGGGAGCAGTCCGCACTCGCTTCTGACTGGGAGCAGGGTCCTCAGACTGGTTCCCCCGACGGCGCTTCTCAGGTAACACTGCCCCCTCTGAGACCTGATCGTCTTTGACCGCTAAGCGTCGTCCTCTAGTCAAAACCGGCGATTGAAGGTCTTCATCTTCAGGAGCTTGCTCCAAGGGATTGTCTCGGACCATGTCGTCAGGTAAGAACAAGGCCGGCTTTTCAGGACTATTGTTGCTCGACGAGGTGTCTGACTCCTCTGAGGAGGTCCAGGAGAACGATTGAAGGGTCTTGGTATATTCCAAAGCAGCCACAGAGCCTACTGGGGGATAAGACTTAGTAAGGCTGCGGGGTATCAAACCGCTCACCTGGCATTGTCGATTGAAGGGCTGGAGCGTGTTCAGAGTCCAAGGCTGGTGCGGACGCTTCATCAGAAGGATTGTGGTCTGCGGAACTGTTGAGTGTTGATGCGGAGGCTGAGAGGCCTGTACTCACCTTCCGCAATGGGCGAAAGGGCAGGTTGGAAATCGTCTTGACCGAATGGCTCTTCATTTTGGGGATAAGAGGTGCGAGATGTGGGGTCATCGAATCCTGACGACTCCTCTGTGGAAACCGCTGAGACGAGAAGGCACATCATATTGAGTAAGGACATTATCTCACCTTCACGAGAGTCAGATTCCCCCGACGTCTCATCGGAGTCACCTGAGTCTGATGCACCTGCCAGTGAAAAACGGACAGGGGTGGCCAGGCGGCTAGATTCCTGCTGCTCTCGCTGCTGCGAACCTCCCGTCGCCTTTGATTTTAGCGCCGCCTTGGATGCTGAGGACTTGCCACTTTTTTTTGACTGCCCGCCCTTGAACTTCTCCTTCCCCTTGGTGGATTTCGCCGGGTGGGGATGCTCCTCCTCGTCGTCTCCTTCATCCCCGTCATTGTCGAACACCTCTCTGGGTTTTCTTGGTAGAATATTACCCCACCGATCCATATATGCCTTCATTTCGAACAACTTGTCGTTCTTCCTCGCCTCGTCCTTGCGAACAGGTTCTTGGAGGTTATACAGATGGTTGAAGACAACTACCCTCTGGGGAACAGTCATGGCAGAAGGCTCCTTTAAGGTCTCAATGATGTCGTCGGGAAGGTGTGCCTCCGAGAAGAATCGTCTGGGCTCCTTCAAAACTCGAGTCCAAGGAAAGCGGGGCCAGCTATCGTCGGTTATTTTGGCCCTCGACACAAGTGCTAAGAGGACAATCATAACTGGTCAGAAAACATCCTTCAGGACATGAAGGGTACATACCGTAGTGGTAGATGAAAAAGGTGCGGATGGCTTGGCAATACCAGTCCCCTCGCGGCACTCTGGCTGGGCGGGTTCTCGGATCCGGGAGGAGAGGTTCTCCAAATGCGTTCCTCTCCATCCTCATGAGTGCTTTTCGATGGCCCTTCTTCTTACCCGAGTCCTCCATCCCGTCGTCCTCGCCGGTCTCGAAGGCCTCGTAGACATAGCTGCGGAACTGTTTAAAAACAGTTTGGAGAAGTTTGGCGTTGTCATCGCTAAAGTTCTTGGGCCATCCAAGTTCGTCGTTAACATCCAGCTCCACCGCCTTTGGCTTCCCATCCTTCCCCATCCAACCCAACAGCAGATAGGAAAGACAGTTGTAATCCTTCCTGGCATGCTTCAAATAATTGTAAGCCTTCTTTGCAGCGTGCTTGTCCGCCATCCTATCAAAGGTGAGTCGTATCATTTCCAGAGGGGATTCAGGACTACAAACCTCGCTTGAACATCGGGAGGCGGACCCTCCGCGTTCCATTTGTCCGCCAACACTTCATATTTAGCGAACTGCTTCTCGGTTAAGGTGCTGATGAGGAGGGTGCCTGCCTGTTGGTAGTGGTTGAAGAACCAATCACTATTGTCGCCAGTCTTGCCCTTGGTTTTTGCGTTCCTTCCAGTCTTCCCGCCCTCTCCTCCGCCATCCTTACTTTCGCGGGCTTCATCAGAGTCCCAGTTTTCGAGGAACTCGTCCAAATCCACATCTCCGTCTCCCTTCACGATCTCATCGGCCAAGGCCTGCACCTTGGCCTTGTGGATCCTCATATACACCCGCCTCCCATACCACTTGGTGCCGTACAGGTTCTTCTCTGTCTTTCGAGCGTTTCCGTGGGCCTTGAACCAGGCCCTCAATGCCTAAAACACAATCAGACTGACTTCCTATGTTAATGTAGCGGGGCATTTGCGGACCTTTCCTATAGCGGACTTCTCTGCTTCCGTAAGGTTGGCGCCAGTCCGCTTTTCGTTTTCTTGGCATATGTACTGCGTAGTGGACCTCAAAAACCTCCTCCGCTGTTTGCCGCTAGAGGCGTTGTACCCCTCTAACTTTTCCCGCATGTAGGCTTGCTCCATCGGGGTGAACGTCCAGCCGTTTACAGGGGTCGGGTGTTCGGCGGACCCAGCAGAAGGTGCGGGGGAACTCATTATCACGAGAGTAGAGTAGACCGGTAGGGGATTGAACAAGTGGTCGATCAAGAGGGTAGAGCTGGGACAACTGGAAAGGGCGCCTTTATAAAGGTAAGGCGTCTCGGATCATAGGATAGAGGACGTGAGGAGGATAAAGGTAAGTCCATCGGGTACAGGATCATCGGCTGGATAGGGTGAGGCCCTTGAAACAGGTAAATAGATCAGGTGTTCTGCGTCCTGGAGTACGATCTCCCCCCTTCCCTTCAACAGTCATGCGTAGAAGCTTCGGAAAAATCCAGGACTGTGAACCTGCAGATATAGTCGACACTTTTCGAGTGAAGATACGAAAGCCGTCCCGCTCAAGCTCAAAGGCAAAGGTGACACTTGTCCCTGCCCAATTGAAGACGCCGCGAGCAGACAGAAAGCTTTCAGACAGGTCGAATAACAGTTCGAGGACGAAGCGTATCGAGGAGCTACTAAAATCTGGGGATTTGGCGGATGGAAGAACCCTTCAGATTGGCGACGGTTCCTTCTTGGACGCGAATTTGTTTGTTCCCTTTGAATTGGAAATGGGTAACTCAAACCAAAATGTAAGGAGTCGTATAACTGAGCCGGAATTACGGACTAAACACCTACCGTAGAGACCCAACGACTACCTTCGTGACTGGAAGGAAAACAAACAAAAGGAATTCTTGGAAGAGATCATCTCAAGGGCAGCCTCTGATATCGGTGCTGGGTGCTCCAATTGTCGACAGGCATGCGACGTTGTCTGGAGGTGTCGTGACTGCTTTTCAATGCGGGTACTCTGCACCACCTGCTGTAGAGTGGAACACGCTCACACCCCGTTCCATCGCGTCGAAGTGTGGAACGAAACCCATTTCGCAACCTCGTGGCTATGGCGGACCGGCCTTGTCATTGATTTATGTAAAACTCGGTCATGCTCGCTTCGTTCAACAACACCATGGGTGCCAATCCCTGACAGCAATGACCCATCGTATGGAGCCAAACCAGACTGGCGCACCTGGGAGGAATTCGACGTTCTGGTGGTTGTCCACTCGAACGGAGTTCACCACCTCCCTGTTCATTTCTGCACCTGCGCGGATGCCCCAGCGGACGAAGTCCAGCTTCTCCGTCACGATCTCTACCCCGCGTCGCACAAAGATGTCCGAACGGCTTTCACGTTTGCAGTCTTGGATGAATATCTTCTCCAGAATCTCGAGTGCTATACATCAGCGCTGCACTTTTACTCCAAACTTCGCCGTCTAACCAACGAGGCGTTCCCCAAAAAGGTTCCCGTAAGTTCAACCTGCTATCCTGATTGGTATAAACTCCTGAGCGCCATGGTACATCTTTCACAGGATCGGTACCGGGAGCTCCTTCGTTGTGGCCGAGAATGGCGAATTCTGAAAGACCTCAAGCGCTTCGGATTTGGCCACACAGGCTGCCAGCCCAATGAAGGAGAGTTGGCGCTCTTCTGCGCAGCCTGTCCTCAGGATGGGATAAATCTACCGGCAGACTGGAGGACACAGGGCGACCAATGGCGCTTTTCCATGACACTTGTTGCGGACGGGAACTTCACCCTCGTTCATCGTAAACAGAAAGGAGATGATGATGTATGGTTGCGAAACGGAGAGGGATATCTGGTTGAGACGTCCAAATACGAGGAGCACCTAAAGAAAACCACTGAACCTTTGCAGGTGAGTAGCACGTTTTCCAAATGTGCAAGTGATGTGATGTGATGAGCTTCAGGCATCTACATGTCACGAACACCGGGCTGTCGAAGATCGTTCAAAGGTCCATAAAGGTTGCGATGTTACGGGTGTTGGGGCCCTTGCGTGTTCTCGACACGGGGCGTTCGCTCCCAGTAGTGTGGTTGGGTTTCAAAAAGGAGAAAGGTGGGAGGTCGCACCGATTGCCAGGTTCAACGCTAACACAGACCTTCAGGCAGATGAATATGGATTACGGACTTATGGGTGCTGTCCGCACCTCTAGAGCAGACCGTGCACCCAGACTAAACTTGCTGTACGACATTAATTGTCAGTACAGTGTGCACTTGCGGGATCGTTTTGCAACGAGCGAAACCCTGTCCCTGTCCGAGGATCTGCCAATCGTGTTTGGGATTGGCAAGTTTCATGTCTTTGGACACCAAGAAGGCTGTTACGCCCGTTATTCCCCTTCGTTCATAGACGGGATCGGTCAGACCTCGGGCGAGATTTTGGAATCACTCTGGTCGACACTCAACGAGTCTGCAAGGGCTACACAGACAATGTCTCTTGCCCATCGGACAGAAGTTCTGGACGCACACATCGGGGACAGTAATTGGAAAAAGATGATATCTTTGGGTATGTAAAGCACACCTGCTCCACTGACACTCTGCTGACTAGCATACCACCGGGCGTCCAAGGTCATAACTTGAGTGTCGCTTACCCCAAGGCAATGAAGGAACTGCACGAGGCTGAAGAAGCATTCAACCTTTTGGACGCCACGGCTTCAGAGTCCCAACGTATAACATGGGACCAACAACTCTCAAGCGGGCTAGCAAAACGAGCTAAGGAGGGAGATGCATCAGCAATGGATTTCCTGAATGTGTCCATAGAAAAGCGTAAGTGGCATATACCCTCCGTTCGAACGATGTTGAACTAATCATGTTAAAGCACCTACAAGAGCCAAGGTCCAGCACGATCTAATGTTGCTGGAACAACGGGGTGACCAGCAGATTGGGGTGACGTCTTGGATTACATTGGGCTTCAAGATACAAGATGCTCAGTGAGTGTCTGGATATATCGGGGAGATTCTAGTGCTGACACAATATCAAGACTTGCAACGAAGGCTTATCGTCGAGGACTACCGCGCGCCGATCTGCGGACAGATAACCAGAATTTGGAATTGGTCCGCAGGCAAGAGCACCTGCGGAACGAAATAACGCGCTTCCTCGAAACGGGGGCCTCGTTGTTCCCGCAGGTGGACATGGAGGAATACCCCTGGGTCAATCCGCCGGAAAGTAACCCAGTGATCGAGGGGTCCGAGGATGACTTTGCTATGGAGATCGATAGCGACAATCCGTTCCTCGACGGCGATCGAGATCCAGAGGACATGGAGATTCCGCTACCGTCCTCCTTTGCGACCCTTCCAGATCAGATGAAGTCCGCTGCATCCAAGGAGATAAAACTTCGCATAGCCCAAGCAAACGACGCCCTTGAAGCCATTCGAACGGACATTGGGCACAAATCCTTCCTCTATCGTTCCAACATCAGACTCGCGGATGGGAAAAAGGAAAAGACCAGGGGCTACGCTGCTGTGAAGGCTGTAAACCAAAGTATGCGACATCACATCCGACTTTATAATCAGGCGAGGTGGGCATTACGAAGGCTCAACGCTAGCCCTTCCCTACTTGAGAAATATAAGGACCTCAAGCCCGAACATACGAAGGCCATAACAGCCATATACCACCCAAACGCCCCTGGCCAATCGAAGACAGTCCTCTCTTGGATCTGGAACCTGGATGTCAGCGGTGACTCGCAGAAGGCCCCATACCTCGAGGAATGTGAGTAGCTGTGCAGAGTTGTGTGGGAGTTATACTGACGCTGGAGTTAGTGTACCGCATCAATTGGCTGCGCGCAAAATGTCGCATGGAACGCTGGAGGGAAGAAGTGGTCCTCCTGAAGGAGGAAATGACATGGATTTCTAATTTCTTCAAATTCAAAGAAGACACTGCCCGCAGCTGGGCGACATTGGGCCCAGATAAACCCGGGCACCGGGCTTACGCTGAACAGCAAGCGGGAGTATGGAGGCGCTTGCGTGCGGACGGGGATGAGATGTTCCGCGACGCGCGGACTGCGGGGGAAGTGCTGATCCGCCAGCTGCGGGGTGAGACCGGTACCAACACTGACCTCAATTGATGCAATATGTATCGTCGAGTTTGAAATTTTACTCGGGTTGACTTGATTCTACATCATGGCAAGCTGGCCTCTCCCTGGCAGCTCTCAAGCTTTGCTCACCCTCACAAACGTCGGCTGGCAGTCGCTTATCGACTACTTATCAAGTCGTCACCGGGCTGCGGGAGTCTTCTATGTCGTTCAATACCCGGTAATCTCAAAGGAGGACAGGGCACTGTTCCTTTCTGCGCTGTTCCATGAAATTGTGAGCCATGAATTACAAACTCTCGATTTGAATTAACTCTTTGATTTCTAGTCTATGACGGCGTTCTGCCTGGCAACTGCGACAATCAAGCATCCTCATTCCATTGTAGCGCCGAAATGTTTCCGCGACCTATTCCAGATGTTCTACGACAACGAAGGGCAGGTCGACCCGCTCCTAATCGAGATCAAGGTTCAGGATGGAGAAGGGGAAAGGGATCGCGTCCTCAACCAATATGTTGAGGCCTGGTGGATGCCTGGGAACGACCGGATGAAGTTCAGCTTCGACGAATTAGTGGCAATTTGGAGGAGACAATCTGCGACGCTCACGCGAACCTTGCCTTCTCCGCCACCCGCCACCGTTGTCCTCTCCGAGTTGACACTGGATGCTCTGCGGGAAGCTCGATCTTTGCTGAGGGCGTCGTTGGAGATCGTCGACGAGGAATTGAAGGCCAATCGAGACGGCGCCAGGAGGGTGAGGTCGACCCTCCGAATTTTGAAGCAGGAACAGGGTGAAGATGCCGCAGACGCACCTGGTATTTAGCTTCACCTCTGGTTAGGAGGCAAATAAATGACATTTTCTTCCGCTTTAGAACTGAGTGGGCTGGACCTCGACATGGTCGCCCACTGCACCAAGCCGACTGATCAGGAAGAATGGAAGGACTTCTTTTTTTTTATTGCCGACAGAATTTACATCGCAATCCAGGAAGCACCCTCTATGACCATGGCTCGTGACCTCCGTATTGAATACGTCGTGCGATTGAGTATCGAGTTTGTAGGTGGCTTTCCTCTTAAACCCAACCCATTTACGACTCAACCGTTCGTTCAGCAGGCTGCCATGTGGGTTCTAGGTGTGGTTTTGTCCGCAGAGGACATTGGGCGGGACCTCAATCTCGTGTCGTTCACTAAGGTGTTCCGCTGGATGGAAAATCGTGTTGTGCTGGATGGGCTGTTTGCGGGGAAGATACCTTCCGACCAGCTCGAAGTCGGGGACAGGAGGCACCGACCAACCTGGATCGACACCCAAGTTTTTGGGTTTCGGACTGACCGACCACTGGAAGAGGTATATCAAGAATGGCTGGAACTCCGCATGGCGAGGCTGCCCCTTTCCACTCTTTCCCTTGATGATCTCGCAGTGCGCCGTCAGAAAATCCTTCGCCAACTGAGGACACTGATGTCCCTCAAGAAGGCTGCGGACGAGGAGCGATCACGATTGAAGGACCAAATTAAAAGGGTTGCTTGTGTCCGTGAAAGGTGGAGCAAGCATTGGGAGTCCGAGCTGGAGCAACTGAATAAGACGTATGATTAGCACTAGTTACACAAGTCCTTTGCTTGTCTAATCATTGTGGCTATAAAAATGGTTCAACGTGAGGTGTGTAGGCAATACTGGGGGTCGATAAAATGGGAGATGTTCAAGAGCCTGTTCACGGAAAAAATGTGCGATGCAAACCCGCTCACCGTCCACTGGAGGAACGCCATGAGGGAAGCATGAAGCCAATGTCGCTACGACAGTACCAGGATCGTAACGGCACCTGATGCCGATACCTCGAATCTCAATTCTCCCGTTCACGTAGTTGCCGCCGGTGTAGAGCAAGTCGTAAACATATACCGGACTACAGACATCGCGATGGAGATCGGTCCTTCGGTTGTTGATGAGGGAGAAGGCGGTGAACGGGGAGCTCCAATATTTGAGGAGTGTTCTGAGATGTTCAAGGTCACCGGCGGGGATGATGCCCGAATTGAGCCCGGCCAGCATCTCCAAGCCCATTTCAAAAAGAGCGGGATGTATGACGGCCAAAATCGCTCCGAGGACAGCGACACTTTCAGATATCCGCTCGATGAACTCAAGGCTACCCTGCCGTCGGTTCTTGAGGTTGGCTGAAGGAGCCAAGGTATCCTGGATACAGTGGGTTCATTTTAGAAGGCTATTTTAGAAGGCTGGAAAAGGGGAAGTAATGTAGTACGTACGGGATGGCCCTGCATCGGCCACGCAGAGGAGTAAGTGACTACGCCGGGCTTGAACGTCAGATCCTCGCCTTGGGTAAAAAGTGAGGCGTGGTCGCGATAGTTGCCATTGTCCCTCACGAGGAAGGGAGACGATTCGTGAGAGGATGAATGCCATCGAATGGCATCTTCTATTTCCTTCTGCTTCGCATGTGAGGGAGAGTGCAACTCGCTTGATTACTCGTCGACACTCACTTGTCGTTCAGGGAGGATCGAGTTGGGAAGATACCAGGTAAGAATTCGCCCGTTGCGATCCTTGACGACACAAGGGGTTTGCCTGAGTATCGGTTTACCTAGGCGATTCACCCTAGAGGATGGCGGGAATGCGGATTCCATCGCGTTTATCGATTTTTCATCGGCGACCGCGCTGCGCTTGCGATTCTTGCTGTACCAATCTGTTATGGACCAGTCAAGTGTTTCTGTAGGTATAAACGTAAGTTTGGGAGCATGAACACGTGTGCGATGCTCACCTTCATTCTGAAGGGCAATGTACGCCGTGTCGGCGATATTCTCACATTCTACCTGGAGAGGGAGAGGCACCAATGGTTGGGACGGTATAGGAGCACCCGAGGAGAACCTCTGTCGCATTCGAGCTTGGGCGTGACGGCCCAGGCGTTCGACTAGACTTGCTCCAGGAGGGAGGGGTTCCCGAAAGGCTCGCATCTCGTGTGAAAGGGGTTCTTAGCTGAAAGACAGTGACAACTGGGTTAAAATAAAAGGATCTTGATGGGCCTGAGGGCCTGAAGTTTCATGGGAGTGCGCTAGGATCACGTGGGCGGTTTCTCGTTCTACTATAAAGGTCTCGAGTCACTTGTGGCCCACCTAGCACTGTACCACATCGAAACACTACAAGGTCAGCCTAACACGTTAATTTTCCGTGGAATTATAATGACAATCACCTGCACAGTCCAGATGAGGGGAACAACAATTCGACGACGCGCAGTGAAAAGTGAAATCGAGGACAGGCTAGCACGCCTCAGACGAGGTATGGATATCCCATTCCACCTGCTCGAAGACCGCATCCTTGACCAGGTCTGTAGTCCACAGTAGATTTGGTTCTCGATATCGGCGAGTAGTCGAAGGAATTGCTCACTTCAAAATTTCGGTGGACGAGGGATTAAGCGAGCTGGACCAGATACCCCCCTCTTTTGCAAACCTTGACGAGGAGTTCTCGCAGTTGATTGCAGAGCTCGACCTGCTCCGCGAATCCATTGAGCTAGGGTCAGCGGTTATTTGGCAGATGGAGATGAGGATGGAGTTCTTGTAGTGTATTGGTTTGTCGCGCGCCGTCTCCGCAATCGAGTTTCGTTATCTCGCCTCTTCGTGATCAGAATTGAGAGGTCCGTTCCGTTATACTGATCCGTGCCTGCGGATTGACTCGGGTCCGCTGATTTGCCAGTCCCCGCGGATCCTATGATGGCATGTCCGCATCCGCAATCTGTTGGAAAAGGAGGAGCTCGATAGCCCAAACCGCGCATAAGTACATTTTATTTCCCCATTGAGATAGGAGATTAAGCCTCGCAATAAATATCCTTCCCCTCTTGTGTTCCATCTTCGTTCCTTGCTTCCCCTCCATCATGTGCATTTGTATCAGAGACCAAGTAGCGCAAGTGGAACTTCAATTGGAGTTGATTACAAGTATGTCTCTTATTCTATTGTTCTACCGATTTTCTCACCTATTTGCAGCTTTGCGCATAAAAATTCGTGAGCTCTCGGGGGTTCAGGATAGCGGTGTAATCGTGCTCGACGGCGGCCATGAGGTGGATGTTTCTCAAGTCCGGTTTCTCCAAATCCTTTTGAAAAAGGAGCTTCCCCGGGCGGTGGAGTATGCCGAGAGAGTTCCCGAGCTGGCCTCCAAGCATCTCAGTGAGTAGTCTGCCTGTGGAAGGTGCTGTGGACTAAAGTGGTTGTAGACGCACGTGACAAGGAGACCATGGAGCTGTTCGAAGTCTGCGGCTATGCGCTATGTGCGACCTTGACGCTTCTCCATCGTAAGTTCCCTGGAAGGCATGGTGCTACGGGTTTCTGACATACTCGCCTGCAGGTATCGCCCAAGTTTGGTGTGGGGTCATTGACTTGATGGAGACTTGCGACAGGCAGGCCAGACACCACAACCGCGCGCAACCGTTTCTCGACATTGAGCGGGCTCAAAAAGCGATCCTCCGGAAAACCACAAAGTCGTTTGCCGCTGAGGCATTTCAAGGTGGCGTTCATTTGATTGCCAAAGTAAAGGAGCTCTGTCACGAAATTGGGGAGGTGGAACTGAAGGACGACCTGTGTGATCGAATCCAGGTGGTCCAGCTTGCCTCTGCCCAGCAAAGCCACACTCTGTAGTACTTGCCTTTGCAATGCATGTGTTATGTTTTCGTCCACCCGGCTGAAACCCGTTCACTGAGTATGAGGCCTGTTTGTGTGCGGACGGTTGGTGCGGACTTGTGAACCTGAGAATCTGACCTGGGTGCGGACCTTCGTGCGGATACCTCCTACGCGCGAGGTGCGGACGTTCGGATGCGGACCTTGACCTTCGAGGTGCGGACATTCAAACGCGGAGGTTCGCGTGCGGACTTTGACCCGTGAGGATGCGGACCTTCAAGCTTACGGATACTCGCACGTGAGGATGGTGTTTGTGCCTGCGGACGTTCGAGCCAGCAGCGGACCTTGACCTTCGAGGTGCGGACATTCGAACGCATACCCGCGCATACCTCTTACCTGCGGGACCTGAGAGGGTGAGGACGTACGAGCCTGCGGATACTTGGGCAAGTCCTCACATCGGCGAGGTGCTCGAGGTGCGGACATTCAAACGCGGAGGTTCGCGTGCGGACTTTGACCCGTGAGGATGCGGACCTTCAAGCTTACGGATACTCGCACGTGAGGATGGTGTTTGTGCCTGCGGACGTTCGAGCCAGCAGCGGACCTTGACCTTCGAGGTGCGGACATTCGAACGCATACCCGCGCATACCTCTTACCTGCGGGACCTGAGAGGGTGAGGACGTACGAGCCTGCGGATACTTGGGCAAGTCCTCACATCGGCGAGGTGCTCGAGGTGCGGACATTCAAACGCGGAGGTTCGCGTGCGGACTTTGACCCGTGAGGATGCGGACCTTCAAGCTTACGGATACTCGCACGTGAGGATGGTGTTTGTGCCTGCGGACGTTCGAGCCAGCAGCAGACCTTGACCTTCGAGGTGCGGACATTCGAACGCATACCCGCGCATACCTCTTACCTGCGGGACCTGAGAGGGTGAGGACGTACGAGCCTGCGGATACTTGGGCAAGTCCTCACATCGGCGAGGTGCGGACGTTCGGGCTCTCAGGGTGCGGACAGTTTTGCCTGCGAGGGTGCGGACCATCGCGCGCATACCCGCGCATACCTGTTACCTGTGGGACCTGAGAGGGTGAGGACGTACAAGCCTGCGGATACTTGGGCAAGTCCTCGCACCTGTGAGGTGCGGACGTTCCGGTGAGGACGTTCGAGCTTACAGATACTCGCATTACTCCACCCACCTGCGAGGGTGCGGATGTTCCGGTGCGGACATTTAAATGAGTACCTGATGAAGGTACATAGACCAACAAGATATAGACAATGCATTTGTGAATAGTGGCGAGTGAATTCAATTGCAAGTGACGTATAGCGCTTATTCAATAATGATTGGCTCATCAACCATCCTTCCACCTCGAGTTTGCCTGCCCTCGTTGTCCAGTTCAATAGGTCGATCCACAGCATATCCGTCCCCTTCTGTCTCGTGTTCCCTTTCCACTTCCTTCTTGAGACGGGCAGCGGTCTCCAGGAGGGTTTGGGTTAGTTGTTTGAGTGTTGCCTTGCGGGCCTCTTGCGCGTGCGCTATCCCCTGCATCCCAAGCATATCAGGGTCGTCTCCAACAAGATCTGCAGCCTCCAGGCAAACAGGAACCCCATTCCCAACCTCCCCCTGCAAGCGCGCGGCTTCTTGTCTCAGGTTCTCCACGTTTTGTTTCTGCTCAGCCTCGAGTCGCTGGAAGAGCATTGCACTGTGCCTGCACATCAAATAAAGGCGATGTTGTTCTGGCGGAAATAAAACAAACGTTTCAATCCTGGCATAAGACATTTTGGGGAAAATACACACCTTGAATCTCAAGGCCTAATTGGAGGATGGCCAAGATGCTATCGGCTACTTGTGCTTCAAGAGGAGTCATGAGGGAGATTATGGAAGCTCTCAGCTAAAGTCCGGATGTTATGGTTGCGCAGTTTATAGGTGATGGACGACGGGGCTAAAAGTTTTGACAAAACCAGCCATTGATCAATGGAAAAGCGAAAGAAAAAATGTAGATGAAACCTATGGAGATAATTTGATGCATGGGGATTGGCCCGTGCACCAAATTATCTCCATAGCTTGTCGCTGCAGAGGAATCGAACCCCCAACGTCTCCTTGGTCAGGAAACGAAGTCACCACTTGACTACAGCGCCGCGGAATAAAGCAAAATAATATGTCGTATGAGCACTTGAACTGCCGACACGGACTTGTTCTTGGTTCGGGGTCAGGTTTGACAAGCAACGTCAAACAACCGGCCGCAGGTCCGTGGTCCGCGATTACTGTCCGCACTTGGACCGGTCCATAAGTCCCCACAACTGCGGACACCGGTGCGGACCAAGTGCGGACAGTAGACTATGGACTGCGGGGTTTACGCACCTGCGGACACCGGTAGTGCGGACAGTAGACTACGGACTGCGGGGTTTATACACCTGCGGACACCGGTGCGGACCGAGTGCGGACAGTAGACTACCGACTGTGCGGGGTTTACACACCTGCGGACACCGGTGCAAACTTCGTGTGGGTCACTGTCTGTGGAGCGATTTAGGTGACAACTTCGTTAGACCAACTGTAGAGGTATGGACTACTAACCATTTAGGCTGAGCATCCTGTGTATAGGTTACTTCAATGTCCTGATCATTATTTGTGGTTAATGGGAGCCAGTATTGACCCTAGGTCCTGACCAAGAGGACACAGCTGTGACATGGATGCTGTGGATTTGGGAGATCCAGCTGGGACATGGGTCATGTTCAAACGGCCAGAGGCAGCTCGGACATGCTGTATTGAGATTGGCAACAGGCCCCCGGGGCAGCCTCCTGACCATGAGGACACAGCTGTGACATGGATGCTGTGGATTTGGGAGATCCAGCTGGGACATGGGTCATGTTCAAACGGCCAGAGGCAGCTCGGACATGCTGTATTGAGATTGGCAACAGGCCCCCGGGGCAGCCTCCTGACCAAGAGGACACAGCTGTGACATGGATGCTGTGGATTTGGGAGATCCAGCTGGGACATGTGTTATGTTCAAACAGCGGGAGGCAGCTGGGACATGCCCCATCAAGAGCAGGACCCCCGAGGGCCAGCCGCCTGTCCCGCAGAACACAGCTATGACACGGGAGCTGTGCTGTTGGAAGGGTCCAGCTGGGATATGGTTCTTGTGCCTTCTTTAGGGCAAAGCTAGGCGAGGTATCACATGGTGGATGGGGTTGTGGATCGCCAAGGTAGGACATGTACCATGTCCTCACCTTACTGAGTGCCCTGCAAAGAGAAGGCCACGCTCACACTTGGCGAAGATCTTCTCTTCGAGATTCTTCTTTGCCCATTCTTCCCTTTCTTCCCTGGTAATCTGGGATGTCGTCAGCGAGCTGAACGTCAGCAGCCGGATTGCAACCTTACCTCTGGACCATACGGAATACCCGCTCGAATGACTACCGAGGCATCCACGAACTCTTTTGTAAGGTAAGGACCGACATTTCTGGGCGCGGTCTTCCGGATGTGAGCGGAGAAGGGACAGCGTCCGTCTTGCTCAGAGTAGTCGAAATTGTTGATTTGGTCAGGATGGAGATATTTTAAATCTTCTTTGTATGGTGAGAGCGCAAGAGGAACACCCTTGGAGTTAATCCAATGAGCCGAATGAGAAAGGAGGTTTCAATCTCTGGTAGCTTACCGACTTGAATCGCCCAACCAATCGAGCGCCGAAGAGTTTCTTCCTCTCTTCATCCGTGAGATAGACACCATTTCTTGGCTCGTTAGCAGGAATGGAACGCCAGTTCTGTTCAATGTACTCCTCGAAGAAGAGGACATTTTGCTCCAGCTGCCTAAAGACCAGGAAGGAGCCTTCTTTGGTCCACGGCGGGCGCTGAACCGCAGTAGGAGCATCGACAACGGGGTCCCCAGGGTAACCCATGATGATCACACCGGGCTTTACAAGGCGCTGTCCAGGACATGCTTTACCGAGGCCCCTTCAGCGAAAAAATCAGAAGCTTACACCTGAAATGTCTTAGAGGACACCTACTGGAGAGCAGGCTGGGAAATACCATCCCTCCAACCAAAGAATTCTCCGTCGCCACTACGAACACGACCTTCGAAGTTTCCCAACTCGGTGATGGAACTACCAAATATCCCCTTGATGGTGTTCGATTCCTCTAGGCAACTCTGTTGGACTGCAAGGCGAGAGAGTCTGTTAGCAGCTTGTTGAATGTTGAGTGGGGCTGAACTCACATTTAGAGCAGATGATGAATATGCCATGGTTGTTGCCGCTAGTGGAAAATGCAGGGTGGTACTCGGACATGTCTCCCAGAAAGTTCCTCTCATTGACAAGGGAACCTTGGTCAAAATGAGGATCGCAAAGGTGTTCACAGATACCAAGTGTTATGGACTATACGTGATACAAGCACGTGTCGTCCAGTACTCAGCGACTTTGTGGTCGATGAATCAACTCGTGACTACGTCAAGAGTTCTTCGCCTGTAGCTTTGTGAACTTCGAGCTAGACTTTGAGTGATAATTAAGGATATTTGTATTTGCACTGAGACTTGGTATAGCGTTGTGAACAATTAAGAACGAAGTGAGGAAACTAACTAAGAGAACTAGAGAGTTTATATACTAGAAGACGTGTGTTAACCATGAGGCGTAGTCCTCATGGATAACATGCGTATTCCGCGGAATGTATGTAGGTTTTGGTGTGTTTTTAATGAGTATCAGTCAGCAGTCATCAATGCGCAGTAAATATGAGTAAGACGATGAGTTGAGATGAAAAACATAAGGTGGAAATGAGGTAGGTATAGTAATACAGTATAGTAAGCATATATGTTCGTAACATTACCCCCCTACTAGAGTTAAACTACTCCTGGAGTTTACCTTTGCCCTTGCATCGGCTAGCAAGGTGACCCGTCTTTCGGCAGAGGTTGCATGTCGGAATTCCAATTTGACGAAGGCGGGAGATAAAGTCGCGAACCCAAATTGGGTTTAGTTTAGAGCCTAAAGGTTGATTCCATGGTTGAGTAGGATCATCGACGTCGATGATCTCTTTCGGGGGAACAGATGGAGGCGTTGGTGTAGGAGGATACTGAAGCGGAGGAAGGTCGTTGGGATCGAATGAAGTATCTCGTAGAGTTGCTCGGTATATGATGGTGGAGGATGGTCCGGGGGTCGGCATACGAGGTTGAGGTGGTTGTTGCATAATAGGTGAAGGAATGTCGTCAGGGATAGGCATAGGAGGTGGAGGAGAATGTTGGGGAACGTGGTGATAGAGCTGGGGACCTGGAGCTTCAGGTTGGGGGTTTCGAAGCTCCAGTACGAGGTCGGTGATTTCGGGACGGTGTACGAGGTGTTCGTGAATCCCGAAGACGAACTGGTGGAGGGTGTTGACTATGCCCATAAGTTGGGCAATGATGAGGGCAATCATGTGCCCGATAGAGACGATGCGAGCGACGGGCTCAGCACCAGGGGTCTCGAGAAGTCTATTCTCGAGTCGGACGGCGTACTGGGCGTTGGTGACCATGAAAAGGGATTCCTCCTCGTTGAGAGGGGGAACGGGCATAGCAGGGGCGAAGTAGTTGTATCGAGGAGCAGACATGTTGTTAGGTGGAAGTGGCTCGTCGAATGAAGTTGGGGAGTCTGTTGTTCTCTCAATCGAGTCTTCCTTCCTTCTTTTAAGTCTGCGTCCTCGTGTTTACTTGGTTGATGTCATGGGGCATGTGTTTGAGGGATGTTCAAGATAAACGTCTCATGTTGTCTTCATGCTCTAAGATAAGGGTGCATGTCGTCCTTGAGTTTTTCATGTTTCAGGTTTATGAGATGTGCATGTTGGGCATGTGGCTTCCTCATGTGAGCTTGTGTTTTCGTTTGTACGCCTTGAGGGAGTTCCTTAGCATGGGAAAGTTCTTTTTCCTTTTTCCATTCTGCTTCGGAGAGAGGGTATCCTTTCCATGACACTAGGAATTGTCGTTGGGTTCCTCACGACTCGATGTTTGAGGATTTTGTCGATTTCATATTCTTCTTCCCCATCAATTAATTCGGGAGAAGGGAGTGTGTAATTGGGTCCGTGTGTTTCTGTTTCGACAGTATGGGGAAAGTAGAGTTGCATGGAAGACGTCATGGATTCTCCAGGTCGGGGGGCAGTTTGAGGCGGAACATGTTTGGTCCCAGGACTTCGGTGATTTCGAAGGGACCTTCTCGTTTTGTTGTCATTTTCTTGGAGTATGGGAGCTTGATATTTCTGGCTTCCAGCCACACCCGATGACCCTTGCGGAAAGGTCTTGGTGTCCCCTTTATTCGTTGGGCCATTCTTGATCTGGCAAGCTCGTGTGCTGCCACAGCTTCTCTTCTATCTTCTTCCAGAGCTCTGAGTCGTTCTTCCACTGATGGGAATTGAGTCTTGGAGAACATTGTTGGTAAGGCTTTGGGTTGGAACCCCATGATGAGTTCGAATGGAGATGTGTTTTCGATCTGCATGCCTTCGGCTGTTGTATGTGAATTCAGCGAGGGCTAGTTTGTCTGCCCACGATTCTTGGTTAGTGATGCAGTAGATCGATAAGTACGTCTCCAATTCCTGATGTACTCGTTCAATGGCTCCTTGAGTTTGTGGATGATATGCTGTGGATAGCGAAGAGTCTATTCCAATGAGACGGAACAGTTCTCTGAGAGCTTTTGCTGCGAATTGGGGACCCCTATCAGAGCCAATTTTATCCGGTAATCCGAAGCGTTTGAAGAGATTCTCCATAAGGAGTTTTGCGATATCGTCGGCAGTTGCCGTTTTCTTTGTTGGAACAAAGATCACCCCCTTACTGAGACCGTGGTCCACCATGGTCAGGACTGAATCATATCCGTTTGATTCTGGCAGATCCGTGATCATGTCAATGACAACATAACCGAACGGTCGATCATTCCCTTCTATAGGCATTAGGGAGATCTTGTGGGGATTTCTCTTGATTTTGAATTGCTGACATTGTGCACATCCCTGGATGTATGATTTGATAAACATCTTCATTCCGGGCCAGTAGTAATGATTCTTGATGGCGTGGAATGTTTCCAGTTCTCCAGGATGTCCAGCAGTCTCGGCGTTGTGATATCGTTGAACAATCTCTCTTCGGATGTTATTGTCTTTCGGAATATATTGTCGGCTCTTGTAGAAGAGTGTGGTCTTTCGCATCTTCGGTAATGACCGTCCAATCGTGGAGTCCCTGTTTCATTTCATTTGATCCGCCTTCGACTAGGGTTTTCATGGCCTCAATCGCGGTTTGATCCATTCCTGTAGATTGATCAATGCGTTTTTGGAGTTCAAGATCAATCAAACCTATGGAGGTATCCGTGTCAAGTTCGTCGATAAATAATTCTTCTTTTAATAAAATAGTTGGTAGGTCATTTTCGTCTTTTTCGGGTATGTGATCGGGTCTTCGAGAAAGGGCGTCGGCTTGAATCATCTTGTTGCCGGGCATATTCTTGAGATTATAGTAGTATTCGGATAGTATTAGGGACCATCGTGCTTGCCGATCGTTGAGTTTTTGTGGTTGTTCTGAAATAGGTGAGATTCTTGTGGGTCAGAAAGGATATGGGTGGCGAATTCTGATCCCTGGAGGTAATGTGTCGCGAAGAGCGAACACTAAACCAAACCAAAGACCAGTAATGCGGAGCAGATAAGAGCGGCGAGTAAGATAAGAGCGATGAGCGACGAATGCAGATGAAGGCGGAAGCGATGTATTGACGAAGAGGTCAAGCTGAGGAAATACAGAGCAGACTACCTAGCTTATATACCTATTCTACAGTCTACATAGCCGCGATGAGTCAAAATGACAAACAAATGGCGAAACGTCGAAGAACAATAAGAAAGGTCATGAGGCTGCGCAAAGGCTGCGCGAAGAACAAGGATGAAACAATAATGGAACAAGAGAGTGTCAGAATGAGTCAAGAGGCAGTGCGTAACAATAAGAACAATGGAAGTGGGGCGAAGGGTAATACGAGGCAGTGTTCCATGAGTGAAAGAGTCCATAGAGGGAATAAAGGAGCGAAGGAATAGGGGCAAGCGAAACGATAAGATGCGAGACAGATCAGATAAGATAAAGTGAAAAATAGGGGGCTGTACCCGGCTGTTCACGACATTACCCCCCTTCTAAGCCTCATCGTCCTCGATGACCAACGGTAGGCGGCGTCCCAGTTCCCAGTCAAAGTCGGTAGGCGGGGCGTCGGTGAAATTCTCGAGTGGGCGCCATGGGAGAGAGCTGAAGATGGTAGCGGAAATTCGGCGTGGTGCAGAGGGGTGTCGCTGGTGGAACTCCTTCACGATCTCGGGCGCGTGCTCCAAGTTCTCCTCCGGTTCCCAAGTGTCGTCCGTCGACCCCATAACCCTTCCAACTGACCAAATACTCCAGTTTGCGATTCTTTCCTCGACCTCTCCAACGGCTGTCCAGGATGTCGTGAACCTCGTATTCAAGCTCCCCCTCCAGTTCGACAGGCTCAGGCGGGGGTGGCAAAATGCCATTGACATCATTGCCTTTCCAGGGGGAGAGCTTGTCGACGTGGAACACAGGATGAATGCGGGAGAGGGACGGGGGAAGTTCGAGGCGGTAGTCGAGGTCGCCGATGCGTTCGGTAATCTTGTACGGGCCGAGTTGGAGGTCGCCGAGTTTGCGGGACGGAACCTTGATCTGGATGTCCTTCGCGTTAAGCCAAACGTAGTCGCCAACCTTGAATTGATGAGCCGTTCGCTTGCCGGACTCGTACGCATCCTTCTGCTGGGCCTTCTCGAGACGTAAGGCAGCTTCCACATCCTTGCGGGCTTCTTGTAGCTGCTGAACACGTTCATCAACGGGGCGAAGGTCGGTCCGTTTGCCAATGGGGATGTTGAAGTGGGGAATATACCCATAGAGAACTTCGAAAGGTGAACGATCATGGGCAGAGTGGACGCGGGAGTTGATCACGAATTCAGCCATCGGTAGGTGCTTGTCCCAGTCATCCTGTCGGCGAGAGACGTAAAGACGGAGATACTTCTCGATTTCCTGGTTGGCCCGTTCGGTTTGTCCATTGGCTTGAGGGTGATAGGCGGTGGTGAGGTTGGACTCGATTCCGAGACGCTTGAGGAGGGTGCGCATGACCTTAGAAGCGAACTGAGGGCCTCGATCACTGATGAACCGGAGTGGGAGACCATGGAGACGGAATACTTCACGGTAGTAGATGTCTGCAACGCCTTCGGTGGTGATGTCGGATGTACAGGGGAGAGCATGAAGAACCCTTGCTGTAGTGATCGGTGAAGACGATGATCGCGTCGTGTCCATGGGCTTCCGGTAACTGGGTGA